TATATATATATATATATATATATATACATATATATATATATACATATATATATATATACATATATATATATATATATATATACAAGTCCACATTACGGGACAAATACCCAAAACATTTTATAATATCTACAGTGTATTTATTGATACACAAAGCAGTTTGGTTGTGAGTATTTAGTACGACAGGACAGTGTATGCGTGATTCTATTCAAATGAAAATTAGTCCCCAACTTCACAGGCACACACACACACCAGTTTTTGTATTTTCTGCAGGAAAGCACAATTTTCAAACAAGATACGTTTGATCACTTGATCCACAATATACTGTATGTTTCATTTGTTTTGTTCAGAATGAGTCAACTCTAATTTCAGCATTTATTGCAAAGTCGTATAAAGCAAAATATACTTTATAAGACAAAAGCAATGTTTTCATCCTGTTTATCAGAATATATTTAGTCTCTAACATTTGTTAGGGACGGATCTGCTTTTGCTTTAATTCTTTGACACATCTGTCTTCTGAAGGCGGTGCATGCATCCCCTGTACGTCTGCTGTGTCTCGTATACTGTGGCTTTCTCCTGGAAGGAGGGGTTTAAATAATTCAGGCAACAAATGAGTTTGCTAGGAGATGCAGGTGTTCGGGGGGGGAGGGGGGTTGTTCCACAGTCTCAAGTTTCAATTTCAAACACATTTCCTTACAACGGGACGATGACTGTACAGATCAGTACGCAACGAGCAGATGATTGAACAATTGAATAAATGGACATTGTCTTGCTGTTACATTCTGAAGTATTTCTGTGGTCTCTACAAACAAAAGAAGGGGCCGGCAGGAGAGACAGTGAATAAGAGTTAGGAAGAAGGGGGGGGGGGCACTGAAATGGACACGCAGACGAGAGTTCAGCTGGTACAAAGACATACATTTTGGTGTTTTACATTTTTTTAAATAAAATATTTTCATCAAAAGAAATGGCACATACCACAACAGCAACAACAAGTTATTTAACCTGTTACACATTTGTGAAGTAATCTGGCTCTAATACCGGGTTCTATAATTTGCTCTAAGATCAAATCACCAATCAACTGTTAGGTCTTAGGTGCAAATAATATTATCAGCAGGACGTGTATAAGACTCGCTTCACAGAACAGTGTTTGACAGTTTCACTCACACAATCACGTGCGCTTTGATGTGACGGGTTAATGTGTGAGGCCACCAGCTCAATGTCTCATTGTCCCTCGGCCTTGTCAGGAAAGTGTAAACACAGATGTGTGAGAAGTGTAAATGATGGACTCATTAACAGTGTGCGGGCGTACGTGCCTTTGATGAGTAAGAAGGTTAAGTGCTTGAATATGTTGAGCTTGGCTGTGAATCAGTATTTACACAGAACCGGCCAACAGGAACGCACTGAGTCAAATTCAGAGTAATCGACACAAGTGTTATAATGACGGCTGACAGTAAATATTAACTTGCTGGTCCCTAAACTGTTGAAGGTAACTCCAGCTAGTTGCACCACCCTGAAATCTTACTCAACCATCAGCAGCCATGAGCGGCTGCGTGCTGCAGCGGCGGAGGAACACTAGCGCTCGTACCACATCGGCTTGTTTAATCCGACTCATCGACCAAAAGTCATCGCCGAAGGAAAAAAGACAAGATGTTGCTTCAATCATTTTCTATAACCATCCAAAAGTCAGCAGGTAAAGGTGATTACCGAATGCAATAAGAGTCATAAGCATTTTTATTTAATATAGGAATAAACAACAACTTTTCAGAGTCTGAAAAGAAAACCGGTTTTACACGTATACAAAGCCAAAAGAGTTCAGGACGCTTTGAATGTGGCTCATCTGGTTTTCATGAGTTGAATTGATTTAAGCTTAGCGATTATTTCCTCTGCGTTCAAACGTTATTAAAAATACCTGAAACAAACCTTTATATATTCTCTCTGTACAAACTATGTAACTGCCAGAATCTTTGTAAATAACCTTAAATATCTGCACTGCAATTTCTTTTAACTGCAATAATTACTAATACAATTAACAGGGTACAATTGAAATCCAAACATTTTATTCAAATTTTTAAAAGTTTCTCTGCACCCATTTGTAGCATGTTTTATTAATATTACATACATTAGTAGACTGCTTTTATATTCAATTACTGCTAATGTCAAAATCTTACTGAAACAGTGCAGACTGAAAGGAATATTCTTCTATTACTATTCTATACTTACCGAAAAATTAGACGAGAGCATTAAAGCAGCTCACACAACTTCTCTTGCTTGAAAAGAATTAACTGCTCACGGCAGAGAAACAATCTGGCCAATAACATTTCTGTTCCGGTATAACGTGTCATACTTATACAGCGGGGTTAGGGCTGATCTCAGTGATGCTTTGCTTTCATAGATGAGGGGGTTGAGGAGCGGGGGGGGCAGATGTATCCTGCCGGGTTTTCTTTTTTGTTCTTGTTGTGTATTTGGAAAATTCTGCTTTGTCAGCAATTCAGGTTGATTCCCCCCCACACACCCCCACACCCTGCCTCCCCCCCATTCTACGTTTCCCACAAACATTAAGTGCACACAGGCACACACACACACACACACACACACACACACACACACACACACACATAATCTCTGCTTCTATTCTCCTGTTTCACTCCCTCCCTCTCTGTGCATGGAGGCTAAGTCAGCACACCTCCGGGCTGCTCGGGAGCAAAGGCATTCTGGGTAATCCAGGGTGCGAGAAGGAAGGAAGAAGGAAAGAAAGGGTGGAGGGGAACTCTCGCAAATCCAAGTCACACTTGATTCTGAGCATAATGTACACACACAGTAGCACACAGAGCCTGTCTCTCATCACTGAACCTCAGAAATACAATATCCATCTGCACATTAATCTGCTGAGACAAATACAAGCTCTGTTCGCAGCAGAATGTGGAATCAAAAAGCTGAACTGCTTCCTGTTCCCTCTTGCCGAACATTAACAATTGGGAGATCTGAAAGAGGGCGAGGGAATAGCGAGGAAGGTGTAGTGGAGCGGAGAAGGATGCAGGAGTGTCGTCAGTCTGCTTTTATCTCAGCCCTGATTAAACCTGGTTCGTGTCTGACCTAAAAAGTCAGCTGGCGGAAACTTCAGAGACTGTTGGTGGATTTCATTGGAGATCTTTTGAAGATCTTCATACCTAGCCTAGGGAGGGAGAGAGAGAGAGAGAGAGAGAGGGACCTGATGAGGAAGAGGCCGGTGCTGGGTGGTAACTCTTAGTAGTACAATGCCACAGGAAGCAGACGGAAGCTGTGCTGAAATGTGCCAGCGCCGCCCGTCTGGGACACGCACAACAAAAAAGGTATAAAAATAACCCTGAGACGGCCTGCAGGGCATCTGCAGAGACAGGAAATATCCCACTGAGGGAGAGACTGCAAGTGAGGCACCACGGGAAGACTCTTTGATTGGTTTCTTTTGTTTTGCTTTTATGATCCTTGTATTGTTTCATTTGTGATGTCACGTTTAGGAGAGGTACCGTTTTAACTCATCATCAAATAACTGAGCAGCAGTAGTTGAGAATTTATTCAGATCCTTTACTTACTTAATTACTTAATAAGAGTGGTTTTGGATCAAAGCAAAAATCACAGAACTCATAATGCCAAATTCCCCTATGAGTGTTGATTAGATGATTTGAGTTTTTTGCTCCTGTATTGATGTGTAAGTAGTGTCGCTGTGTTGCTGTTGATTTTAACTACTTTTTACTTTGGGTAGTTTAATCCTCAACTCTGCATCATATTTAATAACGTTAATGTTTGTGTTTTCATCTTTCAGAGCGCTGCAGCAGCTCCCAGCCCCGTGCTCGGGAACCTCCCCCCTGGGGACGGCATGCCGGTCGGGCCCGTCCCGCCAGGATTCTTTCAGGTATACAACGCCTACACACACACACACACACACACAGAAATTGTGAGAGGGGAAAGATAATTATTTGGGTCTTCAGTCCACCGACCGGTATATGATATTTAATAATACAATTAGTTTTCTGCGTGTGAGTGTTTAAGTCACGGAGTCACTTTCAGACAGTAAGTAAGGTACAGACAGTACGTTGGTGTATAGTTCTATTACAGTTCTATTCTGTGTTTGGGGTCGCCACCGCTTGGCAGCAGGAATCTCTTGCAGATAAAAGTAATGCGCAGCTTCAGCGCAGCTCGTCTCTGGTCTCCATCAGAAGGACCCTTCCAGTTGTGCATTGATTAACCGTCGTTTTGAGTCAAGTTTAGGCACTCGCATCTGACACACAGATCAATATCCTTCATGTGCATTTATCTTCTCCTCTTTCAAAATACTCAACAAACATCCTTTTTTCATCTCTCCCTGAAGATCAATTGTTCTATAAGACAAGGTCTTATCAAGTCTTATTGGTTAAAGAATCACAACAACTACCAGATTTCAAGTTCTTCATTTAGGACAGTATTTTGGACTAAATCAGTTAGTATCACAACGTACAAATGTACATTTTTTGATTAACTGACTTGCACATCACATCACAAGCATGCACAGCAATGCCTGAAAAGATTTATTCACATATTTAGCTTTCATTGTCATTTATTTAGTCATTCATTCAGTGTATTAGTTTAATAACCGCCCGTGTTCAATTGTTGCCATTTCTATCTTAATGCATGTACAAAAACAAAATAAAAAATGTGTTTAATATGTCAAAAGACTTTGAATAGTGCAGCTGTTTTTCTGTGATACAACTGCAGCACAGCTGGAAAATGGGAATGAGAATAATCACTGATCAAAACAGGTGGACTACTGCTCTCTGGTGGCAACTTACTATTTTACTTGCGTAACACTGCAGACTGAGTGTTGCTACTGTCTGCGTGAGGACAATTAAAAAACCCACTCACAGCTGCAAAAGTGCTTCTCGCCCATGCAGCCAAACCGCTAAGAAAAACACTGACATCATTATCAACCAAACTCGCCCTTTTCTCCTCTCGTTTTTCTCCTTAAATCAAATCCAAAGAAAATGTAGTCAGCCGCCTCAGTCTGCCGTCAGAGACCAAAGGTTTAAAAAGCAAATAAGCCCAAACCTCAACAGAGGATACAATATATGCAATATATACAATGTATGCAGTAGCTCTGGTTTCCTCTAGTGGTTTGTCTTCCAGTTTGTACACCATCTTTGTTTCCATGACAGGGTGATAAGAGGGACTCAAATTTCTCATCTGACTTGGCAACAAAGGGACAGCGTGTTTTTCAGAGTGGTATTTTTATTTTAATTTACTAAATGAATTAAAGTCTGTCGATACTAGATACATTAGACTTTAAAATATTCTGTCTTCTGAGGTTGTTGTTTTTTTACAGCACCCATGAGTGTTTTTCAAACATGTGAGAGATTGTGTGCACAGTATTTACAACTCCTCATAATTCAACTTCACGCTGATGTTTTTTTAGCCGTTTATGTCACCTCGATACCCTGGGGGACCCAGACCAACGCTCCGATTACCCAACCAGGTGAGGGCCACACCGACACCCAGAGGCATTACATTACATTACATTAACATGTCATTTAGCTGACGCTTTTATCCAAAGCGACTTACAATAAGTGCATTCAACCATAGGGATACAAACTCAGAAGAGCAAGAAACAAGAAAGTGCAATTTCCTCAAATAAGCCAATTTACAATTTGCTGTAGATGAGTGACGTTACAAGTACAATTTAAGTGCTACAATTTGTTAGTCTTTTAGTCGAGGTAGAGTCTGAAGAGGTGTGTTTTTAGTTTGCGGTGGAAGATGTGAAGGCTCTCTGCGGTCCTGGTGGCTTCAGAGAGCTCGTTCCACCATTTCGGCGCAAGGACAGCAAAGAGTTGTGATCTAGTCGAGTGTTTTGCTCTCAGTGAGGGAGGGACGAGCAGTTCAGCAGACATAGAGTAACCAGTCAGAGGCAGCAGTCAGTACTGTGAATAGCATCTGTGAGACGGTGATGATGCTGCTGGTTATGTGTGTGCTCCTTCCTCTTCAGGGACTCGGGGTCCCGGGGGGCCAGCCTATGTTACCCAGTGGCATGGACCCCACAAGACAGCAAGGTACGCATAGACTCACTGGTATGCACAAAAACACAAACAACAAAAGCTATCGTGGCACCTCTGCACAGTTAGCAACTGGTTTGTGAAAATTGTGAAATTGTGCCATAGAACTCACACATTATTAAATGGGAAAGAGTTTACAGCCAAGATTCAGTCACGCCGCCCTTATGCTCAGCAGGGCTTTGACCTAAATGCTGGTTTTGGCTCATGGGTTGCTAGCATTAGCTGATGCCAACTTGCTAGCATTTCTTAATAAGTGTACTAAACTACTAAAATGCAGACCTCAATACGATCGTGGGTGCCCAAGAGGAAAATTATAACAATCACATGATGACATAAGCATGAGGACGGGAGTCTTTACCCTTTGTAGAGCCACTCTGTTACTGTAACAAAATAAAAAAGTTAAATAATATGTTAAAGAGGCACATTGTTGCACTGGCTGACATAATTACTCATTGTGATGTTATCATTCATTCTGAATTGCTTTAGTTAACTGTGTAAATAACTCAGAGTGGAGATTAAGCCTTATTGTCTTGGGGAATGTTTTATATGTTTGCTGTTTCTGTTTAGAGAGAGATTTAAGGAATGTGATACACTTGCCTTGTTCATCAGAATGAAGAAGTCTGCTGCTCTTAATTTGTTCTTTAAGCTTAAGCTGCGTCAGTCTGTGACTACAATGACAATTGTTAGAAGGGTGAGTTCATTGGTAGTCGAAGTTTTGATAGTACCAACCATCTCTTCTTGTCTTAATGGTGCACCCACAATAACAGTCCTTCAGGCACAACATCTGCAAAGGTTAAATGAGTCACACTGTTCTTAGTGCCAAACTGAACATTAGAATTAGAAAATTGTGTAATTTAAGCTGAAACTGTGAATGTTATACGATAGTTTGCTCCTGGCAGAATTCATGTCCTTGTTTTGCATCACTACAGTGTCCAAATGAAAGTATAAAATACAAAGGTACACTTAGGGAACATGCTTATTTGAAGGGAGAGTTCACAAGGAAGTTAAGAAGAGTTCATGTTCATGTAATGTACTCGAAAAACCTTCTGGTTCAAGCAGGATGATATGAGGAGAAATGCCCAAAACGGATCCCAGTCCGACCTGAATACACTGTTCTTGCTGGTTGCAGTTTGTCAGTTGTTCTTTGTTTCAGGACATCCCAATATGGGAGGGCCCATGCAGCGGATGACCCCCCCGAGAGGCATGGTACCACTCGGGCCCCAGGTACGGGCCCAGATGATTTGTTGGAATATTTACGAAGCATTGGTTGTGATTGGTGCTCAGTGCTGTGAATGAGGACATTTGGTATACATGTCTTCAGGGTTATGGAGGTGGGATGAGACCACCACTGAATGCCCTGGTTGGTCCCGGAATGCCCGGCATGAACATGTGAGTGAACATGGTACAATTTAACCACACGCAGTGTACATGACCGCCCCACATTTCTCTCTCTCACTCAGAGGAACAACATTAAATGCAAACTGCCTTATTTTCTCCCAACAATAGAGGCACTCAGCTGTTTCACCTCAGTGGCTTTATTGACAACTTGACTGTACGTTCGTGGGTCTTCTTTTGTGCTTTTCTTTATTACTTGTTGTTCCCATTGACTCTCTCTCTCTCTGGCAACAGATTAGCTTGTTGTTGCCAACCCTGCCTGAATGAATTGGAACGAAAGAAACGGGCCAAAAGCAGAGAACTAAAGTGTGTGACTGTGTGTGTTCCAGGGGGCCGGGTGGGGGTCGACCCTGGCCGAATCCTCCAAACTCCAACTCGGTGAGTGAAAGACACAAAGACACCCGAGAGACAGTTATTTCATGACTTTCCTGATGTTCTTCTGTATTTCTGCAGACACCTTACTCTTCTGCCTCTCCAGGAAGTTATGTGGTATGTATGCTTTAGTTTTAAGCTTTCTCTGCTCACTATCTATACTGCTGAAAATCATGAGTTCCTGAGTGAATCATGGAAACTCAAAGTGTGATTCCAGGGACCTCCAGGAGGAGGGGGACCACCTGGGACCCCGATAATGCCGAGTCCAGCAGGTACGCTTTCGTGCGCGTCTCTCTGCTTGTGTTAATACTTTCGTTTATGCTCATTTTATCCTCCCATTTTTCTCTGTTCATTACGCCAGATTCTACCAACTCTGGTGACAACATGTACACTATGATAAGCACAGTCCCTCCCGGTGGAAGCCGACCAAATGTGAGAAATGTCTCTCTCCGGATGTCATTGTGTCTGAGTGTAATACAATTAGTTGTGGATGTAAGAGTTCTTTGATATTATAACTTTGTTTTAGTTACAGTTATATCATTGGCTGCTGTGTATTTTCTCCTCAGTTCCCGATGGGTTCAGGTGGCGACGGTCCGTTGGGAGGGATGGCGGGAATGGAGCCCCATCACATGAATGGATCATTAGGTACAGTAACAAGTAGCTTGTACTGTACGCACCACATTTCTACTGAGTCTCTGGTTACAGTTTTAAATCTGTCGAGTCATTTTAAGGAAGATGAGCATTCTTTTGACTTGTTTTACTCCTCTCAGGCTCAGGTGATATGGACAGTCTCCCCAAGGTAAAATAAGATATTTACCTACTTTAAAACTACACTTTTGCACAATTGCACTGCATGCCAGATTGTTGTACCTTTAATACCATACAATCACTAATACGTTTTGTTTTGCATACTTTTTAAAAGAACTCTCCTGGTAACCTAAGTATGAGTAACCAGCCCGGGACCCCCAGGGAGGATGGAGAGATGGGAGGAAACTTCCTTAACCCTTTTCAGAATGAAAGTGTAAGGCGATTGTCATCCATCATATTAGAGATTAGAGGGATCTCAAGTTAACCCCAAAGTAAAGTTACAAATTGGTTCATAAAGTGTTAATGATTTTAAAAGGGGAAGTTTTATATTCATCGCGATACTCTTATTATACACTTGGCATTAAGAATGTGAAGCTATGCTAATCTGCTGCTACATGTTGCTTCTTCATTTTCCGTACAAACATGTGAGTGGTATGAATTTACCATATTCAAATTATATTGATTCATGAAAAAAAATGTCACTTAACAATTAACATTCTTGGAGGGATTTCTAATTAAGGATATTCTAAAACTGTGCACAATACTCATGCTCACGCACATAAACTCAAACATACTTATTTGTCTCCGTCTCCTCGCTGCAGTATTCCCCGAACATGACGATGAGCGTGTGAAGCCTCTGGAAGCAGATCTGCTTCAGTCGCAGAGTGACCCGGATCAGTGAAAAGCAGAAAGACAGGATGTGATGTCATCGAGGCCAGTGACTCTTCCTACACCGCCAACACACATTTGCCCCAGGCCCTGTCCTCCTACTGTCCCCCAAACCCTCTCCCCTCCATTGTTTCTGTCCACGTCTCTTCTGTCCTATTTCTTCTGCTGTTCAAAGTCGTGACTCTGCTACGTTCATCAGTTCTTCCTCTGCAACTATAAGACTGTACAAAGCAACCAAATTGAAACAACCCGGAGGAGAACTCTTTGCAAACAAAGTGAATGAGGCCGTGCAGATACGCTGGTTGTCACGTGTTATATCTTTACATCTTGTATCTTTTCTTGAGAAAAGCGAAATGGAGAGACTTCACTTTATATCGGGTAGTTTTTTTTATATACAATTCCCAAACCCATGTGGAAAATTAAATCTCTTCAATCATTATTTGCAGAAAGGGTTTCCTCACAACCTAAATATTTGTCTCCATTTGTAATATGAAGTCACATTTAGTAGAAACAGTGCAGCAGAAACAAAGACTGTACCGTATGCTGAATTCACCAACAGTGAGTTTTAGCATTTCTGAATTTAACTTTCTGTTTGGGAGAAGAAGAACGGGTTGCAACGTTGCAGAAAGTTGTAGTCTTGTTTAAATCGTCCTGTTGACTGACTGTTCAGAGAGCAGCAAGCATAAAACAAGCAAGAGGATCTGCACAAAAATCACATAGAACCGACTTTCAAAGGTTTTTCTTACTCTTAATTATGAAAAACACTGTATTAGTTCCCTTTTGGAGGATCATACATTTTGTTTACTGCAAAAACAAGGATGTTTAGAAATGGGAAATCAAAAGATATTTGATTTTTTTATTTAACTATATTATCAATTAAGAAAGGACACTGAACCTGCGCATGTTTTCATAGTTTCTTTTGTTGCTAAGGCCTCTCTCATCTCTTGTTACTTAAACATGTATCATTTTACATATTGGAGTCACAGTAGCAAAGTTATATAACGTGTCTTATCACTTTAGTCTCTCATACTTAATTGCCATCCGGATAAACTGTGATCTTATTGTGAAGTGAAGGGTCGCTTGGTACAGAAAGTGAAAATATGCTGGTGTTTTACTTTTTTTTTTTTCGCTCCCCAAGATGTACTATCATCATGTAGAAAAGGTTGCTATGCCTGTGAACATCCTCCTCTCCTCTTCCTTACTGCAAAGTGTACAGCTGACCAATGTAGCTCCTATATCTTGTATGTGTATTTGATATTATTATTATTTAAAAAAGAATCTGGAGAGAATTATTGCAAAGGGAGGGATGGATTGATGATGCACCATCACAACTTAACAGAGGTATTTTAATTTGCTTTTCTGTTAGATTGAAGCCATAATTGGGAGTAGAAGATGCATTTGTAAATTGGATCATGTTTTCTGTTTAGTGGCAGTACGTGAGACTCCATTTGTGATGTTCATTTTCTCTTTTTTTATTCTTGTATTATGTTTTTGTAAATACACAGAGAAGTACTTCATGGGTTTTGAATATGCTAGTATAAAACTTCTCTTCCCTTATTAAAAGTGTCAACTCTTTTCATTGGTGCGGACGGCTCAAGCTGCTCTCTTCGTTGTGGGGACGACGTGGGAACAGAACTCGCTCCCCTTCCGACTTCCCCACTTCTTTAATGCAGCTGTTCAAACCATTTCAAAGAGCCGGTGAGCAGCTAAGCTCAACACATTACGTCAATGCCAAAACACGCGCACAAACTACAGGAACAGTGACGTCTCGCAGGTCTATGTTAAGTTAGGGAGGGTCATAACAAGATTGTGTTGTAATATTGGTAAGACTTTGTAAACATCAAAGGAAGGCACTGACTTGGGGCCGATGCCACACAGTTGCACCGCGGTGCTGCAGCAGCCTGCTCGGTACGTTGGTCAAAGAAGCCGTTACTCTCTTTACAGAAGAGTACGGTATGAAATACATCTGTTGAATAGAATATCTTCTACAGAATCTTAAGATGAGTGACTATTACAAATAGTAAGAAAAATAAAGGTAATAATATTAGATAGTTTTACAATTTGTGTTTGTGTGTGAATGTGTCTTTCTTTTTTATTGTTTGTGTGTAGGTGTGTGTGAGTGTGAGAATGTGTCTTTCTTTTTATTGTTTCTGCCTTTGTGCCTGCGTGTGACTCTGTGCAGGGGGATGTTCACATATTAAAAGATGCAGGGGTCTTGTTATTCAGACTCTGCCAGCTGGCTGTTATGCAATGGGAAAACTAGGACGAGACCTTGCATACGGGAAGTGAAAAGGGAAGATGTGTGTGTGTGTGTGTCTGTGTGTCAGTCCACCATTACAACACTCCTCGTGGTTCCTTAAGGAGGCTCTCGCTGGCAGGGTCCCTGACTTACTTTTGCTCTCTGGCTGCCTGCTGTCTCGAGCAATGGATGCACAGCTGGTCACAGCTCTGCTGGCTCTGCTGGCTCTCACCTCCCTGGGTGCTGCATCTGAACTGGACTGCAAAGAGCTGGTCAAGCCTCTGGTACTGGACAGCCACAGCCCCGTGAGTACCCGCACTCATTTGTCATGATATATGAGGAGGCTTCGTAGCACACTGCTGTGTGATCATGTCTTTAGTTTGAAGATGTTAAGGATAAAATCAAGGTCCATCCCTCCTCGGCAGGCTCTCTGTTTTGCACTGGACAAGAAAGATTCTGCCACATAATAGTTCAAAAAGTGAGAAGCCTCTGCTGCCATCTTCTACGTGCATACTAAGCATAAGTGGAGATGCATTATATCGAATTCTTTTCCATTTTAGCCATTATTTTCTTTATTTTGTTTTTAGTTGTACCATTTGTTCATTCCATCAGTCCGGCTGACCGTGGATGATTAGAGCGATTAGTATTTCACATTTTTTCACATTTGGTATTTGTGTGAAAGTAAATTATTCAATATAATTGATAATCACTAAGATAATTCTCAAAATAAATGAAAATCATTGCACCAGCCTGAGCTAACAGGGAACAATAATCAACCAAGTATCAGAATTGATTCACTACTTAAGACTAAAGGATTTTGAAGGTTTAACTTTGTGTGTGTACCAGCCAGAAAACCCTTTTTCTACTTGCTGTGGCACATTTGTTTTCATACTTATTTTTGTTTATTTAATCTATTTTCAAATTTTGTGGACTAAGCGTTGCACTTCAAAAGAAAGTTGGTCAGGTGGTTTCCTGTTGGAACGCGATCGGTACCTGTTTTATGTGCAGTCTATTTATAAACCGCTTATTTTTAGGTATTTTTACATGTTTACATGATTTCTGAGTTCTGATTCTGATTAGATGACGCTTTTATTGAAAGCGACTTACAATAAGTAAGACAACAGTTGCACCGCAGCGAGTAGTTGCAATGTTAGTAATGCAGATCAGTTGATGTCATAAAATCCCCTCCACAATCCACTCATTTGAGTAAAGATTTTGCTGTGAATTTGGAAGCTGGAAAGCAAAAATTGAAGATTGAAAAACCTTCACTATTATATAAATATTATACTACTCTGATCACGCGATGGCACAGAGAAGCAGCCCAGTGATGTGAGTGATCTGTGTGACGTCTCGCCTCTGTGTAAGATCTATGGCAAGTGGGTGCTCCACGTGGGCTCATGGGACAAGCCCGGTCTGAAGAGCGACCTGGTGACGGTGAACGGCTCCTGGGTGGATCTGTCGCCTTCCTCAGACAGCGGAGTCATCTCCATCTACTGGTCCGACCGCCTGTAAGGACACTGCAGACAATTTGTTATGTCCTACTTTTGCTCTCAAGCGAACGATAATGGTTAAGATTGTATATCGAAAGGTAGATGCTAATTACTTACTCCTTTTTATCATTGTGTTTTTGCTGTTGCAGAAATGGAAATCGATGCCTGCAGGGATTAGCCAATGCCACCATCACAGGGATGACCAGTCACACCACCTGTAACTATCTCCATCAACAGCCCTCTGTAACGCGCTAATGTTCTGTGGGTGATGCAGCATGCAGCCCAATAGTCAAGGAGATAGTTGCAAAAGGATTCCAAGTACATTTCATCATTTTATTCTATGTTTTTTTATTTTCAAATTGAAATAAAAAAGACAACCTCATACTCAATGCATGCATTTCGGGTTCATTCATTTGAAGCCTTTGTTCCCGATCTGTCACAGTTAACATCAATGGTCACACTTCATATCATGATGGGAAGTACTATGAGACCTGCGCCGACTGCCTCCTGTCTGAAGACACCACTCTCCTCCCCGATGGAAAGTCCAAGGGACGATACCTTTACCTCTTTAGTAAGGATAGTTCTTCCCCTTACAGGAACTGGATAAAAAAAGTATAGAACTTGATTATTTGTTTCTTATTTCTGTCTGCTTTCCTCCGGCTTCTCTTTTAAAGCACGAACCGGCACTTTGGAGCCATCTGAGTTGGAAACCTTCAAGAAGCAGGCTGAGTGTCTTAACTTCCTCCCAGAGTACCACTTTGGAGGAACAGGTCAGATATCATTTTCTTTCGTGCCAAATCATCCATCAAACCACAACTTCGTGCCGCCTTCTTCACCCATTGATATTTTTCTCCTATTTCAGAACTGTGTCCAGATAACAGGGTCCCCGCTTTGCCTTCTGCGGAGAGTACAGGGGATAATCAAACCGACGTTGAGCCTCCTGCAGAGTAAACCACAGCAAAGAGATGTTGTAACGCTCTGAACAGCATCCACTCACCCAAACTCATCAGCTTAAAATGTGCTTAATAATGCTGTAATGACATCTGCATGCGCTGTGGAGTAACTTTTTGTCATTCTGTCATTGCCTCGATTCAGCAGCAGCAACGCCGTTTGACCTTTTATTTAGTTTAATAAATGTGGTATATGAAAAGAATGTGCCGGACACACAGATGGCTGAAAATCCACTTAAACGCCTCGGTCAAAGTAACTTTTTCCAATTGCTTATGTGAAGTAAATAAAACGGCTCTCAGTCCCACTCTGTGTTGTGTTCTAGTCATTTATTTCTCCCGTTGTTTAGAAAAAATCTTTGGTTTTAGAGCCCCGACTGTTTCCAAATTCCAAGAGGCAACACACTTCTAATCTAATCTAATCCAGACACTTTTAATCTAATCTAATCCAGACACTTCTAATCTAATCTAATCCAGACACTTCTAATCCATAGACTCAAAATGAAACGCTTCCCAAAAGTAAGGCAGTAGAAAAAGAGATGTACAATATGCATCCTTTGATTAAATATTACACTACGATAGGAATTTAAGACCCTTTTATTTATATATTATACCATGATATTTTCAAGACCTTTTTATGACGTACTACAAGTTGCAATTTCTCATGAAATTCAATTACATTTTCAAGTTTTATTCATAAAGTACATTTTTATGCCTTTTTTAATGACTCATGCTGTACTATATTGTGACATTTTCATGACAAAACTTTCACTTTGTTAAAAGTTTTTTTTTAACAGTTCAATGAAATATTGATTCAATACCATTATATCCATCCATCGATTCCATCCATTGATTTCAACATATATCCCATGATGCATTGGATCAATACGGTCAGATCTGACTGTGTGTGGAGCCCTGCTGATCTCAGGCACCACAAACAATGGTTATACCATAAACATTTACCCCGTCCTCACGTTCTGCAGAGTTGCTGTTGGGCAGCAGACGCAGTAATGAGCATGATAGTGAAAGTGTAATAAATAATGTAGAGATTCCTCTTTTTGGTTGTTAAATAACGCTGTAAGTCGTGCCCGCAGGCAGTCTGTGCATGTCAAATGTTGCACCTGCTCTTTGGTCTCTTACGAAATGCATATGAATATTTATTACACAAACCCACTGCTCGCTGTAGTTCACTCCCCAAAAACGTCTCCTCCCAAACAGACATAGAGCAGCGGTCCAGAGTTTATGTAACTTCTAGTCTTCAAGAGGGCCTCTCTGCAGAAACAGTGTTCTTTCTGGCTGTGGTTCCTGAGGTTTGGACGTCAAATCATGTGGGTCCAGTGTTGTTTAGCTCTGCTGGCTCTCTCCTTTGTTACGGCTTCATCTGATCCGGGCTGCCAAGAGTTGCTCAAACCTCAGGAGGATCGCAGCAAGGTATGTTTCCCTCGGCATTTACGTCTGGTCCAAACAGGCTTCAACATCTGGGCTCTGATGACTCCAAAATTAAGAGTCCTTCTTTGAGTTAAAAAATGTGTAAATGAAAACTTTGCACATCTGTGTACAGATTTATGGAAAATGGATCTTCCATGCTGGAACGTCAGACAACGAAGAGCTCCTGAAGGAACTGAGGACTTTAAACAGCTCCTGGATCGAACTCTAACCCATACCTGATAGTGAAGACATGACCCTTCGCTGGGGAGACAAAAAGTAACTGTTGTTCTTTTGAAAACTGAATACAACCAATGCTGAAGGCAGCTGGCGAGACTTACTGCATTATAACATTTGTTATGTTGAACTCTCCTTACCAGGGATGGAAAATGTCATGGCGGAGGCATACATTTCACCTTTGCTGAAAACATCACCACGGTGACGTGTAAGTAAATGATAAACATGCACTCTAATCCACACTCATTACAAACGAGTTACGACACTTGATGGTGTTGTTCGTGTTTAACAGTTCACTTGAACGCCTCTGATCACGAGCACGTCGGGAAGCACCTGGTGACCTGCGCCGACTGCATCCTGTGGACGGACACCAAGGTGTCCACGGGGGACGGCAGGAACGGCAGGAACATCTACATCTTCAGTGAGTTCAGAGCTGCGTGATATGTGTCTCACTTAAAAATAGAACTTCCGAAATCCCCAAAACCCACCTCACCACCTTCCACTGCCCCGCAGCAAAGACAGGGAAGCTGGACCTCCCCGATATGGAAGTTTTCAAGAAACAGGCTGCGTGCCTCAACTTCCCACCGGAATTCCACTTTGGAGAATCCACAGGTGAGATGCTGATTCACCGCTGCACAAACCACACTAAGGAACACCGTTCATGGAACTTATTCAGCTGCTTATCAACTCGATTCCCTCCTCCTGTTTTCAGATCTGTGTCCTTAAGAGAAGGCGGCTGCGACTCATGTGTAGGAGGAAGAACAATAGAGATCTGAAGTTACTCTCTGACCTAAATTTGATGGAAGTATGCTCTCCTGGATGTGTGTAAAACTCACACGACCACACGTCCGGAGGGATGTGAAGAGAACACCCGTTCTGTTGTTAATCGTGTTTGATTGCTGTGTTAAAGAGAGTTGAATACACTGAATTCACACTGAATGTTGGAAGCGTAACTTGGATACAACTTGAATGCCTTTTTCTGTCATGCATTAAAAGCTCAATAAACACAAAAATGTTTGCATGTAAAAGATTATTTTATTGTTGAAGAAGAGATCAATCAATCAACAGAAGTCCATTCTTATTTAATTCACAGGTTTGTCAAACCTAAAGTAGCACCAAGGTACAACTCAGATTGGGATTAACGGCCATCTATACCCATGTGGTGCTTTGTTGTTCTTCACTATTAATGTGTTGTCTGTACCAAATACGATGTTTGTTCATGAGTGTACTTGCTGCCAGAACACCCTAAGCAATAGTTCAATGATCGTCTTTTTTATACTTAAGTGGAGGAAAGTGGCATCGAGAAAAAGCAAGAACAGCAAGGGAAGAGAAATGAAAACAACAACAAAGCCACAGTGAAGGAAATGGAGCCTCTCTCCGAGGTGGAGGTGATGTGTACAGCTGACAAACAAATACAAACCCTGAACGCAGAACAGGAGGTCAAAAATTATTTTAGAAACAACAAAAAACAGGAAGTGAACATTTTTAAGATACAAAAAACCCCACATGGAACTCATTGCTTGAGAGAACTGGAGCTGTTTTACAGATCAAACCTTCTTGATACTGTGAAGCACAACTTGTAATTCATTACCAGCATGTTGAAACAAACTCTCAACATATCAACATTTCAAAGGTCTTTTAGTTTGTCAACTTCAGATAACGAGAGTTACGTATGTAAGTAGTTCACCTCCCCCCGGCCCGACGGAGACAATAAGATACTTTTCAAAGAAGCTGATGATCTTATATTTGGTCAATACGGTACTTCTAGAAGGTATTTTGAATGTTTTCAAGCCATTTCTTTAATAACAGATGACAGTGGAGTAGGCTTTTGTGTGTGTGTGTGTGTGTGTGTGTGTGTGTGTGTGTGTGTGTGTGTGTGTGTGTGTGTGTGTGTGTGTGTGTGTGTGTGTGAGAGAGAGAATGTGTCTTTCTTTTTATTGTTTCTGCCTTTGTGCCTGCGTGTGACTCTGTGCAGGGGGATGTTCACATATTAAAAGATGCAGGGGTCTTGTTATTCAGACTCTGCCAGCTGGCTGTTATGCAATGGGAAAACTAGGACGAGACCTTGCATACTGGAAGTGAAAAGGGAAGATGCGTGTGTGGCCCAGCCCACTATTACAACACTGGTTGGTCTAGCTGGCAGGATCCCTGACTCATTAGCGTTGCTCTCTGGCTGCCTGCTGTCTCCAGCAATGGATGCACAGCTGGTCACAGCTCTGCTGGCTCCCACCTAGGTGCTGCATCTGAACTGGACTGCAAAGAGCCTCTGGTAACGCTTTGGGGCGGAAAGTTTCCCCTAAATAAGCTAATGCTTGCAAATTTCGACCCTTTTTTTTGCAAAAGCATACGACAGAGAGCCGACTATGGAGGCGTAGCTCAGCTGGACACTGGGTGCAGCCAGTTGGGAACAATGTTGGCCAGAAATGTAAAAATAAAACGTTCTGTTGTTTTTGACCGTCTTTGTCCATACCTAGCATATTGATTACCTGGTAAACTGAAGCCATGTTCATTTTAAAAGAGTTTATTTGTATACAGTACAGGCTAACTTCTGCAGCACAGAAACTTCCACAAAGACTGTTGCTGGGTAACGTCGTCGTTAGGGGGAGAGAGATGACGTCAAACTTGTGAACTGTCGCCACAAGGAGTCGGACACGCAGAGAAATAACTTTCCCTCAACTGAAGAAAAGCCGCCTCGGGTCCTTTTCAAATGTCAAAGACGAGTCTTGAGGTCTTTCGGGGGCAACTCTACGGGCGGCAGAGGATGGCTCAGCTCAGCCTTTCAATGCTGAACTGAAGAAATCTGCATGGGTCTGCATGGCAGTTGCCGTCACAGGTGCATTTGAGCATGCAGAAGCCACCTCCTCCCCATTTTGTTTGGAAACCCAAGGGGAAAATGGATCAGCGTTAGAGGTCCTCTGCCGTGCTGCTGACTCTCCATCTCATCCTCCTCTCTGTCCGATCATGGCTCTGCCTGCTGTTGTGGTTCTGTTGGCTCTCGCTTCCCTCGGTGCTGCATCTGCACCTGACTGCAAGGACCTGCTCAGACCTTTTGTACCAGACGACCCACAACAGGTAGGTTTCCCAAAGATATTTGATTTCATCTGAAATGCATATAAACGATAAGTACATTCAGACAGCTTTGACATAGTTGTGTGCATCTTGACTTTTTATGTGAAGATTTTTGGAAAATGGGTGTATGTGATGGGAGCCGGTGACCCGAAGCCCTACCACAAGGCATTGGAGTCTCTGAAGAGCTCCTGGATAGACCTGTCCCCAACTTCAGACGGTGAAGTTGTGACTCTACGATGGGGAGATAACTGCTTGTAAGTTTGCTCCTTTATTTAAATACTTTGGGCAGAATCATCACTTTATACATTGTTATTTGAAAAAGTTAACCTTTAAAATATTGTGCAAACAGCATCTTAAATTTGTAGCTTCTAAAAAGATATTCTGTCACCAAATGTTCTCGTTTCTCAGTAATCGGTGCATCTTTGGGGAAGTGAATGCAACAGTCTCAGGGAATGCCACCACATTTCGTAGTAAGTGGCACATGAAATGTGTGTGTATATATATACGTATATATACACATACATATATATATATATATATGTATGATTAAGGACACAGTGCTGTATATCCACTAAATAATATTGGAGAATAATAGTCTGCATTCGTCTACTTTTAAAGAAAATCTTTCAGGCCACAAAGGACACGTTCTACAGACTTGCTCCGACTGCCTGCTGTGGACAGACACCTTTCAGAACGAGGACGCCACTGGTAGATACATCCTGCAGTTCAGTGAGTTCCTCGTTGGTTTAAACACAGTTGGTCAGCGCTTTAAATGTGGTAAATCATTTCTATTATCTTCTATCAGCGAGAACCGGAAAAACTAATCCCGAAGATGTTGATCTTTTCCGGAAACAAGTCGGGTGTCTGAGCTTCCCAGAGAACTTCCACAGCTACGATGGTGAAACAGGTGAGTTGATCTGCAGCAAACTTTAATGTCTAAAAGCAAAGCTGCCCCTGTGACTCCAAACTGCAACACACACATAACTTGGCATACAATAGATTTGTGAAGTAAAATGTTTACATTTACATCCAATGACACGTTACGCAGCTTAAAGTTCATGAAGTGCAATGCACATGGTGAGGAAATGGAAATGCTTTCAACATTGTCCATAATGCTGAGAGAAAATATTTTCTATTTTCGTTTTGTTTTAATATTTTGTTTCAGAGCTCTGCCCCGATGAGAGAGAGAGAACACCGTGAACAGCAATACAAAACATGGAGAAACAGCAACAGAAGTATTGTAGAAAATATGTTATAATGTAGAATTTTTGCCTTGATTGAATTATGTATGTTGAGTTAGTTTGCATACATACATTTATAATTACATTCTCTTCAATAACTTGTAATGTTTTTCAGATTAAAGCTCTTTTATTATTAACTGTGTATATCTTAAGACTCCACACACAAACAAGACTATGAAACAAACATCTAAAAGAATGACATGTTATGTGCCATTTACACTACAGTCGGGTATATTTTGTGACACCAAAATAACAGGTAATTGAATTCAAATGGCACTGGATATACCTAGTATTTTTATTATTGGCATAAACTCTTTAAACCAGAACCCACAGAATAAATATCAAAGTGTCTCAGAAATGCATCCCGGGTGACGCCACCGGCCTGCCGCCGTGGCTGCTCTCCATCTTGCATGACCTGCTGACGTCTCTCTTCCCGCCTGCTTGTTGAGCTCCGTATTCCTGAGCTGCTCTTTGCTTGTGCCCGTCGGCGACACCTGAGCAGCTCTGCCACCTGCTTCTGGCACTGAGAGGAGGCAAAGTAGTACAGGACCGGGTCCAGACAGCAGCTCAGGCTTCCTACGCACGTGGACAGCAGGTAGGCTTGGTAGGAGCCGTCGCTGGACCTGTGGGACAGCTGAACGTAGTGAACCATCAGGATGACGTTGGTCGGCGCGAAGCACGCCACGAACACGGCCAGCACGGCCGCGGCCATCACCGCGGCTCGCGTCTTCCTGAACCGCTTCTCCGCCTTCGCTGCCGCCAGGGCCCGAATAATACGGGCGTAACAGACGCCAGTGAAGGCCAGCGGCACGAAGAAGAAGACAGAGGAATAGATGGGGAAGAAGTAAAGATAGTGAGCTCGTAGCTTTTCCGAATCCTGCACATCGTGGCAGGTGGTAATGCCCAAGTCCGACAAATGGACGGTCTGCCCGGAGACGAGGAGAGGCGACGCTCCTCCGAGGGCCAACAGCCACATGGCAGCACACGCCGCCGAAGCCGCCCGAGGGCTGCGCCACGTCAGGGAGTCGATGGGGTACACGACCGCCAGGAAACGGTCAACGCTGATACACGTCAGCAGCAGCACGGAGCAATACATGTTGCAGTAGAAAGCCGCGGTGACAACTCTGCACATGAAACAGCCGTAGATCCAGTCGTTGCCATGGTAATGGTAGGCGATCTTGAAGGGAAGGAGCAGGCCGAACAGCAGGTCAGCACAGGCCAGGTTCAGCATGTAAATCGCCGCCGGTTTTCTAGGATGGACTTGATGCATGAACATCACCACGGCGACGAGATTGAGGGGCACGCCAACAATGAAGACGAGAGTGTAAACGGTCGGGACAAAGGTCGTTGTCAGGCGACCCTGAAGGAAACCTTTGGTTTCCTCAGAGACAAAGAAGTGCTTCTTGGGGTCGCGGTGCAGACCGTGTCTTTTAGCCGATTCCTCCGCCGACTCGGAGCCGGAGCGTTCGTCATCGGTCAAACTGTCCAACGACAGGTCAACGTAGTCTACAGGCCCAGCGCTGACTGCTTTAAAGTGACCAGAGAAGGTCCGAAGGAAGGACACTGAGCCTTAGGAGAGACAAAGGGAAACAATAAGTTTTCAAACTTGCTTCCATGTGATGCGTTATTTAGTCATGTGCAAATATAACATCATATAAGACACACTGCTACAGTATTCAAAGGTTTAAATTACCTACTTTATCATTACTCAACTGTAGAGACATCAAGCCATACAGATTTTTTTGTCGTCTTTGAATCCAAAAGATTGCCGTGACTCTAATAATCTACAGACAACACGGTTTGTTTTTCTCATTCTATAGAAGTCCAGAAATAAAGGAACTGTGTTGTTTTTCGAAGTTGGAGAAAATATCAAAAGATAATTTTCAGAATTTCTGACCTTTCACAAATCTTTAACATATGTCAGTTGTAGAGTGGCAGGAGTTTATCAATCGATTGTTTGTGAAACCATTTGGTTCATTCATAATTTGGTCATGGAAGACTGCATTCAGATAACTGCAGTTAGTGAAAACTGTAAAACCCTATTGTATTTTCTCCCTACATAAAGTATTATCAGTAACTTATAAACCAACAAAAAATGTATTGGAGTAACCATTTAAATATATTATACATATAAAACTGCACTTCGGTCTAAAGTAAAAAAAAAAAAAAAAAAACACCACCAACCTAACTAACCAAGCACACGCCGTTTATGATGAATGCTCATTTTTGAAATAAAACCCCCCCACAAAAAAACAACCATTTTAACCTACAGTAGAATAATTACAGTCACGGTCAATAACTGCAGATATACACTTTAGTAACAATCTGCAAGTGCTGAACAGACAAAGCAACTGTTCAAACAAGTTGCCTCATTTAGTTTGTTTAGAGGGATGATGTGTTCATGCTAACCTTTATGCATCTGTAAAACCCAGCAGGGTACAAGCCTGTAGCAATACATAAACATAGTACTCGGTTTATGGGTTAGAAAGCCACTTACCATTTTGTGAGGCGAGTGCTAAACTCTGGAGGGAAAACACCGACACCAGAATATTAAGGGGCTTCATTTCTTCAACGTGTATCCTGCAGACAGGAAACATGTACTCGCGGGTTGGAATCATCAGTCTGAAGAGTTGAAGTGTTTTTGTGTGCCAGCATCAAACATGTTATTACTGAGTGGATGATGCTCCGCCTCCCCTCACTACATCTCCGCCCCATTGCGGTAAACTATTTGTACCAGCGTACGAGGTGAGAGGCAACAAATAACTGAGGACATGTGTAATTTATTATGCACATTGTTCAAACATTAGAAATCACTTATATACGGAAAATACATATTGAAAATATTTCAGTGGTAGCTTTTAAAGTGTTTTATTAATTAAACAGGTTTCCTAATTAAAAAGGCACTAGTAAACTACACTATTCCCACGAAGCTGTACAGGCTGGAAAGTTGCTCTCGAGTTTTGAACAGATAGTTGGTTCAACATAAAAGGTGACGCTTGTTGGGTCTCCAAGCTTTTACATACAAAACAAGAATATTATTACAATTTCATTCTTAAAAATGCACATTTACAATTACCACAATGCAGATAGATTCATTTGAATAACATTTAATTTAGGTGTGATCCATTAAATAAAATGAAACATCCGCCATCGGATGTTCGCTGACTAAATGCATTTTTTGTTCAACAGCGCTGTCAGAAGGCACATTCTCGTTGCAATTCCTCTCCTGTTGCTTGTTCGTCCCGTTCTCATTTGCCATAGAATTTTTTGTTCAGGAGGAAGATGAGTAAATTGACGTTGACTTTGGCTTTATCAAACATCTTCATGACCGCCACGCCCTCATACTGCAGCTGAAGGAGGTCCTGGACACAAAATACAAATAGCAGCTCATCTCTATAAAGTTTCTAATGTATCAGATTTCTACATGATGGTATATCATTGAAATCCTGTCCATTGAAAGAACTTTTTCAGTATATTTTTCCCTATATATACACATGAACTATATGAAGTATTTGTTCTTACTCGATACAAAAGACACACACAATGATTTGCAATAAATGTATCCACTACTGCAGTATTTATTTAAAGAGCTTTGTCCAATTTCTGTGTAATTCCCTGCTAGGATTCGATGAGTGGAAAAGGACGTTTAACCATCTATCATGGAAGTTAAGTGTTGACTAACGAGTTGCATTATTTTATAACTTTCTTACGGCATTGGGAAATTTTTACCTGGAAATGAAGCTGGACTTTTTCCATCTCAACTCCCATGAACTTTGCTTTCACCTCAAAATCCCCAACGTCCTCAGTGGGTGAAATGTCAAACATGACATTTTTAAACCTGACAAGAGAAAGAGGCAATGACATTATTGCAGTAGTAGAGACCTGAGAGGAACTATTCAGACAACTCAAATCAGCCTATATTTGCTTAAGTATACTTTTTAATATTGACGTTTATTTTAACATTGTATTTAATCTTATTATAGAATTTTTAATACCTTTTAACTCTAAGAATAACAATCTCTTCCTGGAGAAAATAGTATATTGATATATATGGATACAACTGAACTAATGTAAAAAACAGATTTTTGTGTAAACATAAAGGCATTTCCCCCGATGATTAATAAAGTATATATCTAAACACACAATATCCCTACTAGGTTATTTGTCTTTTTTCCTCACGGTCCGATGTTAAGCACCAACCGCCACGTCAAATTCCTTGTATGTCTGACATATTTTCATCCTGATTTAAAAGGTTTCAGCCTTTCCTGGTTAAACTGCCTAGAAAAAAGCTTCGTCTTGCGAGTGATGATTTCTTTAGCAAGGTTGAACGCTAACGCACACACATTTCCATGGAGGTGGACGGGTAGATTAGATTTACATCACTGCCTAACAAGAGAAATGTCAGCATAGTTGGTGTAATATCAGTGGTAAAGACGAACTCTGTAAATCTGCACCAAGCCTTGGACAAGAGTCAAAGTGTTTCAACTCACTGGTTTGTCTGAAGTCCTTCTATTTCCAGGATAACTCCTTTCTCGTGCAGCCTTGCTGCAGTGTACTTCAGAGACTGTGGCTTCCACTTCTTACTGCCCTTATTTTCACCTTTTCCGTCCAGTTTTATTGATCTGCGTGAATTCCTGGAACAAACAGACACAGTGACACATATAAAAAATAAAAAAAAATAAAAAATCTTGTCGCTTACAACAATGCACAAATCAAAAAAATATGGAAGCAAGATTATTATTATTATTATCATCACAGTAAGAATTGTTACAAAGTCCACATCTATAATCAAAGTAAAAATATGCAACTGACTTCCGGTTGAGGTTGTCCAGGCAGGTCTTGATGTACGTATCATAATAGTTCATCTGGTCCTGGTAGAAGGTGGTTTTGGAGTTGAGTGCCGTCAGTGTCTGCTGGAGTTTCACAAGCTCGGCCTTCCGTCTCTGTCTGTAGCGTCTTTGGTAGCGAATGTCCTGTCAATGAACGCGTCAATCTCAGAAGCCGAACAGGCCCAACGAAACACGCGGCATGGAGGCGCGTATCGTCCAACGTGAATAAAGAGCTGCTTATGTACCTTTGATATTTCGTTGACGAGGTCCTGGTACTTGTTACCGGCCGTGACAAAGGAAGCCTGTTCCAGGTTACGGAGGTTCCTCAGGATCTTCCTCTTCTTCTGCTCAAGAGGCAGCTGGCTGTCCTCCAGCACTGCCGGGCTGCTCTTCAACCCTTCTGGGGTCAGAGCGTCCTGGACGGCCCGCCGCTCTATAACCTTGGTATGCTCAGACTCCTTGAAGAGCAAAGTTGTGAAAGAAGTGCATGAAGCAGTTAGAACTTCAAGGAAAACATCAAAAAATGAGCAAAACCAGATGGAAGAAAATATCACCTGGATGACAGAAGCTGGAGTCTCAAGAATTTCAGGCAACGTCTCTCCATGTTGAATCCGAACGACATCCACTATAAGCTTTTTCGTCCTGATACACAGACACAATAATCATAAAGAGCTTGTCACCTAAACCAAACAATACAGCGGTTGTCATCTGATGGCAGAAAAAAAAAAAAAAAATATATATATATATATATATATATATATATATATGACTTTATTTCAAGTGTTGGGGAGAATGTTCACACCCAACCAACATGCCTGATTCAACACAGTACGGACGTTTTACAGCAGAATCATTTCATCATTCCGGATAAATTGACATGCAAAGAGGAAGACAAAGACCAACTGTGTATCCGTAAGGACACGCTCACTTGCAAGATAACACTGACCACCAAACAGCTTCCTTTTTGACAGGAAATGATAGAAGAGCAGGAAAGACGACAAAGACGCAAATAAAGTAACAGCCAAAGAAACAGTGGGTGAAGGGTTGAGTACATCACACAACAACAGAGTAATCCCTATATATTAAGGACTTTTAAGTACAGTGTGTGTGAGATATAGGATAATGGTTTTAAATATACATCAAATCTGGATTGTGACCCTTTACTTCTGTAGATCATATCATCACAATCCAGACGATTGCAATATCAAACTGCAGTTTGCGACAAGCTTAACGACAGGCTTTGAATTAAGCAGTTTCCGCCAACAATTAACATACTTTGTCATTAGAGTCTTCAGGTCTCTATCATCTCCTTCCAGCAGCTCCAACTTGCTGGTTAGGGTGAGGGAGATCTCCGTCTTAGCCAGTTGGCTCAGAGCGCTCTCTCTGTTTGGGTCATTTTGGTCCACCGCTCCTTCGCCTAAAATAGAACCGCATGAGGTGTAAAATGCCTTGATAATGATTGAGAAAAACGTACAAGTACACATATGTACAGTACTGGTGAAAGGTCCTTTGGCTTGTAGTGTGTGTGTATATATATATATGACGGTACCAAGTAATGTCTCTACATCAGGGACATCTCCCAGGTCCTGCAGCAGCTCATGTAGCAAGTCATTGGGATCAGGGGAGATGGCCTCCAGATGTTCCAAAAGCAGCTGAGAAAATACAGTTGTAATTAGTCTTATTCATTTTAATAAATATTTACTGTAAAATGTATGCAACGAGAAAAAGGACACATTCACGAGCGAGAGGTCAGAGACGTCTTTGACGCACTGTGCTCATCAAGTGTCCCGTTCAAGGAAGCGGTTTATAAATGTTAAATAAGTAAATGATGACGTAAAGAAATGAAGCGAGAAACAAGTGATAAAGACCAACACATGCTTATAACAGGAGGCAACATGTAGCCATGGTGATTAGGTTTACCGTGTGGGTATTGATGATTTCATCTATTGAGATGTAGATGATAGGCTTGCTCAACGTCACCATGTCGGAGTATTCATCAATGTTAAACCTCTCCTCAGGTTCAGGAACATCACAGGCTGACTGGAAAAATACCCTGGAAGAGGAAGAAAAGCAGTAATTAGTGGTTTTAAGTCTAAGAGGGACAACGGACCTGTTACTTTTTTAACTTGGGTGAATTGTTTCCACAACATAAGACTATTGTTTATAAGAGTTCCAGTAAACCACAATCTGAGGCAGATAACAGCACAGCCCTTCTATTTAGTACTGGTCTCACTACAGTTCAGTGATTCAAAAAAAAAAAAAAAAAACGTTAGGACAGATTAATCAGTTTCAGATTATTTGTACCTCCTCAATAACAAAACAAACCCAACATATTAATCACTCCTGTCTTACCTAAACTTCTCATACGTCTGAGATATGTAGTTGTTCATGGACGTCATATGTGCGTTCTCGCCCTCAAAGAGCTTGTTGGCAGCGGCATGCTGGAGCATCTTGGCCACGGACCCCAGGTTACGGCGCTGGTCTACGTGGAGCTGCCCTCCTGCCAGCATGTCGATGATGTCGAAGCCATCCGGGGCCACGATGGCGGGGTTCATGTAGCGGTAGTAAAGCAGGTTCCCCACAATCTGTGGGGAAAAAAAGAGAAGGCATCGTTGACTCTCTGATTAATGAAATTGTACTCGCCTCAGCATGTGGTGCTCGGCAGGATGAAAAAAAAAAATATATATATATATATTATATATTTTTTTTATTTATTAATTACACATATCTGAAGAATTCTACCTTCATCAGTTCATCCTCTGAGGCATCTGGGAACTTTTCATGGAGGCTGTTCTTCAGAACTTTTGCAACGTATCTCATGCCATAACTACATGCAAAACAAAAAGCAGGGATCGGACATCAAACACAAACACAACATGCATTCAAACACTGTGGGAGAAATGAGATGGACTGATATGACGGATATTTTCATTAATGACTTCAAGATTTGTATACATGCATTTAGCACCATCCAGTGGTGTATATTGTCTCTAGCAATACTTTATATAGCGGTTTGAAAAAATTCTAGTTAAAGAAATGATGAAAAAATGATTATGCCCGTTTCAAAAACAGAACTGGTTTACTTGAGCTTCATGAAGCACAAATCAGACTTGTGTTTGAGCAACTGACAAGATGACGGTTTGCTGCAAAGCAATGGTTATCTAGTAATAGCTATGTTCCTGCATGCAACTGAAACCATAACAATCAGAATGAGCAGCAAATGACGTGTCAAAGCTTATGATCATATCCTGTCAATGCCTATTTTAGCCACATTGTATTGTTATTGTATAAAGTAAAAAGAGGAAAAGACGCAACAGGAGGATGAAAATAGTTATTTGTTCTTACATGAATTGACATCTATTTTTGTATCCTTTCCATTAAAACTGAATTTCAGATATGATTTAAGAATCACAACAACAAATGACGGCCTTGAGAGCTGAATAAACACCTCTCACACGATCAAGACATATTCAAGTTGGTCATTTTTACAAAATTAGTTTTTATGCCATTACATTGTGTAATACATTGCAACACGTTATTTTGGGGAACCTTGTTAATAGACAGAAACTGAATGCCATCTAGTATTGATAACTTTGTTGGAACTTTTAATGCCAAACGTCAACACATCCCATTTTATTCCTCTTTATGTCATTATTATTATTTAATTTATTAAGTGGTTTAAAAAAAAAGCTACTAAAGATTCAACAAAATCATGCAGACCAATATACTCAGGCACTGACGAGCAATACTGTCACAGATAATACACACGATGGGAGGAGATTTACTTTTAACAGCTGCTGAAACTTACGGGATATTATCCAATGAGGACACAATGGAGTTCAAGACCTTATCCGTTGCAGAGCGGAGAGCCAGACCGGAAGCCTCCAGCCTGTTGCGCACCTCCTCGTGGGACACGGCCTGCTCGGGAGTCACTTCATAAGGCAGCTTGCTGAAGGAACAAAACACAACCAGTCGGCGTTAAGGCTCATCATCGTGGGGATTTTCTGTTTGTGTCACTGTTTAAAAGTCTGGGATTTTTTACATAACTGCAAGATATCTAATTTGTACCACTGTATGTTTAATGCCGCGGATCTCCATTATCAGCTATGTCATAACTATGTGAAAATAACTCAAGTTTAGTTCTAGATAATGGGATACAACATGCAAAATCACCTGTAATACATTTTGTTTTTAACCTTGGGACATAACAAGGGAGCACACACCTGGCCTCTCCAGTAACAGTCTCCAGCTGGTTGACCCAGGCTTTATACACATCCACTGGGTTAGTGTTGATCCCTAAGCTCTTGTCCTCAATAATGTCTTTGACCACTGGAGCCAGCAGCTGCCTGAGGGTGTTCTGGCCACGTGCGCCTCTGTTGAAGCTCACTACCATCTTTATGACCGTAGGGTTCCCGGTCACAATGTCCTGAATCTGGTCCACCTTAGAACTGAGACACATGGAGCAGATGGTACAGTATTATCCGACAAACAACAACGTCAGCTTTGTGCAGGTGCATATAGCTCCTGATGCAAAGTAACCACTACAGTGACTTAAGATCAGCTGCTGTTCTCACTTGATCTCCTCCTCCAGAGCCGTCTTGAAGAGTTTGTTCAGCAGGTATTCCTCTCTCTGGTTGGACGCGTAGTTGTACAAGGTGAAGACCACAGTGTCCATAAACTTTGTGGATTTGTTTTGGGGCATCTGGAAGATGAGCTTGGCCAGGTAGTGTGGATTGGTCTAAAAGGGAAGGAAAAGAGAAGGTGTATGTATAAGTATGAATATCTTATAAAACCGTTTAAGTCGAGTGATGAAGATTTAGTTGAGATATTTTTGTTTCACCTGCAGCAGGTAAAAGAGATGCTGGTAGGCCTCCAGTTTCCGTCGTTTGCCTTTACTTAGTCCCTTGATGCCCAGCCTGTCTCCTGTAGTCAAGTCCTCTGTACTCCTTTTATTTTTCTTGCTCTTCATTTTTTTATTATGGGACACAACATCCTTTTTCATAAACAAAACAAAAAAAAAAGTGAGTCAATCAGCAAAACTGTACAGGAAAGGCAACTATTACAGAGGCTTTATAGTATGTCAATGAACAATAACACGGTGTACCCATCTCCTCTCCATGTACTCATAAAAGCAACGGTTGCCAACCTGCAGAGTGATCCTGTTCTTCACCAGAAGTCCAATCTTTATGTCCATCAGGTTCAAATCTTTCTCCATCTGCTGATTGGAACGAATATTGGTGACCACCTCCTCTCTGAGACGTGTCACTTCCTGCTCCTCCTGAAGGTCCAGCGTGCTCTGCTCCAGCAGGTGGACAAACTTACGCACCACTGACAGAGGAGGATCCTTGGCCCCAGCTAAGAAAGAAAGAGAAAAGTTAAAAAATAAAAAAATACATTTACATGTTTATTTTCTGTCACATCCCAATCAAGCATAATACAACAGCGTTATGACTCACTTAGTGTTCTATAGTCATGCCTTGCTTTGTTGGCTTTTAGAAAAGCTTGGATTTTCACAATTTGTTTTTCCTAAAACACAGAAGAATGAGTATTACACAACAGAAATCCAAAGAATACTTCATGTAGTTGAGTCATGGCTTTACTCACATGATCTTTGAAGAACTGCAACCTTTGGCTGTAGCAGCGCTTGGCTTTCCACATTTTTGCCACAGCCTGGATCTAAAAACATCCGTGTTTTATGTCAGGTATTTAATACTGCAGCTATGTTAATGGTACATGCAAATTCATTTAATGGCACTTATGACTTTAGTTTGTGGTGACAATTTCCTGAGATTTAGCGGTTTAGATTTGGGGTAAATATCTCCCAATAATTTCGAAGACTTTAGTAAAAATGAAAAAATGTTTTACCTTGACAATCGAAGCAACATTTTCTTGAAACAAATTCCTCCTGTTTTTGAACATTTTCCTTTGTTTGTATCCTTTCCAGCAGGCCTTCACAAAGAGAAAAAACAAAGCGCATGCAAGTTGTGCGTTTTACAAAAGTGACACCACAGCAGGGATTATTAAGTCTTTGAGGCATCACTGCTTTAAATAAACACGATATGTGGGATCTAAGTTCAATCAATTATAGCGGAGCCACACACTACCTGCAGCTTGACAACATGTGGTTCTTGCTGGCGTAGATACTCCATTCTCTTGGCATGCTTTTTCCTGACCAGGTAACCTCTGGTCATCGCCTGCAGCTGCGTCACCAAGCGTTCATTGGCCATCCACAGTTGTTCCCTGTTATATTCAGCAGTCACACAGCTGACAACACTCTTAAAAAAAGAAAGGAGGCAGGTTTTGATTTTCAGGAAAAACTTCTAGAGTAAGAATATTGTCAATATAAATGATAATGCAATTTAAAAACCCACCATTTGAACGCGAAAGAGTGTTAAAGAGATGACATGATGGAGAACAGCAGGGCGTACCTGGATTTCGTCTTTACTGAGCTGGCCACCGCTGTGCTCAAATCCTTCAGGCTCCTCCCAGAGGCCCCGTCCAGTCTCCAGGTTATAGTAGTAGTCATATTTGTCCTTAAAGCAATGTTTCACCCACACGCTATCAGTGCTACCTGAAAGGAAGCAGAGGATGCCTCGTTAGACCCAGTAAATGTTGTATTGACACCCACAAAATCATGTTTCTTGAAAAAGTCAACTTACCGTTAGTGGCACTGCTCGTTTGTCTCTGGGCCAGTTCAGAGTGGTACGTGTCGGCACATTCGGGAAGCACTGCTCTCAGTCCTGCGCTGGGAACTTGCAAAGCCTGCAGTGTATTCTGAAAGTCCTCCTCGGCCACTGCCCTGTTGATATCAGCGACTGCTGCAGCCACTGACAAAGTAAACGGGATTGATACTTGAGTCAAGTGTGAAAACAACACAGTAACCACAAAGTAAAAACGGGTTAGAGTGTAATGGAGAATGCATAACAAGCAAAGAGAACAACAGAATCAAAGCATTCTGCCCATAATAAGGATATAGACACACGAGTCATCTATATAACTTCAGGAGAATTGTACACCTATGAGAAAGAAACTATAGTTATTGTTGCTATTCCCTTTGTTATGAAGAGCTTTCAGTGTTACTGTTCAATAATTAATAAGAAACAATGTGCTCCGGAGAACAAAGCGTAGCACAAGAGCCGTATTAACATTAACTTAAGTGGCATGAGCAGTAAATGGCAGAAAACATCAGCAGCAGTCCTGATATTGGTGCCACCGCGTCGACATGCATCACAAACGATCGTATGATTAATGGCTGTCACATGCCTACATCTGATCAAAAAGGTCTTCAGAGGAGTATTCATTTAGAACCGTAATGGGCTCGCTATGTTAGAGTTGTGTGCTGATCTGAAAATGATTCACATCTTCTGTCTGTATGAGTGAATGGATATTCCTTGTGCATACATGAGAGAGCCTCTCCTTCGTCCCGGTTGGCTGTGTGTATGGCCTCTTGGATTTGGTCCAGCCACAGCACTGCAGACTCGTCCCCAGAAGACTAAAACCAATGAATACAAAAACAGGATTTTATGTTCTGTTCAGATGGAAGAGAAAATTAGACATCAGACTTTATTATTTAGAGGTATTATTCATGCATTAGCGCACAATAGTAACTTGATATAGAATTGCAATTGCTTTGACCAACAATTCTACCCAAAACAATTGATGTCCAAGATTGTTGTAGTCATTAGTGCAAATTCATCAAGTTAGGATTGGGGAGATGTTGCTCTACAACAGAAGCAGTTCATAGCAACACTGAAACACCACACAAGCTGGAGCCACATCAGCATCGTCAAATAATACACAGTACCATTTCCTCTGTGTCCAGAGGTAAGATCTAAGGAAAAGGAAAAAATTTACATTGTTGACACTAGTTGCACCACTTATAGAATATATATTCCTGCCCATACTAACAAGCTAACATCAAAACAACCGCAAAGAATGTTTATTCAGCCTGACTTTCATATTCGTTCTCAGGCTTAATTTTAGGGAACTCTGGATGGGACCCGGGTGTACCCGTGACCACAGCGCTAACAGGAAGGAAATCGCCATTAAAAGCACACAGCAGACTAAAAATACATTTTTTGTTTACAGTACGAGTAGAAGTTTGGACACATTTGATTCAAGTGTGTCCAAACAGTGGGAGGGTAGTGGCGTCAGCCTGGCCGCCAATCACAGTAAGGCTAAAAAAAATAAAATCCTTTTTGGTATTGGTTTTGCGTCAATACATCCATGGTACAATTGTACAACACAATAGTTTGAGAAATATTTTCGTACAAAAGATAGCAGTGATTCCTCAAATACAAAACCAGCACAAACAACACTACTTGACCCTCCAATGATTGCAGAAGCCCAAAACACAGAAGTCCTATCGTACCTAAACAAAAATAAAATACTTATTCCAACAGTTATCAGTGGGATTTGTTTTTCTGTTTGTCAAGGACTGTCCTCCCACCGCAGTGAGTCAGTGGGAAGTTACTCACGGATGATGGAAAGGAATTCAGTTTAAGCCGCGGCAGGAAATGTGCTCACTGCGCCGCACATACAGTTCACTAGCAGGAAGCCAGGCTTGAGTACACAACATTATCAGTTCCACTGTTGCCGCAGCAGAATGAAAAACAGAAAATGTCACTAGTGGAGAACCGTTCTATTCACTGAAAAGAGGCAAGAACGAGAGCGGTGAGGAAAAGAAACCTTAAAAACTCTGGTTCAGACGGGAGAGTGAGACATGGCCGACCTCGTGCCAGGATTACTCATTTGTTTAATGGTCCTGCCAACCATTCAGCATGATGGTAAGTTTATCAAAACACTTGCTGGATGCGTTTTCTTTTTTTAAGCTAGGGTCCAATACTAGATATTTATACTTAAAGTATTAATCTTTTTGATATGCAACTGGTTAAGAGATCATTTCTTTAAACTATTTTAGTACAGTTGTCAATGCAGTACAACATTTTTAATCATTCCATTGTTATGATAGAGATGTACATTTCCTTGGCAAAAACAGATTTATATTCATAGCTGCACTGACTCTTAAAATAATTACAGCTGCAAGTGTAATTAACTATAATTGCGGTTTAAATTTGATATTTTTACGTTTGTTTTAAAATGAAAGTTGCTTGAAAGCCCTGAATATTATTTTCTATACATCTATAGGAAATAGAACCTGGACCCAAACCAGTACTCCACCTGGTGTGAGACCAAAAACCTTCAGGGGGACGCTGGACAAACTCAACCACACCAACAACAACAACACCACCACCAACAACAACACCGGGCCGCGTGTGAACTCGGAGGACCACGTGACAGCCTACACCACTGGGGTCCTCAGCACCAGGGTCATCCCTTCGTCATACATCGCGGCAATGCTGGTGGGCGTCCCCTCCAACGCCTACATCCTGGCCTTCCTCCGACTCAGAGCGAAGTCCCTGTCCACGTTAGTCCTCTACCTGAACCTGGCCCTGTCCGACCTGATGCTGCTGCTGTCCCTGGCGCTGCGCGTCCACTACCACTTCAACGGCAACCACTGGATATTTGGGGAAATCTCCTGCCGGTTGATCACAGCCTTGTTTTATGGTAACGTTTACAGTTCAGCGCAGACTATAGCGTGCATCAGCCTGAAGCGCTACCTGGCCGTGGTCAGACCGTTTCTGTACAGGAGGCTGGCAAAGACCACACTGGCCGTGTGGACGTGTTTGGTTGTGTGGCTCCTGTTTGTGGCGGCGATTGTGCCCGAGCTCCTGGTCAGGCAGAGCTACCAGGTTATTCAGTTGAGGGTAACCACCTGCCACGACGTACTTCCCCTTGAAGAAAAGTCACATTCTTTGCTGGTACCATACAGGCTGATGCTGGTTTGTCTGGGTTTTATAGTGCCCTTTCTGATTTGCATCTACGCCCATGTGGCAGTGGTTTACCACCTGGGGCAATCTCGTTGTGACTGGAAACCGTTCATCAGGGTCAGCACTCTCACTTTTATCATTTTTGCAGCGTGTTTCTTGCCTAGCAGCCTCCTGCATATCGCCCACTACATCTGCCTGATTTCCAGTGGTGACGACAGACTGTACGGATACTACCGAGTAGCGGTGTGTCTCTGCTGCTTCCACAGTTGTCTGGATCCCTTCCTGACTGTGCTCATTTCAAAGACCGCAGCCTCAGAGCTACAATTCATATCACTCCGCGGGATATCTCAGGGGCCGACTATTACAACATGACACTGGATGCGTGTGGACACAAGAAGCTTTTCCTTGCTGCTCCATTGTTGGGAACCAGCGGGGAATCACAAACCCAGACACATAGATGGTTCAGTTAAAAACTAGACACTGAATTCAACAGGCCGATGCTGCGGTCTCTGTTGAGTGAATCGAGATTCAAGCCTATCATGTAAATCCAGCAAAATGTAAAATGTGGAAACTGTTGCTTATTGATGAGTTGTCAACAATAATCTTCTTTGCCAAATGTTACAATTAATACATAAAAAATAAAATATATATACATTTGCTATTTTGCATTTGAGGCTATAAGAGGAGGAAGCACCAGTTATTGTTCCATAAATGCTAAAGAATAACTGAATCAAAATAGAGTCAATACCTGACAGAGGAGCTGCTTGGTATGTTGAAGGACATCATGGTAGTGTTTGGCTGTGACTGGGTTCACTCCTGTCAACTTGGCTGTAGGGAGGAGCAGGGCTGCAAGCGTCTGCTTATGATCACCCGAGTTGAGTGCCTCATTGATTTCAGCTAAAGCTATGATGCCTGGGAGTAGAGACAAAAAACATTTGAGTCAATGACTTTTATTTATTGTGTGTTTTGCCTTGTCATAGAATGATATAAAATAATTCCAATTCTAAGGTTTGAAACAAGCAGGAAACTTCTTACGTTCATGCTCCTCGTGGACCTGAACGTTGACTGTGTCGATGCATTTTTGAACATCATTCCAGGTGAGAAACTCTTGACCCCTGGCAAGAGCCTCCTCTCGCAGTTTGATGAGAGTGTCAGCATACCTGAGGGAAAGGCCCATGAAGAATTTCACACAAAGTTTCCCACATCTGCCCATCCTCGTGTTGGCAGAAAAACACTGTGTTTTCACACAGTGCAGTGATGTGCAACCTGAAGACATTATGCCTTATCCCTTAATCAAATTCAATGAATTCTCCCTAAACCAGTTTGCAAAAAAACAAACAGTTGCAGGAACAACAAAACAGTAATCATGAGAGAACCTGATTGCCACCAGCAACATTAAACCTGAATGCAGGGTGATTACAGGTCTGACATTGGAGAACATCTCAGCAATCTCACCTGTTCAGGTTGTCTTGATCCATGTTGGTGAAGCCCAGGGGAGAGTCGGTCAGTTGCTCAATCACAGCCTGGGGGTCTTTGGTGTCCAGCACCTCATTCAGGACTGCTACCGCCGACAGCATTTCCACAGCTACGCTGAGCTCCTCGTGACTCAGGCCAGACTAATGAACACAGAAGGTCCTTACAGTCGAGCATGAAATGACAATTTACTACAGACAAACAACTGGCGCGTTTGTTTCTTGAAAAACTAGAAAACATGATCTCTCACCCGTCCGCCTTGTAGCTGTAAAGAAAAAAGCTCAGCCTGATAGAGGTTGGCTGCACTCTGGTAAACAATTGGCAACTGTGCCTCAGGGTTCATCAGCTGCTCCACCGTCTCTTCTGCGTTGCCAAGACGAACGGCTGTATTGATCGCGGCAACTGCCTCGAGTTCTGGCCAAGAAAATGATCAGAAATAGTCATGACTTGCACGTAACCCAAGGCAAGACACACTGAAACAGACTTGACACATGTGCTATGTGCAAAAGCTTGTTAATGGGTACACATGTGATATGTCAATAAAGATCCATGGTTAGAAACTCCAGTTGTTTACTTCGTTTCTCCGCCTCAGCAAAGTCATTACAAGTGGTGATAACTCTCTGAATCTCCTCTTTGTCGTCCATCACTGTCCTCCCTCCATCCTGCAACAGAAAGGTTGGAGTTCAGTCAGGAGACACCATGAGGATCTCATAGTTATTTGGCATGTTTTAAGGCAGGTACGTGAGGGCATAGCACTTGTTGGTGTCCATTTCAAACTGAACAAATCTTCAGAGAAAAACAAAAGGAATAATTTGTTCCTATTCCACACAATTATTTAAATGACGTCCTACAACATAATCAAAATCGTACGCCTCCCTGACACATGCACATAAGCAAACAGACAAGCTTTGAGTCCTTCAGCATACCTTGGATTTATGTTGGCAATAGGTGGTAAAATGTTCCAGGTACCAGTGACCGTTTGACTCCTGAACACCCAGAACGGCCAGAGCCTCAAGCCTGAGTGCAGCCAACAAAGCAGTCTGGTCCTGGGTCGACACCGCTTGATTCACCTGCTTTATCGCTGCCTGGACTGGAGAGGAAGGAAAGCAAGACAGATGTAACTCAGGGATCATTTGTTTCCTTAATTTTTGTATTATAAATGAGGATTCACCACTGTGTGTTCAGTTCAGAGGTCACAGGCGTCCTGTGTTCATATGCTGCCACACTGTACTTGTGTGATACGCAGGAATGCATCCATGGTACTTGTGATGATTAAAAAAAAGTATGCAGGTGTAATAAGGGTGGGAAGCGCTTACTGTTGACAAAGTGAATGCAGCCCTGGATTTCCAGGTGAGTCAGCAGTTCCTCATAAACATCTCTTTCCTCAGTAGCAACCGATGAGCGCTAATTGAGGATGACAGACAAATAAAGACACACACACACACATTTAAACATTACATTCTTTTTTTTTTGCTCTAGTTATATATAAAGTAGCTTCCCCATTCATGATGATGCAGTAGAATGGCTGCCTTCACATTCACATTTCATCTATTGACTGAGAACGGATGGCTCCTGTACAGTATATGTGAAGAGAACGGGAGGCGAGGGTTTGTTTTTGGTGAAGTACAGCTGACACTGCAGCCACAGGAATGTGCTGGCACGGCCTACGGAGTGAGTCAGTGCAGGCTACCCGCTTTTCGGAGCTCAGCTGCAACACTGCAGTTAGAAATATTAGTTCAGATCAACAGCTTTAAATCAATTGGTGGCAGCACAAAACAAATTTGTTTTCAATGTTTAACGATATTGTCATTTTTGTTCAGTGACACCATTTTACGACCAACACAGAACTCTAAGCACAAACAATAGTTTGTGGTCAACCCGAACGCATCATCACACACGGTCAGACTACAACCATAGGTTGGGTACAGACGTGACAATGCATTAACTAGAGTGGGGCGGTGCCTTTCTTATTATTCTAAAAGGGTTTAACTAAATATCTGGAAAGAGCAAGAATAGAGGGCGATGGGTACTGCTGAGCTTCAGTAAACAAACACGCTGAGAGTCTAATCAGCCCTTTCATTCAAGCAAAGCAGCCTCTCACCCTTCCTGAGGACTGCTCCTGCTTACGGGCCTTGGCCTGGCTGAGCGTGTCTTGGTAGTCTTGGGCCAGAGCTTCCTGGGTATTCCTCAGCATCGCGTTTGGGTTGTTCAGGGTCCCCATTGTCACAGATGTCTGACCTCGGTCAACCGCTTCATTGATGGCAATCACAGCAGCGTGCACTAAGGACAGCAGTGTGGGTGAACATTTCCATGCAAAACCAAAATTACATTAAGGAACAACACAAAATGATTCAGTGACTTAGTTTGAACGTCAGAGGACTTACGGGCAGCTTCATCCACCGAGAGCTCATTGGCCAAGATTCCTCCGATCTTACTGAAAGCTGGCATTTGAATGCCATACTTCTCCAGCTCACTCCTCATGTTACTAATCTCTTCCTCTGGAAGACAGATTATAGGAGGTTATTGTGGCATAGAGAAAGACCAAAATCCTTTACTTTATTTATATAAACAATTGTATAAATAGCACTCCTAGCTTTGGCAAATTAAATTAAAATATTGATTCTCAAAACACTTTCATTGTACAGTTTTTCTGGGGACCTGTATAACTCAATGACCTGTTCAGAACTCCGCTCACCATGTAAAACTACATGCTTCTCACAAATTCAAGTTGCTTGAAGAAAACAAAAACAAAACCCAGGGCTTTAAAATGTTGTAGTTGGCTCTTTGATGTCATTGAATCTTTTAAGAGGATATTTTGAGTGAAATTAAGTGAAATGTTGGGTAATCAAAAAAATCTAAATTAAAGACCAAATGTTTATACAAATCTAATAAAATGTACATGCTTGAGAACATTTTTAAAAAAAGTGTAGTTAATAAAATGGTTTGTTGTTCAATAAATCTAGATGCGAATAAAATTGTTTTTATGAAAGTGTATAAAAATATATAATTCACTTTAAAAAAAAACAGTTCAAGAATTTTTTTAATGAGGTGCATTTCATTAAATATAACTTTTCAGCCATATTGCAGAGTTTCAGGAGAAGCCAATATCCACTGTTGTGTTACCTGTGAAGGCCACTTTCCCCAGCAGGTCCTGGATCTGTGGCGCAATGCCCAGTTTGTAAAGGTACAAGCTGAAATGAAACCAGGATTCAGACCACAGGATTCTCACTCAAACATTCTCACACGCGCACGCACGCGCACGCACGCACGCGCACGCAACAAAGCACACAGAAGTTTGGAACAGTGACTTTGTACAGCCTGAATTCATGAAACAAACACAGTTTTGGACACTTCTCCTTGATGCTCGATGGCCTTAAAAAGCAGCCCGTCACACTTAAACCACAGGGAGGTGGTGTTTGCTCACATTACAAATTGACCCATCTGACAGCAACCAGCCCGCCCAGTCCACCAATGAGCCTTGAAATCAACAGGCAGGTCGCTGGAAACTTCATAAAACTTTCATCTTCTCTCGGGTACCTGATAAGTGGTAATGAATTATAGATGATTGAAGGCGGGACTGTCATCGTCACAGCTCTGAAGGGAACAGTTGTAGTGGCGGGTTATTCTACCCGCAAGTTACAGTGTGTGTGTGTGTGTGTGTGTGTAAACATGAAAATGAACCCTGTCCTTGGGACACAGGTGGCCTCATAAAACTATCCAACTATGCTTAAATAAAGAAATATTTTAACAAACAGGCAGCTGATTTAGTTTGATACAGTAACAGCTGACCAGGATTAATGAAGGTGGCTGACTAAAAGTCACAGGGGTTACTGACAATCAGCTGACTAGCTTGGAGCAGATCTCTCCAGACTGGATCGCCCTGGTTTACTCTTTTAGACAACAAACTAGTCTACCGCTTCTATACAACGTTTAAAAATGTACCGGAAAACTATGGTATTTCCCTTTCATTTTTCTAACAGACTGAATGTGCATACGTTTGTACCCAGGGAAGCAGAGTATTCAGTCTTGCTTGTGGGACAAAAGCGGGCTTGACAGGAAGGAAGAGCACGTGTGTGTGTGCATGTGGAAGGAAGGAAACCAATTCTCCCAGGACCTGCGCAAAACACCCCAACGGACAAAACAATCCAAGTCGCTGACACAAAGCTGTGTTTGGCTGACTGGATGCATCGGAAACATAAAACGAACCCTTCAGTTCATTCAAAGTCTTAATACAAAAAGCGAGGGGCGGGAGTTGTAATTCTCCAGCCAACCAACTTACAGGAAGGTCATTGCTTCTGCGTTATTAAAACACCGAGACACCGAGTAAAGCGTTGAGAACCTCCATATTCCATTTACCAGAAAGGCATTGATTTAAAGGCTGTATAGATGTTTGAGAAGTGTTCAGGTTGTGTTTATCCAGTTCATAGTTCATAACCAAATCAACTAACTATTCAGATTGTGTAAATAACCAATTGGACAATTAAGGACTGATGTAAATATAGCCGTTACCTACTAAAGAAAGCTTGTTTCACAGGAGACGCCTACCCGACTAAAGATAACGTTTTCCAGTTCTCGTTTCATATGCAAGTACGGTTTCTTTTCTTGAAATGTAAATGGGAGGTTGAACCTAATGGGAACAAAAAGAGGCCTTAACCTCACAGACGAATGACAAAAGTTCAGTGAAAGCAGACATTTGTCTACGTACGAGACCATAAGTTTCTATAATTGTAAAACAATGCAGCACAGAAACCAAAACAAGTGTGTAACAACTTCTGCCATAACCATCAACTTAGAGTAAAATAAATCCAAATCAGACAGTGAAAAAAAACACAGTTCCAGTCAAAGGTTTGGACACAACTTCACCTCCAAACTTTTGTTTGATTTTAACTGCGAGAAACCTGCCATTTGTACCGATGTTGGCAATGAAAAATAACAGTTTAGTTCACTGGCTTTCAATTCTTTCTTCGAAGAGAAATCCCACATAACATTCAGGTGTGGCAGCTTGAGGAAAAGGGCAACCGGGGACATTGCATTTGCATGAACCTTATGTAGAAGTGAGAGCACAATTTGGACACCAGATGTTCGAAACGGTTAAAAATAGTAACGTAAAAAAAGGAAAATGAGTTATTTTATTCTTACCTTAGTGCGTGAATGCAGTACACTACCTTGGGCATGTTTTTGCGATCATAAACATCTGTTGTTTCAGGATAGAATATCTGTAAGCAGACACCACCATTATGTATTAGCCATGCTTTCTTTTATCAGTGACACAATATCCATTAGAGTGTTTCCTTTGCATGAGAAGTTAAAAGGGATGAACACAACAATATCACCTGTAAAATATAATGCAATGTCAATCAACCACAATAAAAGCAAAGCCGATCCTTCTCAACACCAGTAAATGCAGTCATTTCTAATAGGTTTGAGCTTTGTTTTTTGTTAAATGGCCACCTTACAGATACTTTAGGTTTGGCAAGGCATTACTAGCGAATGTCACATATTAATTTTAAGAAGGCCCTGGATTCAGACACACTGGGTGCTTCTATGCCCTGAAATGATTGTGTTTTATTCATCATGTCACAACAGAGTAATCCTCTCAAAATAATGATTTTGTTTAAAAACATGAATGATGAAATAGTATTAACTTACTTTGACTTAAATTACTTCCCAAAAAGATCCAAAAGGGCAGCAGAAAGAAAAATTCTACCCAATTTATTTTCTAGCATACACCTGAGGGAGGTCTTTTGTATCATTGCGTAGAAGAACAATGTAACAATCATGTGATTTAATATTTTTATAGTTTTATTCCTACAAATGCATGAAATGTGTGATGGCTGCGAATCACGTCAGGGATGAAACTAAATAGTTTCCAGTAAAATCTGAGTTTATTTGTAGTTTAATTCATCTGAATAAAATGTTGCAGTCCTGCGATGGACTTTTGAGGGCTGAAATTCATTCTGCAATTGAGAAAATATTCTGTCCCAGTTTTGATTCTACTGGATGAAATAATCTGTATAAAAATGTGCTGGAAGATTCTAATCTCGATCAGGCTTGTATGAGAGAATTTACCATTGTTAAATTATACTACATTATCAAATAAAAACACAAACTCATAAATATCCCTTCCCTAAAGACCACTCGCGTCCTTCACACATTGATTAGCATTCAAATGTCCCATGCTGTGCTGATGAGGACTCCTGCATTAACATGAGTCATGCCCTTTGCCCTCACCTTGGGGAGACCTACGGACTCCATAGCTCTGAGCCACTGCACAGTGTTGTCAGTGTGTCTGAAGTGCAGCCCTTTGCTCTGAGGATGGAAAACAGGAGCACAGACATATTAATGTAACAATATGATGAAGTGCTGGGAAGTTGTTCAAAAAGTTACCACGGCAATCGGTAAAACAGCGATAAAACCTTTCCACAATGAACGTTGCATTAGAGAAAAGAAAGCTCATCATCAAAGGCGATAAAACACGCAAAAGTGCTGAGCGGGTCTGATTAAAAACCTTGTGCCGACTCCCTTACTTATCTGGAATCCGACGGTCTGATAAGGTTTGTTTGCCTTTTGTCAGAGAGAAATAAAATGGCTCAAAGTCAGGCTCAGACACTTCTGTGATCCTGCAGCCACAACAACAGCCTGCTGCTTGTAGCTCTATCCTGTGTGCAACAGTTTAACACTGAAGTGTCCAAAAACAATATTCATGTCTTCCATGATGTAAACTGGTGACTCACAACGTAGTGCAACGGTGTACTGAAGACGGCCAGATATAAATGTAAAAGAATGGAGGTGTACCTTATAGCGGGCCTGATCTCTGTCGTAGATCCTTTTCTCGGACACCATTTTGGGGGCAAAAAAGTTGGCTAGTTTACCAAGGAACACGCCGTTCCTCAGTCCCTCCTCCAGTTCTGTGGTGGGAGGCAGGTCCTCCTCCAGACAGGCCTCCATCCACCTGAGAGTACACAAACACTGATCTCAGGGCAGGCAGGCGATGTTCTTTCTTTCAAACGTAAGGACCTCAGTGGAAAAAAATATTGTGAATTGGTTATTATTAATAAATAACTTGCGATAAAATGTCTAAAAAATAGCACTAATTACACTCCAAGTAAGTCGATTGTACAAAGCAGAGAAGCTCAACTCGGCAGGTCGAATGCAGATGAAGATTCACAAGTTTAATTTTAGCACGACAATAATGTTATAATGGGAGTGATGAGGTAGAAGGTAAGAGTGAATGGACAATATTCAGATTAATATAAAATAATGTCGACCTTGTTTGAAATTGATGTAATTTTCCATTAAAAATGTGGCAGAGCGGCTTCAGAGCGGCCTGCCAGACTATTCCCAGAGTTATTTGGGGGAAAAATCCATTTAAAAGAGCTAGTGAATGATTTGTGAGCGTGGTGAATCATCGTGGTCTGAAACTGTTACACATCATCTCACTGACTGGAAGTGACCGCGATAGCTACACTCAGTTCACCCCCCTAAAAACTCAGGTTAACCGATTCACTCGGCATCCAACTGAACGTATCTTTCACGTAGTACACAATGCTCTGTGATTTAAAAGTTGTTACATTTCATTTATTGGTTTCATCCATACCAGCAGCTTTGACCTTTCCAGTCAAAAAGCAATAAAGTGCTTCCTCCCACGTGCATGGACGCCTTGTTTGTGTTAATTAAGCCTGCGTGGGCGCACAAAGGATCTAGCCTGACAAAATGTGTGTCAGCACCTGATCAGCACGTTAGAAGACAACACACCATGCATCGTCAACACATGAAGCCAGTGGAGAGTGCAGGCTGGGCTCCTTGAGGAATTAAGCGTCCTTGTAAGTCTTCGTTAGTGGTTTTCAGAATGCAAAGTGCACTACAGAAGAAGCAGACGCTACTGTCGTGACAATAACAGTTCCCCTGTGAAACACATGGCTTTGCAAGTCAGGAAATGGTCAATCGGAACTGCATGACAATGAAACCGATACAGGGACACGAGCGCACGCAGACATGTGAACACAACATACGCCAACAAGGGTGAAGCCGTGCTGCAGATCAAAGTCAAGACACAATGAATATTTTACCAATGATTTCTCAATAAAAAGACGAATGGAGAAGCCAACAATCTTCAAGATACAACAGATTTGGCTGGAACATCGTCAAAGGAACATCCTGCATGGGTAACACAGCTCTCCTGTGAAACTCAACTTCCTGTACTTAAAACAATGTTGGGAGAACTTGTCTCCTGGAGCAGGCTCGCACTCTTGTTTACAAGCCTCCACAGCAGGCCTTCCTGTCATTGTCCACTCAGGGAAAAAAAAAAAAAAGAATACAGCTTTCTGGACTCTGACTTAAAATATGGACACCAAAACATTTGAGTGGCTTCTGCGGCCAACAAACCTGTAAGCCACAAAAACTAGATGGGCCTCTTCATTGAGTTGGTGGTGACTTTAAATTATGCCATCTTATTATACACACACCTTTGAGGAAGGTTTCTTTTTGGCTGCACTGGCCTGAAATGTGTTTTTGTATTCCTCCTCATGCTATATTTACTGTAGTTTCTTATTTATTGTAAGTCACTTTGGATAAAAGTGTCAGCTAAATGACATGTAATGTATCTAGTTCACACTTGGCCACATAAATAAATTTCAATTAGCAAAGCCGAGCAAACGGCCCTCAGCTACAAAGCCCCGTGTAACACAATGCATGTCGTGAATCGGGACCTTTGAGACGGGGCGGAGAGCAAGTGATGCACAATTTATGGTGCCATCAGTGGCCGCAATCTATTCTCTGTGAATCCTCCCCAGAGTGTGTCCTGAAGGCTTGCGTCACACTGGTCACGGGTTTGTGCATGTGTGGGTGCCTGTGTGTGTTAAATGAGAACGATTTAGCATATTTGGTAGGACGGGGTGTGTTGCAAAGTTAGGATAATATCCATGACTGGAAAAGCCCATTCTCTAGAAGTCCTGGGGTGAATCCTAAACCAAGAGGGTCTATAAAAAAGAACTATATATTAAACCAATAGTTTGCTCTTTGCTGAAAGTACAAAGTCTAATTCTAGAAAGTGCTCTTTATGTTGCATGTGTTAGGAGGACAATCAACTGACAACAACAAAAGGTTAACACTAACTCAGCACTCAAGGGGACTTTGAACAACAAAGCATGTGAGCAACGTACTGCGTTCTGGACAAATATGGTTCCTATGTGACACAAATATCACACCTATCCAACAGCTGAGTGAGTGTCATGTGACGCAATGGAAGCAAACTGAATGTTGGTGTTGGAGAAGATATTTGCATTGAAACCGCTTGTTCCCATTCATTTGCTCATGCCACTCTGCCGCAGTGCATTTTATGAAGGACTCAGTACTGAAGAGCATTTAATGGCAACTTCTGAAATTTTGAGTTTGCTGAACAAACATTTTTTGAAAATCTTTCTTTTCTGCGATCATTCTCATGCAGGTGTACTATGAGTTACTTTAACATGGTTGGATTGTTTCAGTGACTCCTGAAAGTAGACCATAATCCCCGGCTCCCCGTGTCTGATGGCTGCTGTCTTAATCCTAATCTAACTTGACATCACTCCAGGAATAGAGATTCTCTTCCACAATTAACAGGAGTCTAAGCATTTAGTGGCGTTTGCATTGGGATGCTTTAACAGGAAGCTAGAAAGTGAAAGTGTGAGTATACGTCAGTTGATCAGTGATCATTTTGCAGTTAGATGCAGTGTGATACTAAAACACTGGTTCCTTAATCTCCGCAGAGCAAAAGTTAAACCTTAAACTACTTTCCAGCTCACTAAAGAAAAAGAAAAATCTGTGACTAATTATGTGGCCAGTCTGGACTGATTTTGATGGCTGATTCCATGCTCGGTCTAGCCGCCCGGCCCCTGAAGACCTAATTATCCTCTGACATAAGCAGATAATGGAAGCTTCTCAAGGGGGCCGTATCGAGTCAAAGTGCAAATTCAGTTGTCAAAAAATAATCTGTCAGACAAAGCTCATGTAAATGAAGCGGCACACACTCAAAGTGTCCCAAGCAAAGATGGGATTGCTTAATTACCACTGGGCTGCAGAATGAACAGTAAGTCAAAACCCCGGCTATCAATCCTCCTAGGACGTGCTTGGGTCGCGAAATCAGGGTGTAAAAAGTGCTTTACGCTTCCTGTTCCTTTCTGCTTGGAAGGATGCCCTTGTGAAGACAGGAAGTGGTTTTGTTTTAGCTTTGCTCATAACGATAGTCTTCATCAGGTTTATACTGTCACTAGAATTACTACTAGAGAAAGACTGGAAGGAATCCGTTGGAAACAAAAAAGGAACAGACTAAACTTAGAGAAAATTATCCAGAAATATTTAAAACAACGTTGGGTTTTATTTTTTGCGCCACTGATTGCTGGGGCTTAGGAAAGAGGCTTTTTATGTCCTCTCATTTCTTAATCTCTCACACACACACACACACACACACACACACACACACACACACACACACACACACACACACACACGTTCAGCTCAATGTCATCATATTACATGCACGCCGCATGTTGAATCTTCCTTCATCCGATCATAACTCGCTGCTGTGCCACTGCAGAAGTGATTCTACTACACGCTGTTGATTCGTAGCGATCATTATCCCTGCTTGCTCTTCTCAACCACTCCCTACTGTTAACATACGACGGTGTTCATTACACACACAAACCCATGATAGAGCGGTTCTGCCCGATCAAACATTAAACAATCCTACCGGTCGGCCAGAGAACACACCCAACGGAATTCCTCTGACTATTAAAGTAAACACTTTATAGAAAAGTGGTTGGCATGTTTGCCTCCCTGGTCTCACCGTTTGGCCTCCTCCAGGTGACACAGGTACTCGTAGGCGATGTTCTGTCGTCTCCTCTCGTCCATCTCCTCCGCTGACTGTCTCTCATCGTCCTGAATGGCTGGAAAAGGAGCGCAAATAAAAATAATCATGTGGGAAGTTTTGTCATTATACCAATCGTAAGCTATCCTCAGAAACGTTTCATGCATATCAGGTTTAGACCACACTATAGTTTGAGGAGACCGAACCTCAAGTTATTGATAGTGTTGATGTCGTGACCAGATGCAGGAGCTGTGCAGCAGGTGCATTTCAAAGTGAGAAAGCCTGAGAGGACATTTTGTTTCAGGGTGGGGTTTTTCTTTATTGCTGGAAACTAACACACCTCATGCCCCAGTGAACCCTGCATTGTGAGAGATGAAATGTTCATGTCAAAGTGGCCTCAGTGGGCTTCCCGATTAACAACACTTCAGCTGAGAGTTGACCCTTACCTGCAGCCTAATGGGACCCCCCCCCAACACACTGTAATCCATTCAAATCTCTTTATTTCTGGTTGAGTGAAGGGAGAATCTCACACCCAGGGGCTCAGTTTAAGAACAAAGCTTCCTCCCACCAGACTAAGAGTTTTGAATACAGACGAGCTTGTTAGGAGGTAGGACATCAAATAAAGAGTGCAGGACAATTTTCTCCATTAGGAATATTAAAGATTGTGTGTATGTAAACACACACACGAGTGTCCCTGACGCCTCATGAGCATCTGGCCATCCAACCACGAGTCTGTGGACGTAAATGTGTCTGAGCCCTCGCGTCAGAGGTGGAAAAGCCCCGCTGAAGCCATTACACACTACCTCAACGGACTTACTCACACACACACACACACACACACACTTCCTGTAAGTGCTCGCCGTTATATTTAACTCTGGCTTTATGTGTCACAGCATCACCGGTTCTAAGTTATGGGCTCCGTGATTAAGTGTCATGTCAGCGGTTTTGCTGGGTCGGTCCATTGGTCACCTTAAGAGCACTTGCACATAAAAGCGATTTATCGAGTGAAGCTAAACATCTACCTGGATAGCGTTAGATTAGATGTCCTGTGTGCAGAAGAGCACAGTTGAATGAAATTCAATGGTCGAAGTCACAGGTAAAGCGATTGCACTGATGTGATGCGATTGATCGCCCCTATCTCTCTGGAAGGTGAACTTTGACCCAAAGATGTTGGTCAGTTACAAGACACAATTTTTTCTTACTTAAAGTATTTTGCAGACATGAGTTGATTTTTTGTATCAGAACTCTCCGTTGCATGCCTGGGGCACTCATGGACCCAGTTGTATATTTCTCAACAGCAGTAAAATCCCAGGTTAATGAATACCCTCTGAGAAAATACCGTATGTGTAGACAGGCTGATAGGCTCCATCGTTAAATAAATACACCGTCATCTGACGGGAAATAAGTGCACTTCAGAACTTTCTCCAGTCAAATATTACGCATCGATGCCTTCCAAGCCCCAAAATATATCGCCTGAACCCCGAACTTAAATCAGCTAAAACGTTAATTTGCCAGCCAGGATACGAGTCCTCACCGAATACCGTTTAGCTTTAATTCAACCATCGATCCTCCTCACGCCACATGTTGCCAGAGTGACGTGACACACACACACACACACACACACACACACACACACACACACAGGTGTCCCACTGAACCACCTGTTGCTCATCAAACCTTCCACAGCATCTTGCTTTAATCTCCCATCACAACGCCGCAAACGCAACATATAACGGTTTGCTAGTGACAGAAAAACCGTTGAAACAAGACGAAAGAAAAGAAAAAAGGAGTTCTCACTTCCATAGCGCGGCTTTTGCAGAGTCGCGGTTTCTTCGTGGTGCATCTTGCGTCGTTTCCTCCACTGCGGGGACTCGTCCGGACTGGAAGTGAAGAGCTGCCGGTTAACGCGCCTCTCGGCCCGGATCGATCAGGGAGGTTTAATCGCGCTAATTGAAAGGGGAGAGCAGGCCGGAAGTAACGCGCACGTTAGTTTCACTGAAGCGCCGCCGACTGTCACTTTCTACGGGAGACCCGCATGGCGCGCGCTCCTACGGCCTGAGTCCGGAACAAAAGTGTTGGTGACAACTTGCCTGTGCTGAGGTTATGGCTGCGGGGGGGGGGGGGGGGATGATTGACGGGACAGGAGATGGACGTGCGGCGTCTCGCGCCCCCTGGTGGGAAATAGGCTGCTGGTGCTGCGTTCAGTGTCACATGGGGAAAGTAGTAAAGCGCCGTCACAGTGACGCACTAATATCTTTGTATTCTCCTGTTCTGCCTCTTTTACTTAAATGGGATCTTAATGCCTAATATATTTTACTCGTTATACTGACCTTTAACATGCCTTTTCATACTTACATTTTCCCCCCCTCCCCCCACCCCCATCCATTAAAATGTAGGCTTAGATAGATTTTTTAAAGAACTACATTTTGTTTCAACAATTGGGGGTTTAGTAACCTCCCCCATAGACCATTAAGAGTAGTACATTGTCCTTCATTCTGCACAATCATCCCGCACCATCACGCATGTATGTTAGGTATGTAACACATATGCAGGCAGCAGGTGCTTACATGAAAATACAATGGAACATATCCTAATTTGTATTGCGGTCAGGATTAATCCACTAGATGGCAGCAGCGGTTTGACATTATTATAAGGGAATTTAACTACCTATAAAAACACAACACAAATGGGATGTTTGTCTCAATAACGAACAAGTATCGGTCAAATAAATAATATGGTTGAATAAATACCCCTCTAATCATTGTTTTAATAAAAATGGAACACTTTTACCTCCATTATGATAAGATTCATTGCACAGCTGTTTGATATTATCATTTTACATACATACTTTCTTATTCTGATTAGCAAAAGTTGATCTTGTATGTTTATATTATATGTGTGGTATCCTAAATATACGACAGTACTCATGACCAGATAAAAAATAAGCTACATGAAATAGTTACAAATGCCAAATGGACAAGCTCTTGTCTGTGCAGCAGATAAGTGCAGTCATGTATGAATATGGAGATTTGATTTTATTCTGAGGTTCGAGATAAGATTTGTTAAATAAAAGAAAAGCATAATTTGGTAGAGAACATAGCTTTTAATGTATATATGTTCAAAAGCAGCACAGTATCCAATCCCTGCCTTTCCAGTTTCTAACATTATTCACAGGGCATCATTTGGCAAATAACTCTTCACATATTTTCACACTTATGGACCTTTTGAACATACAGCTCAGTCGTCTATGACTGGCAGGCCCTTCACAATAATATACACAACTCTATTCTCCACATACATTTGATTATCTCCATTAAATGGATCAACATAACTTACAAGAGTGATACATTCACATTTTTCTTCCACAAAAATCTCAATATTGCCATTATTTTCTGCCAGATGAATTTACAGTAAGAACACAAAGTTGACCATAAAATAACAGAAGTTGTCTTACATACATGCAAGTTTGTGCACACACGCGCGCACACACACACACACACACACACACACACACACACACACACACACACACACACACACAGAGTAGCAGGTGAGTAGGGGCTTGAAGCCAGGAATACACACAGATGTACAATAAGGACACAGTAGATGGATTTATTGCCTGGACAGAGCAGGAGACACACGAGTCGATAATGGAGCTTATAACCAGACGTCCACCGATATCAGCTTTGATATTTACATTATTTACACTCATACAGACGCAGGCCCACGCAAACATCCAGTACTGTCTCTTATACACACATATGCACACACACACACACACACACACACACACACACTAATACAGTACATACAAGCAATACCTCCAGACATAACTGCCAATGAAATTTCTCTCCAATATGACAGAACAGAAAGATCTGCCTTTGATGTTTTAACTTATTGAGAAGCATGTCAACCCTTCTAGTATCCTCGCAGACGCAGCGTTGGATTGACACTGGGCAAAGTCATCACTTTTTATATCAGTGCATTTAGAATCTGTATTATTTTTTTTGTATTTATTGTTAATACATACAGTCAAAACATACCTGCTGTGCAACGGCTGCACAATTCACAAAGTTTTTCCAGCTGATTTGACTAAATTTGAGAACATGTTAGATTAACTGCATGGATGCACATATACAGTACCATTTTGGAAGCATTTTTTTGTTGTTTTGACAAGTAGCCTTGAAAGAGCCAACTATACACAAAGGTAAACTACGTCCACGCTGCGATCACAGATAACACAAATACAGAGAAAAGCAAGAGGACCAGCTGGAAGTACAAAGAAAAAGCACAATCCATGAGCACAAAGTAACACGACTCAGAGCGACGGAAGTGTTCCATTAGATAATGTCTAAATCAATTGTATTAGTTACAAATGTTCAAAATAGCAAAGTGATGTTAGGATTTTTATTGATAAGCAGAATGTCGATAACTAGTACTAGAACCAGGTAGGTCATGTTTTCAAGTGTGAGATTTTAGACAATAAATAAACTGCTGTTACAATAAACGGCAAAGCTCAAATTTATCGTCCAGTTTTCTATTTGTTTTACAAATAGACAATTAACACAATTTGAGTTGATTTTTTCAATGATGACTCTGCAGTCTGAGCTGAGTCTGAAAAAGCCAAAACATTGGCTTAGAAGTTCTTTTCACAATATCACTGATAAGCCCTCAAGAAGCGATGCTTGCTATTCATAATTTGTTATTACTTTGAAGTTATGCTCTGTAACTTACACTATTTGATCCATCTTCGTTATGACTTTATTACGTGAGCAAAATAATTAGGGATGTTTGTCAAAAGAGATCAGGAGGTTTGACAAAAAAAACGAATTTCCCATCTTGTGAAGATTCCGGCCACATCGTCTCACATCTATACTCTACTCACAAAAAGGGCATCAATATTTCATCTATTTATCTCCTCTTCAGTTTCTGTCTGCGTTTTATGACCTTTGGACATCACATGACTATGGACAGACTGCTCCAGTTACGGAGAGGCACATTTAAACAAAGGCCATTCAGTATTTTAAAAGGAAATAGCGCGACATGCCACTGTTAAAGCTACTGCCACAAGGAAGATGCAACTCAAAACCAAATTAGAAGGAGAGCTCATCAGAGAGCCTCTGCACAACAATACAACACACGGATGGAGACTTGGAGTAATAACATTCGGATAAAATTAATAAGTCATCATTCCAACTCCCACAAATCACAAAAACAATAAGCAGAAAATATTTATCCACCTCAAATTCAACATACCATAGAATTACTGGTAAAAGAAAATACAATTTATTTAAAATGGCCTTTAGATTCTTGGTCTGGTAATGCAAAGGGCTTGGCTTCATACGTGAATTATCTATGTTGAAAAGGTTGAAAACGTCTGAGCAAATGTCATGTCGAGGACAATTCAGCATTGTGTCCTGTTGGGTGCCAGAGTACGGGGGGGGAAAAGTGTAGGTAGATGTGAGTACAAATCTATTTCTGGACAGGTATTTGCACATTAAGGATATCTGTTGAGTTTTTTCTTTATGTGTTGATTTTCAAGTTGCCTTCCTGCCTGACGTCTACAACATGTCCTGTGTACCTGTCTTGTGGGAAAGCCAGCTGTCATACAGCTGTGTCGTATGTCCGCTCTGTCTGATCACGTATTCCCTACGTTGTCACACAGAAGGTTGGCTGTGCTCATTACAGCTTGTTTTCCAATCTTTTCCCCCCATCTGGCTCGTCGTAATAGGACTATATCAATATTAAAAGCCTTGAGCTCGAACTAAGCAGGGGACCCACTCATAACCTATGGAAACCAGTCATCAGATCAAAACTCCACTAAAGTTTCCGTACCAAAACATGTGCAAACTCTCCACACAGTACATTCACACAAAAAGGCTCAGCATATCATTGAATAACGAGGTATCTAATTATTTGGATGTGTACTGTATGTTCAAATTATAACACGCTGTGAGAAGGGTGAGTAGCTATCCAGCTTTACATAAGGTACACTAGCGAAATGTGAGTTAGATATCTGTGAACCAAGCCGTTTGGACTCCACGCTCACACATTGGGAATCCTCTCAGCTTCAACCCAGGTTTGATAAAGGTTTCGTCCCAATTCGTGAAGGGCAGGCTGGTGTTACATGAGGACGTTGGCCTTGGTGTCAGGCAACCGCAGTGCAACCAGTCCTCCCCCGACGAGCACAGACGAGGCCATGAGGATGGGGATGGCCTTTGTGATGCCGACAAGAGAGCCGAAAATCAGGTTTCCCAAGACCGCAGCCAGTTTACACAGAGCGTTGCAGAACCCAAAGCCAGTTCCTCTGGGGAGAGAAGAATCAGGGTAAGGAGGAGGTAAAAGATGAGGGGACATGAATGTATTAGAGTTGACCGAATTTCTTTCCACTATAATCCCTTATAAATCCAGACATCTATGTAAGCCTGTATGCGCTCATCCATCGATTGCCTTCTCACCTCCTGGCTGTCGGGAATGACTCAGTCGTGATCACATCGAGGGAATTCCAGGCAGAGATGCTCAGACCGTTGTAAAGGCACAACATAAAAATCATCATGGACTCGCTGGTGCCAAACCACAAAAAGAAACAGCTGATGCCCGAGAGGACCATGGAGCCGCCTGAAGAGAAGGAGCGGGAGTCAACGCAATCGACATTCCTTTGAGTAATGGTCAAACGAATCAATAGGGACTAATCGAAAGTACCTCTCATACTCAGTGATGGATACCCGCGTTATGAATCGTCCTACAGTCGACGTGAAACCCAATTACTACTAAGTGCACACGCCAACATGAACCTCCATTCTTACCTAACATGGACAGACGCCCAATTTTGTCCATGAGAAGGGCGGAAACAATGTTGCCGGGCAGAACGGCCAGGGTCCCCAGGAAGTTGATGAAGTATACCCAGTAGGCACTGTAGTCGTCATCAAACGTCATCTGGCATCCTTTCTTGTTGTGGGTGAACGTGCTGTTGACCACCTCTGTGCCATCTACCAACTTGGATTCATCGATGTCTGCCCAAAGAATGAAACGAGAGAGGAAATCACAACGCAGTTTATTCTTGTCTTTCAACAAATGTGATTTTGTCTGTGCTTCTATGCTGCATTCCGGTCTGTTCCCAACATCTTCTTGCCTGTGATTATTTTCTTTTGTAGGGTTTCCTAATTTTTTTATGACATAGTGTTTTGCGTTGTTTGCTGTATGTTTTTTATTAATTTTTGTATATCTGCAATTAAAAAATGAAAGAATGATGAGGAGAAAGGTCTGTGGTGTAAAAACAAAATACATCTTTTAAATACCCTCAGTAAAAACTATTAGTAGAAATCAAAATATTATTTTTCAATCTGACAAGCTGATTATATCTGATCAATCTGTGAATAATAGATGACAAAATGTATCACTCTAGCCATTTAGTCATGTAAAAGTAAGAATCATAGTATCTCACCTGTGTTAAAGAAGAAAGCATCAATAAAAGTACAGTTACGGAAGAAGGAGCCCACCGACTTGACGTCCTCAAAGTAGCAGTTGCGAAAGGTGGAGTCGATGAAGGTCACGGACCTCAGCTTCATACTGATGAATCTGAAGAAGCACAGTTACATTCTGCTTTAAATGCTCCTCATCGTAAAACAGTCCATGCATCCACCAGCAAGTGGACGTGTCCTACCGGTCGTTGATGAAGAGGCCATTCTTGTGTATCTGGTTCTCCAGGGTGAAGTTGAAGGTGAAGTCTTCAATGCGTTCGTTGCTGTGTACCTTCACTTTGGATGCATAGTCATCCGCCTGAAGGTGTTTGATGACATCAGGAAACCAGACTGACAGGCCGTAATACCTAAAAGCAGATGGATTCTGATTTATTAGGATCCCACATCGTAACCTGACATAGACAGATGCCCTTTTTAATGTACAGTCGGACTCAGTTCATCAGGAAACACAACTTGTGGTTTCTGTTTTGTTTTTTTAAATCTCCGGCTGATTCTACTCCCGTCTCTTCTCCCCCTGAGACACCTACGGACCAGTATTGATCCCCTGTGATTGATTTTGAGGACATACAACTTCTGCACTGCGGAGAAATCCAGATGCCAGACATGTAATTTGTCTAGGAGACTGACTGCCTCGTGCCGTCGTCTGACAAGAAACATCCAGCGCCGTTTGTGCGTCACTGTGACACAAATGACACCAGGAGGAAGCTCACCCGAATGACAGTGTGAACCACACTATGGCAAGTCGCATCATATTTTCTCGCATGGGGTAGTTGAAGCACTTCCTGACATTCAGATAGATCTAAAGAGAGACAACAGACTCGTTACACTCAAAAGACAAATTCAGGGTTATGGCAATGTTGTTTGTCGGCAGCAAATCAAACTGAAAGACACGATTTACCCCACAAATTTCTATCTTTATCCGAAAGAAAAACTTGGAAACTCGGTTGGCAGACTCTGAATCCATTTCCACCAGTTCATCCAGCTGTTTAGGAATTTTGATCCTGTTTACCTGAGAAAGTGATGAAGAAATATGATGAAAATCTATGATGAAAGTGTATTCAACATTCACTGCTTGACCTCACTGATGTCGTAAACATTGTCAACATTGCGATGTTGTATCAAGGTTTTTCACGTGTTTCAACAGGTTCTTTATCGTCGGCACATGATCACCGTGATAAAAAAAACCCTCTGTAAACGAATGTACTACGGGTGTACGATCAACCCGAGAAACGTGTTGACTAAGAGGCTTTCCCACAAGTGCTCCTTGCCAAGCAAATAAGCCTGAACGACACAAAACAGCTTTCAGAACCTTCATAATTCAGATATGATCCTGCACCGCGAGAGCATTAAAACCTGTCCCAGCGGCGGCAGAACGTAAGCCTCTTTGCTTCCTTAAGCACCAGGAGAGACGGCACCCAGCAGAAACAAACACTCACGGTGAAGACTTTCTCCGGCTGCCCACGCGCTCTCATGTTGGTGTCGTGGATCTGTTTGAGGATCATCCATGCTTCATCGTGCTTCCCCACCTGACAGTAGGGAGAGCAGGAGAGAGTGAGGAGATATAATTCACAAGTGCAGCGCTGGTCTCACTGACTCTTTGACACCGTAAATAAATGTATATTCCGTAGAGCTCGTCAGTCCTACTCCGAGTGTTTCAGATGACTCATTCTGTTCTGGCTAAACAGCTTTTGGGAAATGCCTAAGTTCTCTCAATTTCCCCCCTTTTCTATTCTGCACTACCAAAGCTGACAAGGAAACACTGCACGATGAGGCAGCAATCTTGAAGCCTGCTGATTAATGTTAGTTTCTAAACCAATATTGAAGGAAATTAGCATTACCTCAAGGTAGAACCTGGGACTTTCAGGCATGAAGGTTAATGCCACCACGGCGCACACACAAGGCAGCGCACAGACCACCACAAACACCCTCCAGCTGTGGAACTGGTACGCTGACCCCATACTGAAGCTCCAACCTGTAAACAGTGGCATTAAACACCAACCACAATGAGACGGATGACATGGAAAAATCAATATCCATTCACTATAAACAGTAGGTTGCATAAGTCTTCCGATTGAATGTTTTTTTCATTAATTGGGATTATCCAGGTTTAGCATAGATTATCTACTGATAATTGTTTCGTGTTAATCTGAAAGCTCACAAAGACAAACTTTATTCAAGCTCACAAATGCTGCCAATTGTTTTTTTTACTGCACATTATACGGCACTACTTTCTACCTGTTTGTCTAATTTATTATTCAGTGTTAACAATCAGACTTTAAGGCCTATGCCATTTATAAGATTTGCTTCATCTTTTAGAGGGTATTTCATCTTTTACCAATATAGATGAGCGCTGATATAAGTCCAAGTGATCCTAAAAATAATAGTTTTTCTGCTTGCAAAATTACTGTTAACCTTCTTATCCCTTTCTTGTCATCCTGATATTGTGTTTTGTGTACTGTAGTACGTCCTTATGGGGCCACTTTGATCTGAAAAGCTGATCGTATATGTGAATTGTGTGAAACTGGCAACACAAAGGGGCTGTAAATAAAAGACGGCCCTATGAGAGCCGCCGGAGCCGAGCGGCGCGTCGGCTCACAGATGAATGGCTCTGCAGAGGAGTGCACACAGACGGGTTAATTGAATGTGTAGAAAAAGAATCGAGTGTTTTCTGCTAAGTTAAATCTTGTTTCACCTGATCACAGCCCGCAAGCATTCTCCCAGACTCATTAATCATTGTAACGTGAACACACACACACACACACACACACACACACACACACACACGTACAAAGTATACACACACACACACACACACACACACACACCACACACCGACACACACAGACTTAACACTCCTCAAAAGCGGGGAGATGAACACATTTACACGCAACAATGAATCACGTGAATTACCATATGCAGATGAGTTATACGGCTAACATGGTGTCATAATGCTAAACTCCCACCCACACATAAGTAAACAGGAGAAATTGTGCAAAATGCAAAAATAATCTGCATGATTTTGCAAACCGTTCAGGGCAAAGGCAGATCGGAATATGAAATACAGAAAAAATTTAGAGCATAACAATGCAGATATTGGATTTTTAAATTTACTGTAGTATAATAGTATATTTACTGAAGTATAATACCAGGATACCAAATCTGAATCTTTAATCTCATTGACTTCATTTTTTCTTTCATTTTTGGGTGGAAGCACAGCAAGGGGTTGATGTGTCAGTCGTGACCTCCCACGTTTCTCTAGAGATCGTGCTTCATGGAGATGCCGCTCCAAAGGGAACAGTACCATTATCCATCAACAGGCGTAGGAGGGGAGTCTGGGGGTTGGGAGGTTGACGCTAATGGTAATGCCAGAAAAAAAAATCTACTTGGAATTAATCTCACAGGATATTAAAATCCAGCTTTCAAAGCAACGCATATACACTACTAAAAACCTCAATTTTCAAAGGAGGGTGGGTGTGTATAAGTGGTACAAATCCATGCTAGATGAGGCCAGAGAGATGAAACATTTCAGTAAAAGGAAGTGAAATCACTGCAATAAAAAAAGTAAAAGAAATAGAACACTCCAAAAGGAAATAAGCAAAGACGTCCACTCTCTTGGTGTCTTTGGTTGGGCAGGAATAATGGCTTTTGTAGACAACGTATCGCCTGCGTGTACTCCTGCTTTTATTTTTTCCATCTGTGTGTGTGTGTGTGTGTGTGTGTGTGTGTGTGTGTGTGTGTGTGTGTGTGTGTGTGTGTGTGTGTGTGTGTGTGTGTGTGTGTGTGTGTGTGTGTGTGGAGTGACTCAGAGTGAGAGAGGAGTAAAGAAAAAAAGAGACAGAAAGAGACGGAGTAACAGAGAAAGAAAGGGAAGGAGTTGTTCAGCAGTGATTGCCTTTTCTACAAAAATGTAGCGAGGCTTCCTGCCCCTCAGGGTTACTGTTTCACCGTGCCATTGGAAATCTCATTACAGGGATTATGTACATAATTGACTAAGTCTATGGGTGACTGACTCAGCAGTTCTACTTTACTCCCAGATCTAGATACAGTAGATAGATAACTATGTAGATATAGATATAGACAGATATATAGATAACAAATAGAGTAACAAAAAAGAAAAAGACAAAGAGATATGAGGGTTATTTACTTTGCAGACTTTAGCAGGCTAAAGAGATTACCCTCTTTCTTTGTAGGACGTAAACTCCTCACACTCCCCCCTTTTGGCCAACATACCGTGAGGCCATTGGCTGCAGCCACTGCAGCACTTAAGGAACACATAAAATCCACTGAGCGTTGGAGTATGTATGCAAGACACGTAGTTCCCTCTGAGAGAAAGAGAGGCGGATTGGTAGTGAGTGCCAGAGAGAATAAGAGCAAAGTAAGACCACTACCTTCAATACAACGTCAGCAGATCGGACGGCAGAGGATGCTTCTTAAGACTTGTTGGGGTTTCAGAAGGTTGTCCTAAACTGGTTCTGTACAGCCACAGAGCTTTGGGCATGTAAGTCTTCATCATTGTATCTTCATCAGTAACGTAATAGCAATTTATGAAAACCGGGACGAGCTTCATCGAATGTGTCTGCGTTAACCCAGTTGACCTCTTGCAATGTCAGCCGTTACCGTCTATGGTTTCCCCTTCAAGAAGACCTGTGTGTGCCTGCAGCCCAGTAAAACATCATCCATGCAACTTACAGCCAACCACACACACTCACACTCACACACACACACACTGTCCCTCCCTCAATGACGTCACAGGTTGGCTACAGCATGGTCTGGCCATAAATCACCTCTAGCTGTAGCTTTGTCCTATCAGAGCAAGGAGAAAAACCTAATTATGTTTGATCAAGAAGAACACTTTGTGGAGACACAGAACAGGGAGAAGGGAGAGGTAATAACGGGAAGGACAGAGTTAGACAGAGAGATGGGCAGAGTACAAAGCAGGAGGACCGGGGAGCCTGTGAAAGGTTTCACAGCGCTAGTGAAAAGAATACGAGTGGAAGAAGAGGAGGGAAGGGAGGCTTGTTCCCCTCATTTTGTTTCTGTGAGTGCATCTGATACCTAATGTGGTAATTTCATAAATCTCAGCTTTCTGTCCCCCAAAGGCTCACCCTCACCCTATCAGCCTGCTCTATGGTGTCCATGCATACTTAAATCTGTTAACCTCTGCCTCTCGCAGCCTGCAGCCACTCAGGGCCATCAGGGGATTGATCCCTGTGTAAAAAACAGAACCTTCCCTTTGTACATTTAGTTTAGCTTGAAGTCACATTGCAAAGCAGCCAAAATGAATCCTGTCAAAGCCTTCAATGAGTATAACTGTTATACAATCTGCCTTTTCGCTTCTGTACATTTGAGTACATTATCATATATTGTCTAACTGTGAACTCACCGTAGTGTGGTATGATGGCCCAGGCCATGGCAGATGCATAGATCTCTCCAATCATCCAGAACATACACAACCAGCTGAGGTGTTCTCCTCTTTTCTCCCTAGACAACACCTCTGAAAAGAAGGAGAACACAATGGGCACAGCACCTCCTATCCTGCAAGAAGCAAAGACAATGGGAAAGTTAGTGGGAAGAAATGTGAAATCAGGACAGAAACCTAACTTACTAACCACATTATTTTCACATATATTACATCGTAGTTGCAGCATCATTGGCCTGTTTTTATTCCTTCAGTCCAAGAAGAGCAAATTAAACATTTTTAATTATTTAAACTGCAGGTTCATTCCCAATCCATCACAGAAGACGAAGCAAGAAAAAAACAAATCCTTCAAACTCAATACTCAGTGGCAGTTCCTTATAATTCAGAAGCACAGGTCGCATCGGCATCTTGGACAGCATTCTCAATTACCAATTACTCTGCATGTCTTAGGGGAGAGTGGTACAGAGGCAATTACGGAATTAGCTTTTAAAGAAAGAGTAACACTGTCAAAGAAGCGGATGTAATGAATCCCTGTCCGCACCGTGTTATGCAGTAAGAAACTGACAGAAAGTCGGTATTGCAGGTTTCCTTTAATAATTAGGAAAGACATAGACAAACTGAAACATACCTCAAATAGCTTTTTGCCTTACAGAGATGGATTGTTTACCCTCACTGATTTAACCTGATGCACACCTTGACTTATAATAATAATAATTTGTTTAGAAAGTGTGACCATTCTGTGGTCTTGAGCAGCCAAAATGACTCCTCCATTAGTTTTGACAAATACCTCTAGCAGACTTACCCAAAGCCTGCTACGAGGCGGCAGAGGAGGAAGACGCCGTACCCCTGGACAAAAGATGACAGGAAGGCGAAGAAGCCATTTGTAGACATGCAGATGAGGAGGCACTGTCTGCGGCCCACTTTGTCAGACATGCCCCCCCAAAAAAACGCTCCGACCATCATCCCCAAGTAAACGACACTGCCTGGAAACAGAGAGGGAGACGAGAGTCAGATCTGTTATCACCAAAATATACAATACATTACATTATCATATATTATATTACAATACATTACTACACCTTGCATGTGAAACATTACGTTTGCGCCTCAATGGAAGTTCTGTTGAATGATTGACCGATGGGATGTTAAGATGATCACGCTGTTATTTTAATAAGCTAAGAAATAAACTGGAAAATTGATTCACCGACGACTAACAAAGAACCAATTGGAAACCGTCAGACCCGGTAACTCACTCTAACGTTAGCAAGTAAATACAGTGTGTAAAAGACTGAAACCAGACTCTGATCAATGGGGAGACAAATGTGAACAGTAATGCGGGGGGACTAGAAAGAGGCCCTCTGCTCTCTTTTAATCTGTCTCATCACAAACAGGATCGATGCTCCAACAAAATGCATTGATCTCCCTCGCTGATCACCATGGTTCGGCTCTGGAGGGCGGAGCCTATTGGGCCTGTTTGGTCCACGTGGTATGTGGCAGTGTGTGGATAGCAGCCTTCATGCTGCTCCAACTGGATTTGTCTCACCACTCAATACGTTTTTTTAGGTTAGACCTAAGAATTTTTAACATCAGATAATATTACAGTAGTGTTTGGCCTTCCTCCACATTCAGACATACCGAGACATGTGCACCTGACTCATAGAGAGGATATATATATTTCAGAATTTCAGAACCAAAGAAGAAAATGTGAAAGCCTCAGGGACTCTTTGTTCAACCCATTACACTAATCTTAATGCATTTCTTCTCGTTAATGTCTGCAATCAGGTCTCTTCTGCTCCGCTGGGAGCAGATATCTGTTTGACTCTCTCGCTTCGGGGGTCAAGCCATGTCTATCTGTCCCATTTGGCAGGCATCTAGATACCCGCCTGAAGGCACCATGGATTCAATTCTAAATTTAACTGTCTTCAGTCTACGCACAGTTCACTTTTGCCTCATTAAGGAGAGGCTGGATAGGGAAACACCTGCTGGCCGGCCAATTTTACTGTCATGCATCCAAACCCCCAGAGGCCTTCTCATTTAGCTCTCCACTTTCCATTCAGACCATAAAGGGTTTTGTTCTTTAAGAGATACTAGCACCAAAAGACACACAAAGATAAATAACCTCTGATTTTTGCTGATTATGCTCTGTCTTTTGCCCCAAGAGGGATTTCTTTCTAATTTGAGTATGAGTCACGCTTTAACTTTAACAGCGTGTTCTCATAGTGATAGAGTCACATTATCTGTAAGAAAAACACCAATCAGTAACTACACCACAGTAAAATTGTAGGTAATTAAAAACCCTTTCAACAGAATGGATACATGAGACATTCTTTACAAACCTATTTTATCAAACTGCTAATTAGAGTTAGCAATTCTGTTTTGCTGCAAGTAAACAGAGTGTAATCAGTCTTTTCAATATAATCAACATTTTTACACATCAACCAAAATCCCTCAAAGGTTGAAAGTAACCGAAGAATTATAAACGTGACGAACTCGAGCTTACATTTAAACTAGTGTGCTGTTCAAGATTGGTTTTGATTAAGGAAATTAAGGGTCTGCTAATAATGCAATATACAATATACAAAAAGAGAGAGGGGGAGAGAGAGAGAGAGAGAGAGAGAGAGGGACAAGGGGTATTTCTCCTGGTCTATATTTACTCTCGGATGGTGAACATAAACCAATTGTGTTCAGCAATCTGCCTCAATCTGCCAGTATAACACACATCACGCAGGAAATGTCTCAACATTAAGATCGTGAAACTGATGCATGGACCATGCTACTGAACACAGTGACATCGATACCATCGCTCCACAAAGTTCCAACACACCTTTAGGAAAACCGCTTCTCTGAGTAGAGTCTAGTCATTGATTTAGTTGGAGTCCCTCAATAGATCAAAGTGCAGAGGTAAGAAATGTAAAAGCTTCACAGGAAGAATGATAATTTTCTAAAAAACTGATAAGACACAGAAGCAAAACCCCTTGAATGGATACCGACTGGTGAAGACGTTTCATCCGTAGGAACGTGAAATGCAGCTGAATGCTGGGCCTGATGACCCATATGCTCTGAGCACCATCAGAAAATGACAGTGTGTCAGGAGACCTCCAGGAAGAAGCAAAGGGTTTCGCCCCATGACACTCCGAAGACATGTCAAAACACATCTCCGGGAATGGTTAATATTCAGCAAAATCCCAGGCCCCCGACTAAACACGAGACAAATTCCAAGGAGTAAGACATACGCGGAGTAAAATACTGCCACCAACAATGTCAACTCTTTAGGGTCGTTGTGTAACAAGGCGAAGCAGAAGAGCAACATAGATGTAAAGAGGAAGCACAAAATCAAGCAGATATTTGATTAGCAACAGAGAGAGCAAAAGAAAGTAACTAAGAACGTTCAGTAGTTGCTGAAGATGTAGGGTGAGAGATTGAGAGGGAGGGGAGGAGGTAGGGGGAGGCCCTGGTGCAGCGCTTTCTGTCCTTTCACATCCAGAGGAACCCCTGAGAGCCGCGGGAGCGCTGAGCTGCATCACGACCTCTTCCCTGATTTCATGCTTTGATGCTCTTTGCTCGTAGCGCCACAAACTGCTTCAGCATTGCTGAAAACACCCGCCCTGTTTTATTCCAAGTGATGATACCGTCACAGCGTGCCTGGTGTGCCTCAGCGACGCAGCGGAACCCTTCCCAGCAGGACATTCTCCTTCACCTTACCGCTGTTTCCGTCTTTCTGTCAATCCCTTCATTACTACTTAGATTTTATTTGATTTCCTTCGCTTGTTCCTCAGCTCTTCTCTCTCTTTTTTTTTTGCTTCTCTTTTCGAGCTTTTCTCCATTTCTCTTTCTCTCAGCTTGTGTCCACTCCCATTGCTTTCCAATTTCTTGGACTGCTTCTCACTTCTCCTTCCTCATTTCCCCACCTAGTCTCCCCGCTCTGCTCCTGTTCCCCTCTCTTATCCTCTGTGCTTCCCTCTCATTTATTTGCCTTAGTTTTGCTCCACGGTCATCAGCGTCTTTACACTGAGCAGCGTGTAATCACATTTGTACTACGTCGTGACAGTTTGATCGGATTCATGCCTCTGGCTTCTGCCACCTCTGCAGAAAAAGAGATAGAAGCTTTTTGTCATATTTAAGTCATATCCGTGTGGGCAGGATTTCAATGAAATCTATATTAAAGCAACCTGTCGTTGGGCTCACGGTGCAGGGTTTAAAATGACTAACTCAGCATCAGTAATGATACAACCATCATTACATTAAAGACTGTGGATAATTCCCATGAAATACAGAATGCTATGAACCTCTGATAAGAGCGAGCAGACTTGCTTTACTTGTGGCTGAAAATTGCTGGTTGCAGCAGTTTTTTTTCCACACACACACACACAAACACACACACACACACACAGACGCACGCACACATTCTATGGATCTGCACTACTCAAGTAGTATAAACTCTGCAGTGACGTTGCAATCTTACTGCAGTTTAGCCACGCTCAGCTGCCCCTGATCCAAGCAGCCCCACGCACAGCCTGTCAGCTGGTTCAAACACACAGCGAGGGAGAGGGGTGAGACAAAGAGGGACATGCACTTTGGAGATGGAGCTCAATAGGAGACGGGGAGAGGAGCTGGGACAAAGGGACGAAGCCGGGGAGAGATTAAAAAAAGGTACAGGAGATTGGAGGAGAGAGAGGGTGGTACGGGTGAAAAGAAGACCAAGTGGAGCGGAAACAAGAAAGGAGGGGGAAAGTATCGATGGCAGAGAGAGAGAGACGGATGGCTGAAGGAAAACAAGGAGAGCTGAGTTAGGAGTCGCAGAGAGAAATGAGGGGATTTTTCCGCAGAGAACAGACGGCCAAGAGGACAAATAAGTAATGATAGGGGGGGGACGCCTTCCCATTGTCTGTTGTGGCTGAGATGATAGCTGAGCTTCTCCCCTGCATTGTTATCGTACTGAATACTGCTAAACTCCCACCCCTCTGCTCCCATCCACCCACACCGCTCACCCTATCACTCCTCTCCAACGTGGCAATTTATCTGCTTCACAGCTGTTCCTCCTTCACTCCTCCCCCCTTTTTATCTCACATATTGCATCTCATGGGGCTTGTTTTCCTTCCTGCTTCCCTGACACTTAGTCCATTCTTATAAAATGATCTAACAGTTTCATACCTCCCCCCCAGTCTGTGCAGCTCCCCTCTTTCTGTGTCTGTTATTTGGTTAGTTGCACAATACAAAATGAACGGCATCCAACACGGCATCTGTGGACCAGACCAAACACCAAATAGCTATTTTCTTAAATTGAACAATCCCTAAATATATAATTTAGCTTAGATACACATATTTTGAGTGGATGACAATTAGTTGTTCCCTGTTATTGCTGTAAAATGGGCAAGTCAAATGTCAGCCATCATTGACCAAACAGCCAGCCAAGTGCTTCCTTGAAAATGTAAAAAATATGAACCCCAAAAACTTTACACATGTTCACATGCATTAATGTAACCTGCTTACTGTGTAAATACTGTATGGCAGGTCAGTAGTGAGGTTGCTCCTCGCCACCCTTGACCTTAGTTTAAAAGCATTACTCACTTTAGCTGTATTAGTGGTACAATGTGAGTGGGCAGAGCTTTACAGTTGTGAAAGAAAGAAGAATTTGTTTATCTGCATATTGTGACCACAAAAGTCAATTCAGTTAGATAAATATTTGTGTTTGTGTTCACTATACTGTTAACATTGCATGGTATTATATTGAAAACATGCAATCTTTCATGCTTTCATGCTCTCTCCTTTCATACAGCACACAATAATAAGAAACTTTTTATTATGTAATCTATCCTCGTAAATACGTTTTCTCTAATCCCAACATAGTGTTATTTGTATACTGTAAATGTCAGGGTTAACCCTAACTAATGACTCGAGTACATGCAACACTAAGATGTATCGCAGGTTAAAACAAATGGTTGGTTGTTGTGCAGCAACAATCAACCATTAGGAGTTCCTCTAGCAGCCGCAACGAGGAATTGTTCCCTGATTGGATTTCAGTATGCTAAATCTGACAATTAAGGACATTTGAACATGCTAAAACTTTTACTTGGTCTGTTTAATGGTGGGTAGTCAAGTCCCTGACTGACCCTACTATGTAAGTAAGAATATAGTTGTCCTGCTTTGCTAAAAGCAAAACTATCATGTGAAATACACAAATAACTTGACCATCCCAATCAAATACACCCACAGACCTAAATGGCTGTTGTTTATTTCAGCACTTCAAGCCAATGCAATATTGCTAAAAAACCTGTAAAACAGCAACTCAGTTGATTTTGTTGCCTGTAATTAAGCTTGATTACTCTGGAAAACTCCAAATGGATACAAACAAGGTCAAAGTAATCATGTAGTCTACACCCACAAACACACACACACACCAACCACGTTCACCTCAATTGGGAGGAGCCTGGGGGGGAATCGGTAGGAAGAAGGAGAGTGGAATGGGTGGAGGATGGAAGAAGAAAAGGGAGGCACATAGAGAATGGAGGGAGGGAGAGGGAGACAGGGGGTGGAGGTTGGAGTCACGAAGGAGGAAAAGCAGAGCGTAGAGCAAGAATGCCCGCAGGACTTTGCTTGGTTTACATGGGTACGGGGAAAGAGACAGGAAAGGGAAAAATATGAAGAGGCAACATCTTGAGAGAGGACTTTGCAGCGACAATCCCACATGGAGCAACACACTTTTGTGTTTGGATAAAAAAAAACTAAAATTAAAAAATATGGTGAAAAGCTTTTATGCATGCCTGGCTGTTTCTCATTTCAGATGTTTACCAACTATTACTTCCACTCTTGATTCAATTTTGCATCATTTGTTGTGGAGCAGTTGATATATGGTCACGTCTCACTGAGACGGTTAGTATCTAAAGGCTGTGTGCCCGAATTAATGTCCTCACCACTCTGACACAGTGAGTCCGCCCCAGCTCTCTGGTGATGGATTATTCACCTGCAGCCATAGGGGCCCACAGGGAATACCAGCCACCTTCTTAATCCTGATGCAGAAACCCAAACACTACGGATAATGTGTGACAAGTGCAGTGGGGAAAAAACAAAAATGATCTTATTTTCAGAGACAAATCATATTGCACAGAAGGTAGCGTGACCCTTTCCTTTAGTCAAACTGTACTAGTAGCCTATAAGTTAAATCTATTGCTGCCTTAATATTTCACCACCAGTCTGCAGCACAGACGTTATGTTAAAAAAAAGTATATAACTATGATAACATAAATAAATAAATAAGACGTCATCAGGGTTACTTTCTCGTTTACAGATATGGGAGACAGTGAAGCTCTCTTTAATTATTTCAGTTCATGCTTCAAGCATACACATTTCTTTTCCATATCAGTGTTTTAGGAATGAGTCCTATAACCCAATGACTAGACGGACCGCATGCCCATAAAGCCTCGTCGTATAAGCGCTCATGCAATCGTGTTTGCAAAACTTTAGCTGTTACTTTTGACTATTGCATTCAATTGCATTCACAAGTCAAAATTCTGAAAGACTACCTTGCCAAACTAAATGTGAAAGTATTGTAAACTTGGCAGAGTGTATATTACCAAAGAATTGGGTAATAATCCCTTTGGCTTTCTGTCATGGGAACAAATGCAATGCTAAATTCCAGAGTTGGCCTACAAATGTCCTCCTTTAAACCTGCAGCTCTATCTACATATTACAAGCATGACGTGTTTGGGCACTTTATTGCCCAAAAATGAAATGTACAGAAGAATAAGACAATCCAATCCCTTACCGAGCCATCCCGAGCTGGAGTTGGGCACACACATGTCCGTCTCTGCGCTGGGCAGCACAAAGCCCACCACAAACACCTCCACCCCGTCGGACATGAGGGCCAGCCCGAGCACCAGGAACAGCTGCCACTGGAATCTGCCATGACCACACTCCTGGATGATCAGCTCGTACTGTTGGGCCAGCTCCTCTTCGTCGGCCTGTCTCTCCTGCTCCAGTCCCTTACGGTCCCTGTTTGCATCTGACGTTGGTTGCCCCAGCGCCACCTGGCCCTCCCTCTGCTTCCTGTCTCCTGCCGATGGGATCCCCTGGTACTCTCCCTCATAGATCTCGTCCTCGTCGTCGTGGCCTTCTGTCGCATCGCTGGAGCCCTCCTCGTTCTCGTGGTAGCCATCGCCGTCCGGCCTCGGGGGGTTCCGGTAGAAATCCTCGTCTTCGTCCTCCTCGTCCTGGAATCGGTTGTAGTTGTGGTGGGATGAGTACTCGTCTGTGGCGCGGTCCACCACCTTGCTGACTTTCTTTGTCGCATGCCGCTTGGCCTCCTTGACTATGTCCTTGGCCCCCTTAGCCAGGGAAGTCCTGTTATTGTAAGTGTCCTCCATTGTGGGTCCACCGGTCGGTCTTCAAGGATACTTACTGAGAGAAGAAAGAGGCAAAAGGGGCAAGTGGGGCGCCGAACACTGATGGGAATTGCAGGAGTGGTGAGATCAGTGTGTCTCAAGATGCAGCAGGGAAGAAAACTCTTGTGTCTGGAGTCACCACAGGAGATAAACCACAATGACGGTGGCAATCATCGGACAGGCTGAGAGAGACGGGGGAGGGTGTGGGAGACAGACAGATAGAGTCAAATGAGAGAGAACAGGAAGGAAGAAAAGGGGAGATATTCATCAGATGCTACTTGTAACTCATCTCTCCCCCCTGCCACATTCATAACTATCCCAGACTACCAGGTGACACCCCATTAGACAGCAAGTACCCTCTTTAATTATTCTCTCTCAGGTTTTGTAAGTGATGTCAGAGAAAAGGCTCTTACTGCATAGCTCTCTGATTTTATTTGAAATGAATATAACATTTTCACGTGATTATTGGACTTGCTGAATCATGATCAGTTTTGTGGAGCAGCGGCTAATAAACGAGGCCCTGCGCGAAAATCAATTTGCCCCCAATAAAGACCTGGTTTATTATAATGGGAGTGACGATCCAACCGGAACAGCACTGTCATATTTAATCCAGGCAGAGACAGGAGGGAAGGAGAAATGGTCCTTGAGTGGATATGTAGATACACACAAACTCTGACACGGGCTCATAAAGAAACCCCCACATATACAACAGCGTCCTCCAAGGCCTCTGAGTCACACATACTTGTAAGAAGCCCACGTAAATAAATACAGAGAGACTCCTTTACACACTTGAACATGCCAGGCCCACATGTGAGTGTGCGTTCACAGCATGGATGGGGAAGCCCTTCTCTATCTTGGCAGGTCGGTGCTGATGGGAGGGAGACATTAACATAGCAGTGCAAATGACATGCTTTCATGTGAGTGTTTAAACTTAAATCCACCGTTCATCATCACGTTGCCTCCCGAGGCTCACTTTGGCATGGTTATTCTTTAGTTTGTCATAATACAAAGTCACAACCAATATCAAAACACAATAAAACAATTGAGGAATTTAGTCAGTTAAATGAGAAAAATCCTATTTTAACTGCATCAAACATTTCAAGACAAGATAAAGTGAATACTAAGAGTAGGGTGGAGATGGTCAGAGCTGTCCAGTGTGTGTGTGTGTGTGTGTGTGTCTGGTCAGAGCTGTCCAGTGTGTGTGTGTGTGTGTGTGTGTGTGTGTGTGTGTGTGTGTGTGTGCGTGTGTGTGTCTGGTCAGAGCCGTCCAGTGTGTGTGTGTGCTTGTGTGTGTCTGGTCAGAGCCGTCCAGTGTGTGTGTGTGTGTGTGTGTTTGTGTGACTCATCAGAGCTCCCTCATGTCTGTGTGTCTATGTGACTGCGCACACCGATCCCACGTGTGTGTGTCTTTCGTCTGGTAATAAACATACAATATGTGGAGGTCCCGTGTGTCTAGGAGCTGCTCACCACAGCCTCTAACGAACACTGAAGCCTTGTCAGGAAGACACAAATCACAGGGCCAGCTCCAGCTCTCATAATGCGATTTTACTGGGCAAAATGACACTGCTGATTCAAGGTGACTCTCCTAATCCCTTTTGGCTCATTGGATGACTCCTGTGGTTATGAGCACACCCCTTCCCACATGGACTGATCATATTTTGATACCTCCATTTACACCGGTGGCGCCGAAGACGTCCTAAAGGCGGCTTATTCAAAATCTTTGTTTGCTTTTTCCAAATGGAATTGCTCACTGGATCATTGCTGAAGTGCACATTGCAAGAGTTTAACTTGCCATTAGTTGTATGGTTAGTTGGACTTGTAATAATATGTACTGCATTGGATTGCTATCCATAAATCTATGATAAATATTGAAGGATTTCTCAAAACAATTCTTCATGAGGGCGGAACATTGTAGCTTTTTATTATGCAAGGCACTTATACAGCTACTGCATTTTTTTTATGAATTCAATAATAACACCCTGTAAGTAGCGTAGGAGTTCATTTGGTGTCACTAAACTGATTTGACCGCTATTTACCGTTCCAGGATCAGGTCATGTTAGCCATCACACATAATTTTTTACTTAAAATGAGTAATGCACATATCCACAGATGTAAAGGAGGGAACATCCTGCCTTTCAGGGAATCGTTAGAATGTGTGGTGAGGTCTGTTTTCTGTGGTGATGAAGCTCAGAAGATATCTGAGACAACCAGCCTCACTGACAAGAGCAATGGCAGCATTCACAATCAAACTGGGTAACTTCTTCCAAGGAAACCAATCTATTATTCAATTACATCACTGGTCATTTAGCTGACGCTTTTATCCAAAGCGACTTACATTTGCATTTTTAACCTGCGGCTTTAGGCCACTAATTAGGGGTTGGGTGTCTTGCTCAAGGACACTTCGGCATGGGACATGGAGCAGCCAGGACTCAAACCCCCAACCTTGCGGTTCCCAGTGCACCCTCTCTACTCTACGCGCCACGGTCGACCCCCAATCGATTCAATGATGTCGGCAAGCCACTCCTTTCCTGCACACTCAAATATTTCTACTGATAACAAACCGACATTGTGACCAGTATATGTTTAACATAAGAAAGCTGCATCCATTGCCTTGCAGGACAGTTGATGTAGTGCGTTGCCATGACCCATGTGAAGATGGCTGAAAATAGGCCTTGCTCTGGCAAAACTCCTGCCTTTATGATGGATAGTGCCGCTGTTTTCCTTCAACCTCTTTGGAATACTAAAAAAACACAGGATCAAGTATCACTTGGTCCCTAATGCATGAATGAACATAGAGACAAATGAGGAGATTAGACGGATGTTTTGACCTCGCATTCCACTCAGGAGAATTGATTTAAATGTGTTCTGTTAATATCCAGTTTGTTTGACCAGCTCAGCCCATTTCAACGCATAGTCATAATGCTATTAATGACTAGTTTAAATAAAAAAACATGGATAATGACAGTGGTGACACCCTCAACCTGACAATGTTTAAATTAATTAAATTAATTTTAGCCTAAGGAGTTCCTACAAGCTGCACACTTTGTCAATATGATGCATTTCTTTGTGGTTGAACACATTGGTATGGACAAGCAGGTTGTCAGAATAGGAAGAAAGCGATCAATGCAGGTCCTAGAATTTCAGGTTGCTTGACCCATAAATGCTAGAGGAGACACATACTATATATTTTTTACGAGAGGTTGAAGGGAAATCAATAATGTCTTTTTGGCTGAGTGCAGTGCTGTAGCCCATAAGTTGATCCTTACAAAATGAAAAAAAAAGGACAGATGCAAAAATTTGAGTAGCCGAGGGCCCCTCTCTCTCTCTCTCTCTCTCTCTCTCTCTCTCTCTCTCCTTATATTCTTTTATTTATTTATTTTGTACAATAAAAAATATTTATATGGTTGAGTCTCTTTTGAGTTTCTTTTTTGCTTCCCAAAGCAGCAAAATTCTGGGACGGGACTGTGCAAGGGAAGTCATTTCAAACGACTTGTGCACTTTACATTGAAACAGTCCCTTGCCTCTCAAATACTTTTCATTTCAGTCAGGTGCAACTTGGCAGGGTCCTGCCTTTCAATGACATGCACAAGCACAGTGGCTTGACGGCCGGTTTGTTTTATTAGCATCAGGAAGAGAAGGTCCAATCTCTTAAGTGGGCAGAGCCGCATGTAATCCCATCAAAATGGGAACCCGTGACCTCATCTGGAAGGCAGAAGCACAACCAGCCCGGGACGTTTTCCGTTAGGAGATTTCATCAAGCAGTGATGCCATTACTGACTGAGTGGAGGGGCAGGGGGAAGGTGGGGGGGTAGGAGAAGTATAGAATAAATGGGGGGCAGGGCAAAAGAACGTCAGAAGAGTGGACATGAGTTGCTTCTGCAAATGGAGAATGTAATTAAATGATTTTCAAATAATTTTCAAAGCACATAAACCGTTCACCTCTCTTCAACAGTCCTAGCTCCTCCGCTCATTATAAAAACCTCCACATAAAGCTACACGTCATCCAGATTCATATAACAGCTACAGCAAGCTGGCGTCTGCCACACCTTGACGGGTTTGTATTGTTAATATTGACTCAAACTCAAAGCACATCTTAGCCAAGAAAGGAAATTCCCTGTTGGTACTAATGTTGTCAATGTTCTAACTGCAATAGAAATGATAAAGGACACAATGTGCATACTGGATACTGTTGAAATCGTAAAATGGTTCAACTCTACTGACAGAAAATAAGACATTTTCCAGAGAAAAATAAATCATGTCCCACCCCACATTGAAGATGTACAGAGAGGCTTGTGTCTGTTTGATCTTTTGAGTAAACATTTGGTATCCCTGCCTTCCCAGAACTCATTGCTGGCGTAACATGCAGGGGCTACAGATACTAAACCCAATGTGCCGGCACCACAGTGTGGTGCATCATCAGGTCATTCCCTGCCTGCGCACGTCACCAAAATGTACAGGCTTTTTCTGCAGCTCCTATCTTGGACATCGTCACTGGAGCAGCGCAGTTTGTACTTTACAGTGCCACGAGAGTATAAATATAAAATATCGTGTGCTGCATAAACTTAGGATAGGATACCTAATAAAAATTCCAGATCAGTGGATGCTTGAGATGAAGACGTTATTGAATGCAGATGAGAGGCATTCTTCATTACAGTGGCATGAAAAAAATTCAATGAGAAGTGAAAAAAAAGGAATGAATTCTGCATCCAGCCTTCACTTTCTTCATTGAGTCGCATTCAGTGTAAACGCAGCAGGACTACAGCAGTCTTCCGATTGCAAACAAAGCACTTCTCCCCAGATTTCCAGTTCAATGACTTTGTGCCTGTCAATCGCTCACAGCCTCTTGAGGTGCAATTCACGGATGAGTCAGTGGCCTGCTTCGGCATCCTCTCCTCTTTTTGGCGGCAGTGTAGAGTGCTTTAACTGCCCCAGGCAGGTGGCTGGATTGCGCTACATGCACAGAGCGGAGACAATAACCCGAAACTCTGCAAAGGATTTCACTGTACATCCTTGTTGAGAAAAAGTAAACTATTCGCTTCAGTCAGTGATCGTTATTATTAAAATGACCACTTAAAGGGTACAGCTCAAGTAAGCAAATTCATTGACAGACCATATGCATGCAGCATGTACCTTAAATCCCTGCTTTAAACCCATCTATTTATGTAAAATGACAGTAGCATTACTGTCACCTTTAATATCAATTCCACAATATAGAACAAGAAACTGCAACTGAAACATGCTATGACACAAGGCAGTTACTGTGCCTTCTTTCACTTAATGGAAGCAATTTCTCTACTTCTGCAGGAGGAATATAGACTGAGTTCAGTGCACCCTCAGAAAAAACAAAAAGCCTGGAAACCATCCCAATATATGAATCACAAACTTATGAATAATGCATGAGGTACAGTTTCCCTGCGATGGTTGGCGTTTGAATAATTTTTTAAATAAACATTTGAAATAAATGAACAACTTGTCTTTTAAGTCCTAAAACAGTGTATTTAAGATATTTTTTTCTTACTCAAAGTTCTAACACAATCAGCATGTTTCGGGTGTAAAGTATTAATTAGGTTACTTACCATCCTTTATGGCGAGAAGAGTGAACTGGGCTTAGAGTTACCCATCACATCGGACTCCAACATTTGGCAGAAATGTTTTTACTGCAGAATTGGTTTAGAGGTAATTGCCAACGCACGAGCAGTAATTTTTCCTTTTTTCGATGCAGCCCTCCGTCGCTGCAGTACTCCAGGAAACAAGAGAGAGAGAGAGAGAGAGAGAGAGAGAGAGAGAGAGAGAGAGAGAGAGAGAGACGGTGGTGGGAGGGAGGGAGGCAGAGGGAGGGATAAAAAGAGGGATGGGTAATCAATGCATGTGTGTCAATGAGTGACGCGGGTAATTCCATCTGATGGAACAATCTCGTTAGGAGACCGATGGACGTGAAACGCTGCGGCGCATTAATGCAAAACAGACACCAAATGTCCAAATTTAAGAGGAGTCGGTGTTTGCGCGCGCTCACCACGAGCGGATGACCAGTGGGAACCTGAATGTGGACGCCTGTCAGTGCGGGAGACTGCATGAAGCACATGGTGAAAATAATCCAGGTCTTGTGCTTGGGGAGGAGAAGTTGACCGCGTAGGTAGTAACAAGTGCCGCTTACTCCGAAAGTTTTTCACAGCTTCTCATGCGAGTTTGTTTATTAATTCTGTGAACACAGTGATCACATTTATTAGCTTCATTTTTTGCAATTCGGTGTTTTCAGTCATCACCTTTGAATTTCATCCATAATTTTGTTTTGAAAGTGCCGTGTGGGACCTCACGTGGATGCAGCCTGCCTCTGTCCGTGGTGCTGACCGGGACATGAGCCACTCGGGCTTCCGGTTTGGGGTTGCTTATGCCAGAAGAATAACCTTCCGGAGGCTTCAGCTAACACGCCTGGTGTCCCATTAGAAACTAAATAGCTGTTAAATCATAACGTTCGTGACTGTTTTACATTAGCCTATATTCTAATATATGCAACCATCCCTCTAGATGTGCTTGCCTCCAGGTTCAGATGCACAAATACTGAAAAGGAGAGGGATGTAAGGCTCAAATTAAGAAAAGCGATTATAAATGAGAAATATTGACCTGGATTTTTGTATACATTTTTGTAAAAGGAGACAATGTTGCCTAGCTTGTTTTTCATAGACAATAATGTGAAATGCCATGATATTTGCCGTGCAGTAGATTTAGGCACTGCTCACCTTGCATGTTGTTCACATCTGGCTAGATGGTCTCTGCTTGGACCCCTAGTTCTAATTTAATTCACACATCACTGAGTTTGATTTGGACATGCCTGCATGTGCAGTAAAGTCCTCGAATCTTGATGCTGCTGCAGCAAAGCATTCACTCCAAAAATAAAGACCACAGGGATGATAATATTGAGGAATACCACACAAAGAGTATAAAATCCTGTTACATTTATTGCACAACCTAATACAGGCTCTCAAAGGTAAGTAGCCTTTTTACATCATGTGTGAGACATTGACTGTGCCTGCTATGTCAGATCCTAACGCCTCTGAAACCTGCACGTGGTTCCTGGAGAAAGTGAGGGAGGGAAAAGGGAGATGACGTTCTGATGCAAGCACAGGGACATTCAGCCTTTCAGTATTCACATCATTAAAGCCGGTAAAGAGTACCAGGGGGGACTCAGTCTCAAATATGACTACCAGCAAAATGACTCCCTGCAAGATCTTGGATATATTACACTTTGTTCACATGATTTGTTTTTTGCATTTAGAAAACAAAATCACACTAATTCCATGTTATAATGGTTATGATGTAGGACATGCATTGAATAGTGCAGCCTGGTTGTGCATTTGCTTCCTGGCTTTAAACACCAAAACATAGCTTTGACACTGGCTGTGAATCGCGTTCACTGCAAAGGATACTGAATAGGTTTGTAAATGACGCATATAGCGCGCACAGAAACACACAGCACAAAAGCGTTGCAAGGGTACATTTTCATGCACACACACAAGTAAACAAAAAGGCCGCCATCTAACTTTATCCTCTGAATTTGATGACTCACAGAAGCATTAACCTAGGGGCTTGGGACTCTCTTTGCTTTTGATTAAGAGTTGCGAGAATAACCCCCCCTCGAGCTTTGAGACTCCATTTACTACTGCTGGAGAGCTGAGGAGCACTTAGCTTAATGTATGGGACAGTAGAATGGCCCTGATACAGAAACACACACACACACGCACACACACAGTCCTCTGTCCGTGCCAATGCTTTATTTCTCTCCTTTCTTGTAAGACTTATACTTTCTCATTGTCACTTAAACATGCACAAATGCATTCAAGGTGTTCATGAATTCCATTGGCTTTTGATTACTATGAACATACACTAAATATGATACTCATGTATCTCAAAGAATAGCTCACAAGTTGATGTATTGTCATGTCACAGTAAATGTAACCGGATATTGGTGGGAGGTGATAATAAAGTGACCATGTTGGAATGGCTTAAGGCCTTGCTGAGCAAGCATCTCAGACCCCTCAATGCATTGCCACGTATCCCTCTCCTCGGCCTGCATGTGAACATGCACCAACAGAATTTTGCTATTTTCACATGGATTCAAAACTCCTATTTTAACAGGTATTCTACTTCCTCAAGATGTGAACTGGATACCTGCAGTACCAGCTATCCTTAAGAAATGACTAGAGAGACGGAGGTAGACTGGAACAACTGTCTGCTGCTCACCGTCATCTAGATTATAGGAAACAGATGTCGACACTGATGAAAATTGTTTTTGCCCTGTGGAGATAGAGGCTCAGGCTACCTGATTTAGTCTCTATCTTTCCTCTCGGCTTCCATTACTCAGCTGCACTCATACCACTTCATGCTGGAATACGCTTTTATCATACTACACAGATATGTTACGTAATAATGACACAAATCGCCGCGTTGTTAATATTATCGTATCTTAGTGCAAATAACGCGGCCGTGACATATTTACAGTTGTTGGCAAATTCTGTATCAATGGCATTCTGGGAGCAAGACAAAAAGACACCCGTGTCTCAGATAGAAAGATGTGATGGATTAGATTGGCGGATAGGGGAAGTTCTGATCCGTCAAAATGTAATCAAAACTAATTTGAAAACAGCAGGGAGCTATGAATAACTCTTAAGACGAGTGCTGGCAGTATTGTAATCAGTGAGAGGTCATCATTGTCTCATTTGCGAGAAAAATGGGTTGATAACATTACGATTGATGATAGCACATTAGTTGTTGTCTGCAGGAGTTATGGCCGACTGAAAATCGATCCAGGGCAGAAACAATTTTACAACGAGTTTGAAATTGTAGTTTCACAACTGGGATGCAAAAAATGAAATGACACACACACAAAACCATACAACGGGGTACCATGTTTTGATCTCTTTACTGTGTGAAAAAGTTCCCTAAGAAAGTGATCTTCAATAAGCACAAAACATTATTCGGTTCTGTCTACCAGTACAAGGTCCTGCACAGTGCAACGTACCTGATCTAAAATACCAGGGGTAAGAAAGTCAAATGAATTGTGATTATTGTCCTGGAACAGATTGAACTGGTCATGAGAGGAGAATGTGAGCTGAATCCAATTTCAACACGCAAGCTCATGTGCATTTATTTTGCTAAAAGGAAGGTGAAATTTTCAAAAAGGAATTTAAAATAGGGTTATAGGCAGCAATACTGGCTTTAATCTAACCACCATCAATAGGTTATTACCTTTGTCTGCAACAAAGGGCTCTCATAAAACATACACAAACCCTGCAGTTGTCTTTTTAAATAAATGGCACAATTAAAAAAGCAAAGAACCTAACAAACCATGAAAATCTACTGGGATGCAGACGTCACCAAAACCGTTCAAAATGTGAATCCTGCTCTGAAATGGAAATAAGTAATCTGCGGGAGCTGCGGCTTCATGTCATTCATCAGGAAACCTCCACTCCCCACGAAGCTGCAAGGATTATTTTCTGTCCCTCACGATTCTCGTTCAAATTCATAGGATGAGTCAACTGTCAAGACATTTATAATAAAAGGTGTGTGCGCTTAGGGGTGTTTGTCCCAAGCATTACATGCGCTAAAGAATATTTCTGTTAATTTATAATATATTCGATATAAAAATGAACCCAGAAGACCTCTATACTTTGTGAACAGCTGACCAGCTGTTAAACTGCTGTTTTGGGGGAAAATTACTGCACGTCACCAATGTCATAAAAATACATTCCCCATTTTCAAAGTCAGCAAGCAGGTCTTACGAGAATGCTGACAGCGATACTCTCAGCACTCAGCGGTTGGCAAGGAGGCTCCAGTCCAGCAGCACTGCCTGCAGCCCGGCCACGGTGGAGAGGGACCATATGCCGCTGCTCTCTGGAGTCTGTCCCAGCACAGCGCTGCCAAGCCGTCAGGCCTGTTCCCCACATATGTGTCTTAATAGTGCTGTTGAGCACAGGGCGTTGAGGGTGTTGAGATGTTGCTTTAATTCAGTTTGTGAATCACTGTGTACCCTCCATGTTTGTCTGAGGAGCCGATTCAGAGGCTGGAGTTATTCCCCAAGGATTTTACGCTTTCCTCTGGTAAACTTGCCTCTTGTTACATTTCTATTTGTGAACTAATTTTGATTAGCTGGAATTGATTTGTCATCATCATCATCATCATCATCATCATCATCAACCTGTAAGGAGCCATTCTAAACGTGACATTTAGAGAAGATGTCTGATAAAATCCCATACAATTCCTCACTTGTGCCACTGATCCCCGTTGGTGGCTAGAATGACGTCGTTATCAATAAATATGATTTCTATCGTGAACAGATTGACCTAACATGTCACGTTGCAGTACCGCATGCCATTACTAATTCATGAAGTCACAATAATTGTGGCCAAAAGCAAATAAACCATTGTCAAAATCACAGATAAATGTTATTGGTAGGTTATTGTTTGTAATTGATTAGTCTCACCACACCAGTAGCATCGCTGTTGAGCTGTGCAGCGCGTTGTTCCGCTTGCAGTTACCACGGAAACATCGCGACCAATCAGAGACGTTTAAGCCAGAGGGGGAAAAATCAACAGCCAATCCTGGAGCCTGTTGTTTAACAGTCAATCGGTTTGAAACAGTAAAGCAAGCGTTTTCTAACTAACGGAATAACTTGGGAAACGAGTGCGGTAGCCTGTATAAAAATATAAAACAGGTAAATATTCCGCTCTGTGTAGCCAACTACACATCTATTGTCTTGTTTAAGGTTACATATCCAACGTCACAGTCATGTTTTACTCCGAGCGAGTGTAAAACAGCACTGGCGCCAATAGGTTGCATTTTGTTCAGCTTTGTAGCCATAAAGGAACCGTGTTTCTCATTTGTCATTTTATGTGAACTTACTTTAGCTCGATATTCGTTTATGCACGCGTTGACCGTATCTCACACTTATATTCCACACATATATTATCGTAACGTAGGCTGATTACATATTTTGTTTTGTGTGAATAACACAACTAGTAGGAATTATATTTTGCCAGCCAGCCACCCGGAAGGAAACGTATTTATGAAACATTTATTTTGTCTAGATGTCCTCTGACGAAGAACCAAGCAGTCCTGTCCTGCCCAAGGACTCTGATCCTGGCAGCTCTGTGTCCTCTGATCTTCAGGTAATTAAAGAGAGATTCAGTAGTTGTGAAGCACATGTCTTTAAAATGCACTTGCGTTATCTCTCAGATCTGGGAATACAGGAACATTGTGTCGCACATCTGCACAGTTAAACAAGCCCCTAGTTTCAATCAATGATTCAAACCCTTTTTTTGCATGTGAAAACAAAGGAAGGCAAGGCAGAAATGTATATTTGAACCTCCCTTTGCGTTATAAAACAAGTAAGTATTGTAGATCATTGAAGTTGAACAATTAAATGGATGTTTGCAACGCACAATCGCCGTATTAACTTTGACATTTATATTTTCACTTCCCAGTATTTGGTTGATATTGTTAAATTAAAGCTGAGCTGACTTGTTCTTTTTATTGTTTATGGATTAACAGGATGAGTATGAGGAGCTCCTCCGATATGCTGTTGTCACCCCAAAGCTCGACAGACTCACCAGTGCTCATTCGCAGCGGCCCTCACATCTGCCTGCAGGGAGTCGGACTTCACAGAGAAAAGAGGACACAAAATCACTGCGCCCAGCAGGTTTCATATCTTCGTATCTTATCTGTGTTGTGTGCAAAACCCATTCATACACACGTATAGCACCGACAGAAAGATGATAGGACTGAAATGTTGATTACATAAACTGTACTAATAAACCTCATCAAGAGACTTTCCGTATTCCCAGCCTGTAATACAGTCTAGTCGAGATGCACATGATACAAGTCTGTCGGACTGTATGCCGAATTTGCTGTATCTCTTTCCCCTACGATACCCACATCTTAAACAGCCCACTCTCTCTCTCTCTCTCTCACACACACACACACACACACACACGAACACACACACACAGCTGCAGCTGTCATTGGAGGCTTTAGTGCTTTAACTCTCATGGAGTAGTGCACAGGGATGTGGAAAGCAGACGGCCGATTGGTAATGATCCGCTGGCTCTCCGCCCGCACTGCTCTTTAGAGTGAAGGCTTTCTCATCCCCCCCTGCAGGATTTAATTAAGACACTGACATTAATGCATTCCTCAACAAGGAACCTTGCTTGTCTTGTTCAGCATTCTTGTTCTCCTTTTCTTTCCTAAAGTCGTCTTTTGCTTTGTATTTTCCTTTTTGACTTCAACCTTTCATTTGAATCACTTATTCCAGGTAAAAATGTGTATAGGCAAGATTCCCTTTAAGATCTATTCACCATTGTGCCATATCTCTTCAAATTCTCCGTCTTGTGTTAGATATGGCCAGCGAAGCTAAAGATGGAGGGCATTCCAGCAGGAGTGTAAGATCATCACAGGTCTCCCCCTTACTTGAGCCCTCCACACGTCTAAAAGTCTCTCATGGTAAAAAAAAAAATATACGGTAGTTAGTTTGGTATGGTATCCAACAATATATTGTATTTATTTTTCCATCAAATGAGCTTGGAATCACAGAATCAACCATTTGCAATACTGTCGTATTTTCTAGTGATATTCTGTCCATCTGTGTTCCTTTTTTCTTTGCTTTCTAGCTGAGGATATGGCAGGTCGGTCATGTAGCAGGGTGTCCGTGCTCTCAAACGCTCCCTCAGACAGGTTACAGACAGTGTCTGAGAGGTCAAGGCCAAGCAGCCCACACCAACTCGATTCTGCTGTGACCGAGATGTTCATATCGGAGGAAAACATATGCAAGATGGAGAACATACTGGACGTGTGGAGCAACAACCTGAAGGTTAGTCTCCACTCTTATACTGTGGAAACGGTCCTTTTACTGAACTCTGCATAGTTTATTTGAACTTTTTATTTGAACTTTTTGCCCCATTCTCAGGCATTTGAACAGTAAGACTGAGATGGGTTGAATGTGAAAAATACTGTGGATAATGTACATAGGCGTGGTGAGAAACGGGTCAGGGATTTAGAGTGAATGTTAAGTCAAAGGAAGGCTTAATGAATAGGATGACAGCCCTTCCCTTCATGGAACCAGAGAGCTTTTAATCAGTTCTCCCAGTGCACTGATTTTAGAGGAGGTTTAGCCATCCGGACGCGGTGGCGCTTCCTGCCCCTTTCCTCTCATATTGTACACCTCATCCATGGAGGGCAGATGACAACTAATCACCTTTTATTACGCAGAGTTGACACTATTTTACATCGCTTCTTTAAACTTCCAAAAAAGCTAAAAAAATGTACATCTGCAGATGTTGGTTGTGATTGACCGTGTAGAAATTTAGCAGATAAAGCATTTACTCTTAAAGCTTAATTGATGCTATAATTCCAGTCCAGTTGTTGTGGAAGTTGTTGCTTGGAGGTTGTTTCATGTCATGAATGAACTTTGAACCCTTGTTCATCTCATTTTAAAAATGACTATATGAAAAATGACACATTCTCATTGTTCCGCCCCCTATTTGTTAATTAGTCAAATGTGCTGACAGAGCTCAGGAAGTGGAAGCTTGCGTGCATGGACCAACACCAACTGGAAATGAGGAGAGAGAAGGAGAGGTATGCAGCCCAGAGCGCTGACTTGAGGACAGAAATAGACGGTCTGAAGGGGCTGCTGAATACCTACGAGACTTCCAACCAGAGAAAAGATGAGGTGACTACACTTATGTATTTGTTTTATCCTCTACACAATAAACTGGTAGGTTGGACATGGATTCAATGTCTGCCCTCTGACAAGCGTATTGTTCGACACGTTTGACATGTCCTCAGGTGATCATGAACCTGAGCCAGGTGTTGGACAGAAATAAAGAAAAACATGAAAAGATGAGAGCCTTCACCCACTGGAGAATCCAGCACTCTGAGGCCAAAGAGGAGGTAAACCGATGGCAGTGAGGTGTTTTGAGAGAATTTAGTCATTGCTTTCTTGACAGGAAAAGGATGATGGCCTTTAAATTTCAATGCAAGGATTACGCAAGTTTACACAAACCTTTTCATCATCATCGTGTGTGTTTATTGAAATAATTATGATCATATTTGAATCATACATTTGCTTGTGGTGTTTGGCAATGACATAGTATGATTTATGTGTCTCTGCATAAGTTACCCATATATTGTTTTATATTTCCCCAAAAGCTGTGCCATTGGTGTAAAAATGGGAACATTTAGTAGATGGCTCATATTATTGTCCAAACCCTCACAGCCCCACGAGAGAAAATGTGCTGCATCTGCCCAGGAATGATCAAGGGTATAATTATTTCCTTGTGAATATTTTCATGGTCTTGTGGTTCCCCGCTAGGCACGTGCGGCTCAGGTAGCACGACAGCACTACAACTTGCAGCTGAAGAAGAAGGTGTGGTTCGGCTGGCAGTCTCTGATCCAGAAACACTGGAAGGTCAAGGTGGAGCGGGCTTGCCGTGCAAGGGCTGAAGAAGTCTGCACCCGTCTGTCTACAGAGTATGAGGCCAAGCTGGCAGAGGTAAACAAGCAAGGGAAGGCCCTGCATATAAACAGTGCGTGGAGGGTGATTCTGCATTGCTGAATTCATACTTGACTTCACCTCATTGAGGTGTTTTATTGTAGGAATCCCAGCACTCTGTAGTCAGTGAGATGCATTGTGGGTGTAGGGAGCCGAGTCATGTAACGCAAACCCAAAAGCACCACCAGTTTCCATCATTATTTTACCACTATTGGTTAATAAATTAAGCATTCAAAGAAAAACGGTTGTTGTTGGTATAAAAAATATAAACATAAACATGTATATCAAGAGTGCAACACAAAAGAATAAGAATTCATCATATAGGCTGATGAATGAATTACTTACTCATCTTCTGCATCCTCTCCACAGCACTGTGAGGCTATAGAAAAGGCCCAGGCAGAGATTCAGAGACTGCGGCTAGAGCGAGAGCGTTCTGAAGAATCTATGAAGAAAGCCTTCATGAGGGGCGTGTGTGCTCTCAACATGGAGGCTCTCGGCATGTTTCAAACCACAGAGGGACAACCTTCAGTTCAAGAACAGCACGGTCTGTAATGGAAATGCTACACAAAGCTATTTTTAAAGAATACCCATTTTTTCTTGCACATTAATTGTCCTCTGTTATCCTCATCAATTTATGCCCCTGTTGTAAAGCAACAAAGCATAAACGCATAAAAGCATAGCTATCCTTGCATCTCTGCAGTGTTGATTGAACAAATCAAACAGGCACAAGAAAGAAACACCAATTCTACAATAGAGGGCAGGTGTTTGCTATTGACAGTCGTGTAGATTTATGAATGAGATTTATGAATGAGTGGGGTGGAGGGTGGTCTTAGTTCTCCGTAGAGTTATTCACTGACTCTAATGGAGTGATGAGTCAGCGAATGTGCTGAGGGATAACTGATGCATACCGCGTACAGGCTGTAATCCTGATGTGGCACCGCTAGATTTACTGGAAAGGTTCAACAGCCTTTTTCAGAAGTTTTTTTAAATAATGTAATTACTGCTTTTTAGTACAATGTTAGGATTATGGAGAAAAAAAAGTTACATGCTTGGACCAACACAGGATAGCTGTGTACATACAAGTAAAATTATAACAGTAACAAGCCTAGTTCTTGCTATAGAACTCATTGCATTACAGGACTATCAGGACACATTTTTCATGCTAATAACCCCCAAATTCAGACCCCGGCATCTTGATCACGCAACAAACGGTCTATTCAGTGGTTCTCTGTGCTTTTTGTGGTGAGCACACAGGTACTGAAGATGGATCTTGCTGCTCTACTTTGTGCAAATGGACCCTGAAATTGTCCTCTGCTCATCCATCTGCTTTGAGGTTTAATGAGTCTTGCAATCTCAAATGTGTTTCATTATGTGGTTGTCAAGTGGGGCTTGTTTACTAATTCAATACTTGTTTCCTACTACTTTTGCTAAGCAGACTGACAGACAATAAATAGATATCAAGTGTATGTACTGACTAGTTAAGCATGCGTGTTGATAGCATCTCTGTTTTTAGTCGTCTAAAAATTGTACTCTTATCTTTAAACGAGCAAGAGAAGATAACGGTATTAACATTCATATACACATATATACCATTGCTATTTTTTAAGTATTGTATCCGTATTTGATGTCAAATGGGTAGGATTTTTATTCACACCATAATTTTCCAAACAAACATATTTATAATAATGATTATGTTTGTAAACTAGTCCAACATTTAGAACTAAAAGTTGTGATTTTCTGTAATAAGATCACACTTTTATCAAGAGGACTTTTTTGTGAATCTGACCAAATTCCTATTTATTTATTTTTCTGCAGATAATCTGCCTCCTCAGGATGAGTACTCTGCTACATCGGGTCAACTACAACCTTATCCAACCTCCTCCACACAGTTTAGCCCCGTCTACTTTGACCGCCCGGACCCTTCCCACAGCCGAGCAGAGGATATGGTGGGACGAGGACACCACACATTTATTCACACACTGTAGTGTGTGAATAAATGCTTCCCGCTCAACTCATCTTGTATCAGTAGTGGTGTTTCAATTGAGTTTGTGATTCCCCTTTTCCTCAGATGGGCTTTGGTGCCGCCGCGTCCAGGGCAGAAGTGATAACTGCAGCAGTGCACAGCTCCCTCCCACTCGGGGGCACTGCAAGTTCCCACAAACAGGTGGGCATCACGCGTACCGGTCATCACAAGTAATGCTAATGTTCAGCTCCACAACAGCTATGTGCAACTATCACTATGAGTACATCATTGATTTGATAGTTATCCACACAGAGTGACTCGTGTTCAGTAAAAGGAGAAGCCTCTGGCTCAGTAATCACATTCACACGTGACGCAGTGATGTTCGCTGTTTCAGGTGAGCGGTTGCGTCGTCACTGCCAGTCAACAAAGAGCTTCAAAGACTGTAACGGCTCGCGGCACCGCCCGCCCTGACGCTGGCAAGGCTGCGCGGGTCAACCTCCAGGTGACGAGTGTGGCTCCGCCCATGAGCTCTGTGGTCGTTGAACGCCATCATCCCGTTACGCAGGTACGCGACAGGATGCATCGCAGCCGCGTCGCTGTCCGCGCAGTATTATGTGTATACCTTTTAGTGACGTTAAGCTGTAAAATCGTTCTATCGTTTTGTCTTCCGTCCCTTTCAGCTCACTATCGGTCAGGCCACGGCCGCTAAGTTTCCTCGCTCCTCCCAACAGGGCCAAAGCTCCACCAGAGGCAGAAGCTCCTCCAGAGCACCCAGCAGCACGTGCCATGCGCACTCTATCAAAGTAGTTGATTGACCACATGCCATGCAGGTGTCGATTTTATTCCATGCCACTAACCAAGAAATGGTTTAGTTTTATTATATTTGGATATTTTGGATTGAATTTGTCCACTCTGGTATTTTAAGTGAACATTAAATGTCCTTTCATCAATGTGCAGGATTTCTTTTCGAATAGGATTCTCAGAAAAGCGTTGTAAATGTTTTGATTATTAACAACTGGACAGAGTTTAGAATTACAAAACTTTATTTCTATGAAAAAAATGTTTTGACAGAATAGTTTAACCTGTTCATTATTTTAGATTTCAAGTATTATTTTTCATGATTTCTTTCCATAAAGTCCAACCATCCCAAACTGCAGGTTTGTTAAAAACTCACTGATCAAAATAAAGTACTTTATGATGATCTGATCTTTTTGTCAGTCCTCATGTTGCAGTGTTCATCCTCATGAAATCCTGCAACTCTTACTGCTGGAATTATTTGCCTCCATCCGAATCACATCTGTGGGGCAAATAAACATTTTCAACAATAACATTTTGGTACCGATCCCCAGGCAGCTCACCCATATGTTCATAGATTCCTCAGTATATTTGTTGACAGAATGTACCTGCGGCTTTCTTGTTCCCTGTGAGGATGAGGCCTTGATAGAGTTCCATTGCAGTTCTCTTCTGAGCCAACTCCTCCCCGTGGAGCCAGATCAGGAGCATCCTGTTTCCATGTTCCTGATAGCTCTGCTGACCTGTGGACAAGCACACACCAGAATTCAAGAATTTCGATGGACAACATTTTGTCTAGAAAAAGCTAATGTTTTACATTTTCATAGATTTGTCGATGCACAGTCAAAAGGCTGTAAAGCCGGCGCGAGTTATGCCACCTGTCCATTGCTCCTTGATGGCCGACACTTGCTCCTCTGTGAAGCCCCAGTGCTCTGCGAGTCTTCTCCAGTCTCCTGCCTTCAGAAGCTTGTAGGCCAGGCGCCAGGCCATGGAGCGGAGCTGCTTGGTCTCATTGCGGTGGTCGAGTTTAAACGTCAGCGGATTCTCGCTGTGAATGCTCTCATTAAGTTCTGGGTTTGCCTGAAAGGGCAATTCAATTATATAAAGGCCTCAGAGTCAGAGAGCGCATAGGGGCATTTGGAGAGATTATTGGAAAGACACACGCGCACCTGATGAGCAATATGAATGCCAGATATGAAAAAATGTAATGATTAAATCAATGATAACTTGCCTATCAAATAACTCTTGGATTACTTTGGATGCTTTAATAGTATTTGAGATGATTCAACTAAAGATTGTGACGTTGGGAAGGAAATCATTTGTGATGAATGTCGTTATTGATTTGAAAGCCTCGTGGATGGATGCTAGCACACAGAAAAAGAGGGAAAGTCTCATCTCAGCATCTCTCACCTTCTTATAGGCGTAGTATCTTTCTGCTTTGATGATCATGTCCACAATAATCACCTCGTCCGCCCTGACTGCCACACCCAGAGCCGTCTTACCCTGCTACTCCCAATGCACAATCAAACAAAAACTTTATAATTACAGTTTCAGAATGATGCTGTTTTTAATGTTCAGTTAATAATGTATTTCTTTTCCCTGTCAGATTTTGCCCACAATGTATTTGGTACAGTACGGGAGCAAAAGTCAACGAGCGGCATAGTGTTTGTGAGAATTCTTGCCTTGTCGCGCAGGGTCAGATCCAGCTCGGCTTTGAGAAGCATTTCTACAACGTCTATTCTGGCCAGCTCTGCAGCAAGATGCATAGCAGTCTGACACCGCTAAAGGTTCATAGCATAAGACAGGGACGTAATGCAGCAATTATTACTCTCATATGCATATACGTCTATATATATTGACTAACATGTTATTTGACTCGGTGCCATCATACCTTATCAGCAATATTAATGTCACAGCCGGCCGCCAGTAGAGAATGGATGACAGGGATGTGACTGTTTTTCACTGCCAGGTGGATCGGAGCCTCCAAGTGCTGCGAGGAAAGATATTCTGTTACGCAACATGAGACCTAAAAGTCACTTTTTAGCCTAGGAAAAAATATCTAAAATCACGATGATGTGCATCCAGCAGCACAGCTGCATCATCTCTACCAAAAAAACCTTACTAGGAGAGTGTAACACTGCCACCTAGCTTGTGCTTGATTACCTGATTCTGGAAGTCCGTATGGGCTTTGTAATCTAAGAGAAGTTGGACAATGGACGTGTCTCCTCTTTCTGAAACTGGATGGAGAGCGCTGCATTTGGCCTTCAAGAGATGCAAGGATGGAGATTTAGCTTATTTGTTCGCTACAAGTACAAAAACGTTATTCAACACATATGTACATTGGTGTGGCCTATAGGATTCACCAAATTAAATAATTATACACATACAATAATACATTATTAACCTACAGGGTACCAAGTCAGCAATACTAAGATAACACTTTATTTATCCTGAGGGAAATGGATGTGCAGCAGTTGCAATACAAAAAAGTAAGAGTATAAATATAAACAAATAAGTATATATACACACAATGTCAACATTAGGTTAATAATAGGAATAGTGTAGGTGGGGTTGCGTGCATTTATGCACCGTTGTAAGGATGTTTGGGTCACAGCCGGCCTCCAGCAGGATCAGGACACATTCCTCATGGCCTTTTTCTGCAGCCTGGTACAGAGCCGTCTCCCCGTTCTAAGCAACAAAAATGTAAAATGTCTTTGCCAGCAATATGAACAGGCATCTGTTACTTCATAGCCCAAACGTGTTTTATGTCTTTAGGATCTTTTGAATGTTTAAAATGATTTAATAAAAGGGCATTAACTGAGTCGGTTTTATTCAAACTACTATATATCCATCACTCAACTCCAATACCAGTTGGGAGAAATAAAGAGAAGAGTGGACTAGCCACTGAGCACAAACCATGATAAAGATGACGTTTACATTGACTGCGTACCATATTGACTTCATCCCGCGTGTCAAAGCTGTGCAGCAGCAATTGTACGGCGTCCGAGTGGCCGTTCTTGGCAGCTAAGTGGAGGGACGTGTCCCCGCTCTAGCAGGGGGGAGGGGGAGAAACAACTGGCATCAAAGAGTGTTGAGCTTACTTACAACACACAAATGTGCACTCCCGACACACACAACACAAACAAGTCCAAACGCACACCTTGTTGGCCTTCATGGTGGCCATGTCATATGGCGCAATTAGCATATCCATCATTGCAACAGATCCATGCTCGGCTGCCGACGCAAACGGCTGCTGTCCTGACTGAAGAAAGAATTGAGGTACAAACTAAATGATGTATCAGCAGTCCATTACACGGTTGGTTTGTGACAAATTGGTTTAAGGGAAATACCTTGTCGTCTTTATCAAGTTCTTTCATCTGCAGGTCATTAATAATATACTCTACAATATCATTGTGGTTGTTGATAGCGGCGCAGTGCATGATGTTCAGTCCTTCCTTTGGTGGAAAAAGGTACGTTTATGTTTAATTAGGTAGTGTGCAGTCAAACAGTGGCCTTTAGTTGCATTAGGAAACAGAGGGACAAGCGTTTCAGGACCAAGACGATCATACAAGTGTTACTTTTACGATGAATGATAACGGATATAAATTGCCTTGGGAATGCATTTACCAAAACTATCAACACAAAAACACAAATGGCCCAATTTTTTTTCCAGTGTTACTTACGGTAAAAAAAGTATAACAAAATACATCCCGCCTCTTTACCTCGTTCTCAACCTTCTGTTCGGCCCCGGCTTGCACTAATAATTTCAAGATGTCCAAACTGCCAAACCAGGCGGCTAAATGAATGGGCGTCACACCGTACTAAGCAACACAAACAAAATGGAAAGTTCTGATTACTTAATTGGAATACACAAGCGATTGTCAGTGGCTTCATTTTGCAGATGCAGATGATGAAAAGCCTCCCACCTTGTCCCTTTGGTCCACTTTGACCCTGCGCTGGAGAAGAAGCTGCACGGCTTCCTTGTTTTTACCAGCCACTGCATAGTGAAGGGCAGTCCTGTTATCCTGAGTCAAACAACTTCATCAGTATAGTTTTTTGTTTTTTTTTAAATACGAGATGCAGCTATAAGGTTTGTTTATCTAAACCCACCACATTCTTTGCATTGGCGTTCAGCCCTCTTGCAAGCGTCTTCATGGTCACCACGTCATTTCTCTTGGCTGCTTCCATAAACTGCTTCTCTGCATCAAGCACTGCACGACAAAACAAACAGAAACGCTTTTTAAATGTAACGTACAGCATGTTCTAGGGTTGATACACAACCACATGATGAGGAATGTGTAATGGCATCTCAGTTGGAAGGTCTGCAGCGATGAGTGTCGTGGAGACTGCCGAGGTTTCAGCCTTGTGCAAACAGTGCGTTTCTTGTAAAGATATAGGTCATACAGTCTGTCAGCGGTGAATAACTAATCAGTAACTGCCGCTTCAACAATAGAAACTCAAAGGATCAGCCCTGAACGAGGAACACTTTGTTGAAATTTAGCTCATAATAATTTAATATTGGTTTTCTTTGAGGCCACTGTTCCTTTTACATTTTTTCCCAACATCACTAAATTTGTTTTGCATGCATACTCACGCATGTCGTTGCTGTCGAAGCTCTTATCCGTATCTGTGTCTGAGTGCTTGTTCAATATGAAGTCAGTAAAACCCCTCACAGTCTCCTCTCTCATCCACTTCCGAGGGTCCAAATTTTCGGTCTTGGGCCGATGCTTCTTGATCATCGCCCTCAAAGCCAAACTTCTTCTCTCCATTGGGAAGTTGCTTTAAATTCCCCCGTAGTTCCCGTCTTCAAACAGTATCAAACAGATACTCCTGCTGTTCTCTCCGGGGCCGCTGATCCGTGTTTGCTCTTCCAGCTCACACCCTGGGGAGCCTGCTGGTAATAACAGAGACTATTTGACGAGTCACACTTCACCTGTGTTACATGACTAGTATGAGGCGGCACCGTGGCTTTATTTATATCATGCCTTGAGAATGTTAAGCAATGTGTACACACGATTTACATATACTTCTTGTTTGTCGAGGGACGTTTCATTAGTCACACATGCTCTTTGGTGAGCAAAGTTACACATTCACACCTGAGGCAGAAGTCTTTTGCTGCAAGCAGCATGTGTTTTCTTCAGTTTTGAAAGCAGCAGCCTTAAAAGGGCTAAACCGTCCGCGCATTTATCTTCAGTAGACTTGACCACTAGAACGGTGTGTTTACAAGTCCATCAGAAAGCAACAGCAGATCCAGAACGCTGCAGCTTGAGTCCTGACTGGGACCAGGAGAGTGGTCCCATCACATTGTCGTTACATTACATTACATCACATGTCATTTAGCTGATGCTTTTATCCAAAGCGACTTACAATAAGTGCATTCAACCATAGGGTACAAACTCAGGAGAACAAGAAACAAGAAAGTGCAATTTCCTCAAATAAGCCAATTTACAATTAGCTATAGATGAGTGGCATTACAAGTACAATTTAAGTGCTACAATTTGTTAGTCTTTTAGTCGAGGTCTGAAGAGGTGTGTCTTTAGTTTGCGGCGGAAGATGTGAAGGCTCTCTGCGGTCCTGGTGTCTTCAGAGAGCTCGTTCCACCATTTCGGAGCAAGGACAGCAAAGAGTCGTGATCTAGTCGAGTGTTTTCCTCTCAGTGAGGGAGAGACGAGCAGTTTAGCAGATGCAGAGCGGAGAGTGCGGGTTGGGACGTCGAGTTTGACCATGTCCTGGATGTAAGCTGGACCCGATCCATTCACAGCATGGTACGTGCACCAATGTTTTGAACTGGATGCGTTACACTGGCTCCCTGTCCAACAAAGAACGGACTACAAAATACTGCTGTTGGTTTAGTGCTAAAGTACATTTCTGATCTGCTCATATCTTGCCACTGTTTTTCCTTTATGTTTCAAACATTCAAACAATGTTCTTAACTATTTTTAAATCTCCTTGCTTTGTGATGTTTTTAATGGTTTTATGTGAAGCACTTTGAATTGCCTTGTTGTTAAAATGTGCTACACAAATATTGCCTTGCCGTGTCTTAAACCATTTCTTCAAATAGCCAAACATTTGTTAAAAGTGAGATTAATAAAGAAATATTAATAATAAACTTAAAATAACCCATCAGAAAAGTAATTTATTTTGTATATAGCTTTGATTTACAGGATAGAAGGATTCTCTTATCTTCATGATTAAAGATACACAGTGTTATCATTGGACAATACAATAAATACAACTGTAAAATATGGCAAATATCTGAATACAATAACTTCATGAAGATACATTTAAAAACTCACACAGGCACCTCTGTGGTCCAGTAAAATGAAAACATTGCGCTTATCTTCAGTAAGTAAACAGGAATGATGATGAATTAAATAAACAAAAAATAAAACTGGCAAACATATTTCCATACGTGTTCTTTTATCATCTTTTATTTTACATCTGGTGTCTGCCATAAAAAAAATACTAATAATATATTGGTGCCAATGTATAGATTACAGATTGAGGAGAAACGTTTTATATGACTTTGTGTGCAATGATAAAGTGCTCAGTGGAGCAGGGAGGACAAAAGGGTTTTGCATTTCCTGAAGAAAACTTTCGGCGTTCCTCAAGACGACAACGGACGTTTATGATCGTCACCTGAAGAACTTGTCGATGGTGTTGTGAAAGCCGCGGCATTTAGCCTTTTTAGAAGGAGGCGAGGAAGGCGAATCTCGTCTGAAAGTCATTCAAAAAAAAGTTACTACTTTTACAAGAGAACATGGATTACTGAGAGAGACAACATGCAGCAACAGTCAAGCACTCTCACCTTTTGCTTTTGCCTTTGCTTGCTTTTATCGGCAGGAGACCGCTTCTGGCTTTTAACAAAAAACAGATGAACTCGTAAACATTTTTGTCAACAACAATTACATCCATCAAGGTATACAATTGCAGCAGCGCTCCAGAATATCTGAGGCAGACTAGTTGGGAAACTGTGGTGCAGCCCGATTTAATAAATAGGTGAATAAGCGGTCTAACCACTTTGACCCCCCCGGCTGAAATAAGATCTCTTTTCTCTCTCTTCTGTTAACTCCATATACAGACACTGTTTGAGAGCTTTGCTAAAAGTTCTGTGTCAATCATAAACACATTTTAGATCCACATAGGAAACACTGACTTGACCAGACCTGGAACCCTAAAGTACCCAAGGAACCAAATCGACAATCAAAGCCACTACAGTTCATGTTTTTAATCACCATCCAAATTCAAATGGTCAATGGGGATCTTTCTCTTTACAGAATTAACACCTGAATATGCAGCTTCTTTTTGCTTTCCGCTTCAGCGGGCAGTGATTTGCACGAATAAGTCTAAATCCAACCGATGCACGCCACCTGCTCAGCAAATAGACAGTTAGCATTTAGCAGCCATGGACAAATATTTGTCTCAGGAGTTCAAAACCTAAAACAGAGCTAGAGTCGGCCATCACATTCCAGTTGAATGCTTTTTTACTGGGACTGCTGGATGTTTGAAAAAGCAACAGGGATGATACGTCACTGCTGATGTCTGCTGCCCCCGAGGGACCAAACTAAATGCTGTACGCACACTCACCTATGGCCTTGCTATTTATAACTGAGGGGGGATTTATGGGAGATGATGTCCGCCCCTCCAGCTCATGCAGGACCTCCTGGTTCAGGCAGAGGTCAACGTGGTGGTTGAAGATAGTGAGGTCATCACTATCCTGGGTCAGCTGACACACTGGGCAGACGAGGACGGGGCCTTTATCACTGTGTGGCCGAGGCAGACGCGAGGTTTCCGCTCCATTGTCGCCGCGGATCGGCAACGCCGTTCGGAGCGAATCGTTTTCCAAGCCGCGTTGGTCTTCTTGGGGGTCGACTCCGTTCGACTCGCACGGTGCCGATTCTTTCTGGCCGCTCTCGACGTCCAGGTCTGACTCCGTGTCAGAAACCGTGCGCGCGCCGGGCTTTCTAGAGGCGTCACCGAGACACCGGTCTATATGCCTGTTGAAGGCATTCAAGTCGGTGGTCTCCACTTGCCTGAAACACACCGGACAGGTGAGGCTCTCCGACTCAGTGCCACCACAGCGTGATGTGGATGCGCGGGCCTCTACGGGGGGAACAAAGTCATTTTCTGACACACCTGGGGCCGCGTGGGTCGGTGGAAGGTCTGTGGAAGCAACCGCAGAACCATTCTCCCCACCTACTTCCTTTTGGGTGCTTGCATGCGCCGCCTGGAGTTCCAGTCGTTTGGCATGTGCCCTTTGAAAGAAAGACTGTTTGGGTTCCTCGGTAGTCTGACCCCCCTGCTTAATCCCGCAGGGCACTTCCTCTGGTCTCCGGCACGTCTGCACGAGGGGAAGACAGGCGGGGGGCCCGGTTTGGAAGGAGGGACTCGGGAGGTTGTTTTTCTCAAGCTTTTCATCCGTGCCGTGGGAAGGGCCGCTGAGGTCCGTCTTGTCTTGTTTTAGAAAGCCGATGATGCTTCTCTGAAGGGGCTTTTTTTCATCTGTACTGACAAAAGCGGAGATTCTCACACCTGCGAACAGAAACGCAAATCATCCAGACAAAACAAAATGAGCGCAGACTGCGGTATTGTTTCCACGTGCAGTACGTCACGGATCATTTAGGATTACTTCAAGATAGTTACGATGATCGTATGTAAGTCGTGTTGCTTTATATAATTACCCATGAGTCTCAATCTGAGCGGCTGGGGGCTTTCATAGTCGATTTCCGTTTTCAGTAAGTCCTTAGCAACAGCAAAAATCTCATCCACCGTAGCAACAGCATACGACAGCGTCAGCGCCCTGGATTTCACCTCAAAGTTCACGTTCTTAAGCTTCAGTGTTACCGTTTTACCCTAAAGGAAAATGTTGAAAATACACAGTTAAATTCTTATCAGGGAAACGAGTGAAAGTAAGAGATGTGTGTGTTCTGTCAATCGAGCTCTTAATTATGGAAAGGTCACACCTGAGAAATCTGTCATATCACTTGTCAGAATGCCGTTTGTTAGTGAAACGCTACAAAGCGCTTTCACGGTAATGTGAACCCGCAGGGAGACATTTCCAAGGCTGATAGTAACCCACGTCTCCTTTAATGGTCCTCCATTTCCTCCAGCTATTAAGACCACATCAGGGCCGAGGCAGGGGGGTGATGGTCGTGCCAAGCCAACCAGACCGTTCTCTCTCAATTTTAAAAGGAACAAACAGGTCGAGGTAACTGTATGAGTCTGTCTGGAGCGATTCTAGGAAGCCCAGGAATAAGACAATATATATTAGTAGTTATTTTTTCTAATATTACCCTTTTATCACAACCCATTTTTGTGATGTTTGTACAACACCATGTATTGTTGATGTCACCAGGACAAGTGGTATTCATAAGATATGCAAAGTTGCACTCTTTCTGCAAAACAATCAGACTTGCTACCTTTAGACCTTCTTTCTTCATGTCCTCTGCTAAGTCTTCACAGAGCTCCCTACAAAAAGACAACTGCTCCTCAACATTACTCAGTTCTTTGAATGTCCTGTAAAGAGTAAGTGGGACAAACAGGAAATTAGGGATGGACAAGAGCACTGACAAAATATGTCCATGTGTGCTTCATTACAACCATACCTTTCCGTGCTCATGCTTTTCCTTTCTTCATTCCTGTATAAAAGCAAAGACATATTGTGTCCTCCATCTGAACTGGAATTTCTTTCATTAGTTAATCGGTTGTGTTACGTTGTATTAAATCGGACAGATAAGTACCTAGATATACACGTGGAGCCCAGACCCAAGGAAACCTGCATGAGGTGATGCCAGGCGGTCTCCGAGAACAACAACGACAGCAACGCCATCTGCTGGCCAAGATGAGAACAGCTGCTTATGCCGAGAGCGTTCAGCATCTTTTCGCTCACTTTCCCGATGCCAGACACCTGGAAAGGAAACCAAAACACGTGATTTCCCCAAGACTCAATCTGTCAGCCTTTAATAATATAAAAACGCAGGATTACATTCAAACATCCTGCTATACATTTTCACTAGCTGTGCATATCTTTCATTGTGCATATGGTTTAGTTTGAGCAATGTGTACCGTACTTTGCGGACTGGAAGATTTTGGACAAAGTCCATGACGGCCTCTCGTGTGGAGGGGAGTCTGTATTGGCCGTTGGGCTTGTTTTTGTCGCTGCACACCTTGGCAAGCATTGTGTTTGGAGCGATTCCTAGAACAGTGGACAGCATGATTGAATAGTTTGTTTTGAAAGGAAATGCTGATCAAACATGCACGTCATCTTGATCGGAATTCTAGACAAAATATGAGAAATTGTTTGTTTCAGCAAGGAATTAACTATTATATAAGAGTTTATGGTTGAGTTGAGCAAGTTGTCAGAAGGTGAGCGAGGATAATAAATATGTCAGAAGAGTGAAACATTTAACTTGCGTGGAACACTTATTATTATGTAAGATCATCATCTTGTGAAACTCAAACGCAACATTTTTAAAGACAGCAAGACACTCCGACGGAAAGTTTTATTAATCACTTGAGAATAGTTTTTTTCACTAACCTGCGCTGGCTGTTAGCGTGGTCTTCTGCTCGATGCGGAAGCGCATCTCTCTCACAGCTTCTTCAAGAGAAGTACCAAACACCTCAAAGGCACCTCCAGCAGCACCGACACCATCGGAGACCAACACGCAGGGAGAGGTGCTCGGGCTGTCCTCAAACAGGAGTGGAGAGAGGTCATTTTCCTCTGGCACCACCACCGTGGGAAGCTCCATCTGCTCTCCACCTGTACAGAAAATAAATGACTTCTCACAATAACCTGATTGATGTCTATTATATACAACATCCATTATATAATAGTGTTTCCTGTTGTATTGGGTATGCAGTAAATGTGGCAAAAGTTGCAGAGAAATAATTATTGAAAAAACATCACGGCAAATAATCATTCTGCATTTCTGTGTAATGAAGTCTTGCCTTTAGCGGCACTGCTGGCGTGGAAGTGATGTGTACGTTTGGATTCTGGCCAGCTCTGTCTCTGTTCCACGTGGTGTGTAAAATCCAGATAGGCTTCATCAAGGCTCATCGGCTGGAAGTGAGGGTCATAGTCTGCAAAGATCTCCCGGATCTAAAGCAGTGACACAAGTTCATACGCACGTTGTCAAGTAGGTTTAGCAGGACGTATTCATCTCTTTGTGTGTGTGATTTGCCATCAATCTTACCTCATCACTCACAGCTCTGTATTTATCAAAGTTAGTTGGCACAATGACTAAGTTTGGGCAGAGTTTCTTTGCGATGAACCCGGGCATAGCAGCTCGAACTCCGTACTTCCTGGCATGGTAGTTAGATGTTGACTGCAAGAGAAAAGGTGAATCAAGTAACTCATCAAATATCAGCACTGGTTGAAATTGCCAAATCTTTATATTTCAGCAAACATTTATTTACATTCATATAAACATTTTATATAAATATGTATTTAACACAATATATTACAGTAAAATGCAGTTCCATAGGTTGAAAGTTGTATATAATTGTTTGAAAAGGACTTATAGTAAAAATGAAATGTGAAAAGTAATATAAAAGTTTGCTATGACTTATATTTCCTTTGTGTCATTTTCCTGTGCTTCACTATTTGTTTAAATGATGTACAAAATTACAGTCAAATCGTGCCAATTTCTTCCATATTTCAACTCACCAGCATGCTCATGGATCCTACAGCCATGGGCTTGTCTTTCAGCTCAGGGCAGTCTCTCATCTCCACGGCAGCGTAGAAAGCATCCATGTCCACATGAACAATCGCACGGCTGAGATCCCGACTCCTTTCGAGCTCAGTGGCCATCCACTCCACCTGTGAAGAGATTTAATGAAAAACAGTAGTTTGTAGAAGTTAGAAGTAGTTTGATTTGTGTATTTTCAATGACTCGATACGTAGATAAATCCATGTCTTACTTGAGCGTGTGCTTTCTGTAACTGTTTTTCTGTGATGTGTGCCTTTTGTAGCATCATTTTCTCAATGCGGTGGTTCACCTGCTGCTCTTTCTTCAACTCATTCTCATAAAACCTAGATCCCTGCAGGGAAAAGAAAATGACCCCCAACAGATAAAGAGTCTGTAGCACTTTTTAGAGTGAAAAGCTACAACAACTATATTCTATTGTAAAGGAAATGAGACTTTCACACCCAGAAACTATCATTTCAAACCGTCCTGTTATTAAGATTACTATGTATGGGCGATAAGAGTGAGAGAACAATTCTATCTGGGATGTTATTCTATACCTTGGACGACTCCATGATGATTTTGTTGATCTTGTCCCTGTCAACACCCTGCATACCAGCCTTGTTGTCATTGAGGGCCATCCTGGAGAGGAACCCCGGTCCTTTGGTGGATGCCACCCCATTTTCCATCCTGAAGAATGGATCCTTAATAGCAAAACGGTCGGGGTTTTTTTTGCAAACGGTTCCAATTCATAACGATCTCCACTCTGTCCTAAAGTTCGTTGATAAATGTGTAACTATGCATCCCATCGCGTGTTTACCTTTTCTGGCTAACTCAGAATATCGACATTAATTTAGATACTCACCTTTCCCCCTGTGAACTGGATCAATCACACTGAATAGAAATCGCCCAGCAGCATTGATGCTTGTACATGTTTGAAAACGAAGTCGCTTTTGGCGGAACTTCCGCGTGTATGCGTCATCACAAAAGGGGGCGGGGCTTACCCCGGATAGATAGATTGAGTGAGGAGATCGATCACATTGACACTTGTGAACCACACACCGTGTGAGAAGCTATGAGAGATCACACGTTACTACCAAGTTGACATAGAATGTCTCAAAATGTTGTTTGATATGCTCTAGTCCCCGAAAGACACTGTCAACAAACACAGTAATACATAAGCTAATTTACGGACTGGCGGTGCTACAGCGTCTCCACCTGGGGGAGAAGAGTCCCAGCATTGTATTGATATTGTTTTGTTTTATTAATATTACAAAGTACAATTTCTTCTAGAAAAACGGATTTATCTTCCTTTCATGCTGTACATAATGCTATGTTTTCCTTTGTTTTACCCCTGATAGTTTCGATGTGTGAAGTTGGGTTTCAGTTTTTCTAAATTCAGTTTTCTGATATTAAGATCACGGGATACCAGGAATAGTTTGAAACAAGCGAACCAAATCTCGGAGATTTTCACTTAAACCCATCAAAATAAAAACATATCTGTGCTAATTCGTTAGTCACAATAAAACCTGTATTATTAATCTACCCCCTAGTTTTAGGGGGCCAAGTCTATTGGAGACATCCCTCCTTAATAAAAACAGTATTGCCCTCATCGTCAAATTGATATTGGTATAGTTCATGCTGCAACACAATCCATATGACGAAAATAAAAATAAAAAAACGTTTTAATCTGAAAGTAAACGCGTGAAACTTCCGGTGTCCCCATCTACCTTGACGTCACTGTGTAAGGTACACAGTAAAGCGTGGCTGCAGCTCCTCCCCCAACCAGCTCGTCAGTCCTCCGCCGTTGCTAACTAAGCTGCGGGACCACGGCAGCGGCACAGACCGTTGCTCGTCATTTGTAGCATGGAGTCCGGGTGCCGCGTTGAGAAGAAAGTCCTCCTTATCGATCACTTGCCCGAGTAGCCTGTCGACTGCAGCCAGGGAAGCTAACGAGGACAGCCGCGGCGAGCCGGTGCGGTTATTTTAAGCTAAGCTAGTTGCGTCGTATGACGGCTAACGCTAACTAACGGTAGCTAACCTTCGTACCATTGGTATGCGAAGTCAGTTTCAAACAAAGCCCGCAAAACGGAGGGGTCAAGACCCAGCTGTGCCCCCCCCCCCCCCCCTTCCTCCCGGAACAGCTGCTACCAGACGAGCCTGCCGAAGATACATTCACGCTCTTCGGGGTATGTTTTACTCACTCGGGTAATACCCAGATAACGGTATTTGTTGCCGACGTTAAGCTTCAGTTAAAGAAGCGGTCGGCCGGTTTGGCTGTGACGCGGTTGAACTTAAGGCGAATCCGTCCGTTCAGTCAGGCTCGAGGTTTCTCGGAGGCTCTGATTTAAATGTCCGAGAAGAGTTCATCGTCCGGGTCGGATGAGGATGTGGACCCGGAATCCGCGCAGCATGTGGAGCTCGGTGGCGTTTTGAGCAAGGTAACTTTTACGTGATCTGTCAACTTCTATACCATTTATCTTAATCCCACACACACACAACTGTTTAATTAATCCCTGCGTGCACCTCACCTACGTCTACTGACTTGTTAACTCTCCCCTCTCGTGCGTCCACAGTGGACAAACTACATCCACGGCTGGCAGGACCGATGGGTGGTGTTGAAAAACAACACTTTGAGTTACTACAAGTCGGAGGACGAGCGGGAATACGGCTGCAGGGGCTCTCTGTGCCTGCGCAAGGCCGTCATCACAGTAAGTGTCTGTAGCTCAGATGGACAGCAGCATGAGCTCAGCTCCTGTCCAGCCATTCGGGGAAAAAGACCTCAGAAGATGAGGGAACCGCCAAAGGGCTTTATTTCCCCTCTAGGATGTCTCCATGTTGTGCTATAAAAAGTATTCGCTAGTAATCATCCTGCTGTTGGTATTATCACATGGTAGGGAGCTGTCATTCATTCTAGTATCGTGCCTTTTCATCCACGGCGTTTTTAATACAGAATACTTGAGATTGTTGCTTCCGTGGTTAAAATGTAAGCTTTGACCGCATACTGTACTAAGCAGGCGCCCTGTTGGTGAGATAAGTAGAAATTCCACACCCTGGTTAAATATTCACCGGTCTCTCTCGGCATACCACCACGGAGTGCCGAGGCCAAACAAATGGTTTTATTGTGATTTGTGCAATAGGATTATATGACTCTGAATGGGATTAAAACTACACACATGAGAGGTTACGGTTAATTTCCTCTAATGGCTGCGCTCACTGGTGTGGGCAGACCTGAATGGATTTCCACAAGGCATTTGGAGTGTTTTTGTGATTTAGTAGGCTAACTAAAGTGTACACAAATGAGATGCACCTGATCACTAATAACGAGAGCAGTAGGACCTGCACAGTCACGTCTTACTGCCGTCTTCCTTAATAAAGGCAGCGTTGTCTATGGACACGGTGGTACGAGCACTCAGGAATGCAGAAACAAGCCTCTGCTTCTCTTCCTGCCTCATATCAGTCTGTTACACATTGTGTAGCTGCAGACACACCAGATCGTCATCATACCAAATCAAAATTTGTAGGAACTGTTACTGTCAGCATAACCTCTGAACATTGGTGTTTGCGTATTTACATTTATTGTGTTAAATATCCTTTATTTAAAATCCAAGCAATTTAAAGGTCATCGGCGTTCGACCGATAACCTTCTCTTTACTAACGTTGTAGGTGCTTTAGTTCTGTTCGGGGGGGAAACAGCCAACGCAGCAAGGAAATTCAGCTGTGCTTATGCAACTGGAAAGATTGCTTCTTGCAGGGGTATAAACTGGGCTGTAAAGCTTGAGTTTATGGGCCGTGTCTGATACAGCACAGTGAGATAGGTTGGGTTTCTCTAACCAGTAATGGCATCTAGGCTGGATGTTCTGGAGCTTACCATTGCATGACCGTCCTTCTGAAACGTAGAAACCAGAGGACATTTCACGTTATATATGCGTCTGCAGGGGGAAAACTTTTGCTCTGACTTATTGTCAAAGTGTTGTTGTGACAATGTTGCACAAAGTGATGGGTTCAGAGTATATGCTGTTCAGTAAATAAGCCAGCGCATGAGCGTCATTCAAAAAATCAAATGAAAGTCGGACACCTTGAGCTTACGTCAGCTGACAGAGCAGCTGTAGGATTGGTTCGAACACGGAGGGAAACAGGAAGGATACTCGTGTCAGCTGTGTCTTCTTTCCGATAAGGAGCGTTTGCAGAGCCGATATCTGCCCAGCTGTGTGCAGTGGTCAAATTCCAATCTCAGAGGAAACAGGAATTCCGTGGTGCACGTGTTTGAGGGCGGGTGTGGTGGATTGTGGGATGGGGGAGTGAAATAGTTGAAAGATTTGTCCTAATGGAAGAAGGAAAAGTTATGATGACCCAGGTTCAGGCAGAAACACGGAGGAAGACCATCTGTTTTTCCACACTGCTGCAGTCATTGAGACTTGCGCCTGCAGACATAAATTTCCTAATTAAAAATCCCTGTTTATTGTGCAAACGCTTCACAGTGACTGTGTGTCTGGAACGTGTCCTCACTAGTCAGCCAGTGGCATAAAAAGACTGCACAATGCAATCTTTGCTTTAATTCCACTTGTTTTATTGAGCAAAGGGGGAAAACTTGTGTTTAGTAAGTATATTGATATTATGTCTTTGATAGTATTTTTGACCCATGCTCTGCCTTATAACCCCTCATGAGCCCTCTCCCCTGCCTTTGCAGCCTCATGAGTTTGACGAGTGTCGTATTGACATCAGTGTGAACGACAGTGTTTGGTACCTCCGAGCTGAAGATCCCGAGCACAGACTCCAGTGGATTGAGTCAATAGAGCTGCACAAGGTGAGTAGAACAGGCTCCTCTTTCTTTCGTTTATTTTGTTTTGTTATTCATGGGATTTTGACCTACCTGCAAGCAAGGCGGCTGCATTACAGTGATGTAATCATTTATACAAAAGATACTCGATTTCCCTCATTTATTTTTGTTGTTATTTTTCCTTCATGTGTCAGTTCCTTCGGCTGTAATGAATGCATTGTTTTTTGAGAGAAAGAGTTAACTGTTTTGCTCAGGCAGCTTGTTGTGGTAAAACAGGGATTCAGACGCGCACACACGCAGCCCCTCACCCGGTACGCGAAGGATGTGTGGAATGGTGGGGGTATCCCCTGTTATCAAATCCCAGGCAGCTGCTCACTCCTCAATGACGTCAAGGGAACATTTACATAAGTGAAATGTTTAAATGGTGTTGGGTATGTTGTCAAGGCGTAGCTCTGTGAAAACCACTTCATACAAAGCTGTGATCTGGTCAAAACTAGCTGATACAGCTCGCTATGCTAGTTCAGTTTGCGTATATGTACTCTAAAAATGTTAAACTAGTTATCCATTTCTTTAGTTTAGTTTTCAACGCGCAGTCGATAAACCTGGGTCAATCGGTATGTTTGGACTGTGACCTTTAGTTGTGTGCGTTATCTGTATTATCTGGTAAAACGCGCCTTGGAGAGTGAGACGAATGTTCCTTACCAGTGCACTCGCCACATAGAAACACAGTAGTTGAAAGTCCACCTGAATGGATCTTCTTCACGGTGAATTCTCATCATGCCCACTTTCTCCAGTAAAATGTTGCCGTGGACGTTGTTGTTGTTGCTGCTGGGTGTGACCGATTGTGTGTGAATGACTGCCAACCTCTGCTCCATTAATGACGCTGTGAAAGTATGTGCGGATTGTCACCGACAGTAACCTCGGGAGGCTGAACGCTGCCTTACCTGCAGCATTGGTGTGGGTGAGTGTGTCTGCACTGCTCCCGGCTGGACAGACGAGATGTTACATAAAATGTCTTTAACTTCTGTTGTAACTCCCTGAATGAGAAGAAGATGTTGTAGTGGTGATTACACCTCCCACTGTGTTGTGCCAAGTGATTCCACTGAAGGGGGAACAGTCCACCTGTCAGATAAATTCATTGCTCTTTGACATTCTATACAGATGTTTTATGTTTTTGTAAGTTAGATTGCGCTCACGCATACTGGGTCCTTTTAGTCGCATCTCCTTGAAATATGTTTTGAAATTGTTATTCACGTTTGGTTTGTTGACATTAGTGATTCAATATAAAACTTCCCACCTGAACAGTTAAGCATTTAGCTTAATGTTGGTATCTACTAGTAAAGCTCAACAATGAACTACGTTTGGAGGGTTAGACTTTTTGTGCAGATTTAATAAACTCTTGGTGTCTAACAAGTATAGTGCTTTAGCGTGGGTCGTAATGATTTCAGCTTTTGAATGTGTTGTTCAAGCTACTTCAATGAGCATATCAACATTATCAAATCAGGCAGATATTTTGCAGAAGAAAAAACTGTTTGTTTTGCGAGGCCATTTGTGTTTTCATGTGTGGGTGTGTTTGTGTTGGAGGTGGAAAAAGTTGTGCACAGTGTAGGGACGTTAAGTGCACCTCTTGATGAATAATACATTTTTTTTAATGCTCGTTCTCCATGCAACTAAAACCAAGAGGGACATTTAAAACTCTCAATCATACTGAGAAGACTGGTCCATTCTGTCAGATCCAGAGGGGTGTTAATGGCGGGGACATGGGGCGAAACCCCTGTATTTATTCATACTTGCCCCACCACACTTCCTCAGGCTGGTTCCTGGCCCAGCAGTGAGCTCCATCAGACTCCACCAGGAAATATCAGTGAATCAGAAAAGATGAAAGAGCAGTCGGGTAGATGGAAATCATGCCGAAGACCCAGACAAATGTTCTTCCCTGCCTCCCACTCTCTCTTTCTGTCATAGTATACAAAAGGCTGCCTCCCCCCCTCCCCTCGGTACCCGCTGGTTTATCACAACTACCTCTGGACTGCCCTCGCCTCTCTTTCTCTCATGCAGAAATGCAAGCTTACTTTGTTTCGAGATGAGAAGGTTTCACACGTCAGGGTGTGTGGTCTGTTGATTAAGAGGGGAGAGTTCCTTTTACGCGCGTCTCTTGAGTGCACGCGTGTTCCTGCCGACGACCTGCTTCGCTCTGCTGAACATTCTCCAGACTGCGTCCGTCTCTTCTGCTTCGCGGAGCAGCGGGTGTCGGCCACTCCTCTGGCCGCTACGGAGAAAATGACTAATTTCCTCTTCCTGCGCTCCCTCGTTGGCGGCTGCTCTCTTTTTTTTGACTTGATGAGTTAGCTGAGTCTGTATGGCTTTTCTTCCCCGCATCTTGCTCTTTCTTTCTGTGCCTCAGCGAGGTGTCTCCTGAGAAGCCGGGATACTGGATTTAAGCCTCTGGATTTTTGAAGAGTGTTGAGGGAGCGTCCGGGCGATGTTTGGGGCAACCAGCCGCCGGGACTGCAGCAGTGTCCTGCTGTGTTTTGGGTGCTGGAACGGGGTGATGGTGATTAGAACATGTTGGCATGGCTGCTTACTCATCACCAAGTCTTTAGTCAGTGTGCCAGTGTTGTAGTATGATACAATTGATGAACATGGCACATATTTGCCTTCCTACATACATGGCAATAGAATTATTTTATTTTGCTTGTCTTGTACGTTGGGAGAACTGATGGGCGGGCTTATTAATTTCACTCCACTGTCATTCATTAAGAGACCACTCATTATTTCTATTTTTCAATTGAACTACTGCTGTGCAGCTTTAAATAAAATGAAATGGTGTGAAGAAGTACTCTGTGGTTGCTACGGTCACCCGACTGAGTTACTGTACCCTTATCTCAATACCATCACACAGCCGTGGGTACAAAATGCCCTTTAATGTGTGTGCACGGCTGTGCCATGAAGATAAGGCTCCACCACAACTCAGACTGTCGGCACTCATTACGTTCCAGACGGAGAAATAAATCCTGTAGTGCAGCTGTACTACGTAATGGTGGTTTTACTGCTTTACTTTATTCAGTTCAAACATAGCGGTTGAATGCTGAGTTAGGGCTATTTGCGTTTTGCAAATATCGTGGTGCGTCTTTTTTATAGTCTTTTAATAATGTTGTATGTCCCCTTTTTTATTTTTATTTTTTTCCTGATATTGTAGGGTAGTTTTCTCATTAATCATTGAAAATTTCCACTCTCTTTAGGTATTTTTTGTATATTCAGCGAGAAGAAAATCTAGGATCATACAAAAAAAACAGTGAAAGTGCAAATTGTACAAAAGTACGGGACTAATATTGGCTCATTCAATTGCTGTCTGCCTGTAACTTAATGGATACTAGTTGACAGCTGCATGTGGGACGGACACGGATATGGGGTGAGAATGTGCACACAGTACTGGCTTGGAAGTCCCAGGGATTGCCTGGTCATAAGGAACAACATAACAAACGCAGTCCCTGCCCCTCCCTCCCTCCATAATGGCAGGTAATATGAGACGGGCCCCCTTGTGTCCGTGAAGGGTACACGACTGCATTTTCTCCCAGGAGGTCGCGTCAAAGCCTCGATGTGGCCTCGGATACAGTGTCATTTATTTTTTACTGTTCCTCGTATCGGGTGGACGTGATGAATGTGTGTGTTTGTCCGCCCGAGTCCCTTCGGCAGACTGTGTGTTGACCTGCGTTGGTGTGCGTGGGCCCCGCTTTACTCAGTGCTGCTCACTGCAAGCATTGATCGCCCCCCTTTCTCCGTCTCTGCCTTCTTTCTTTTTATTAGAAGCAGACTCTTTTATTGATTCCTAATTGTTTAATGGGCTTTTTGTGCAACTACTGATGTTCTGTTCCCCCTGTTTTCCCTCTTCTACCATCCACATCATACTCTACCCTTCCTTCCTCCTCCCTGTTTTTTTTTTTTTTTCAATCCCTCCTTTCTCGTCAGGCCGAGTCTGGTTACGGTTCAGAAACCAGTCTCAGGCGTCATGGATCCATGTTGTCTCTTACCTCGGCAGCCAGTGCCTTGTCCGCCACATCCACGTCCTCCTTCAAGGTAACGACACAAGTCTGAAGATGTTCCGTAACAAATTCTCATTCCGTATTACCATCAACCCACATCTTCTTACAAAAGCCCCTTCTACCTAAAGCCAGGTTTCTAAATCTGTTGTTGTTTTTCAATGTTATTTCTTTTGTGATCAGCTCTCGTTGTGGTTTAAACAAGAGAACTAGCATTTTACTTCTGCTTTTCTCTGCTCAGAAGGGGCACAGGTTGCGTGAGAAATTGGCTGAAATGGAAACCTTCCGGGACATTCTGTGCAGACAAGTGGACACACTGCAGAAATACTTTGACTCCTGTGCTGATGTTGTCTCCAAAGATGAATTCCAGAGGGACAGAGGTAAGCTGGGACATAAATACAATATTTTTTTGGCAAAAATACGTGGTTTGTAAACGTGCCTGATTATAAAGGAGAATTAGTCTTCTTGAGGATTATTAATAATTTCACTCTCCAATTGATATACTTTCACACCGATGGGCAGTTTACTGTCAGAAAAAACAAAATATAAACCAAGATTAACATATATGATATAACGCCGTACAATGTTTTTTGAATAAGCTAATTTTACTAGAATCAAGATTATTATAATGTAGCTGGCTGGATTCAAAGTGAAGTCGGCAGTTTGGTCAGCAGCCAGTTTTTATGGAGCTTGTTCAGTTTTACCCAAAGAAAATCTGATATTTAGAGCGGTGTGAACAAGGCCAAAAGGAATTAGTCTGGATGTTTCCCGGAGCTTTTCTTGGCTCATGCGGCAGGAGAGTGGTAAGACTCCTTGACCCTCACTGGCAGTCTGTGGGGCGTTTAACCTATTCCTCTTTTAATAATCTTTTTAATGCTCTTCTTTTATGTTTCAATCAATGTTCTTAATTGTTTGTAAATCTTCTTGCTTGATGTTTGGATGTTTTCAATAGTTTTATGTGAAGCACATTGAATGGCCTTGTTGTTGAAATGTGGTAGGAAAGGCAATTTTATTTGTATATTATATATATTCAAAGTTAAGGTATTTGTTTTATTGTTTGGACGAATTGGTAGTAGATACATCTTCACGGTGTTGCTCTTACCTTTCAAGTAGAGGAGGACGAGGAAGACTTTCCTACAACTGCGAGACCTGAGGGTGAACATAATCACAACAACAATGGCAGCAAAGAGAAGTGTGAGTTTCCTTGCAGGTCGTTGCTTTATTTGAGAAACGTCTGTCACGCGTGGCCTTGTAATGACTGATTCATTTCAATGTGAAAAGATGATCAAAGTTACAGCTGTTGATTCTCTGTTTTTGTCTGCCAGTGTTTTCCCCCGCCAGTCCAAAAACTATGAATGGAATAGACTTCAAGGGCGAGGCCATCACCTTCAAAGCCACCACAGCCGGCATCCTCTCCACCTTGTCCCACTGCATCGAGCTGATGGTCAAACGAGAAGACAGCTGGCAGAAGAGGGTGGACAAGGTGAAGGCGCCACACGCTCGACTCGTAGCGATTGAAATGGGTGTCGCTGACGGCGCTAAAGGTCATGTGACTAATGAGTAGTTGACTGAGTGGGCGCGAGCAGCCGCGGCTGCAGGGAGGTGTCGTAAAGGAACTAGTTGCTTCCATTGTCTTTAAGGAGCTGGTTATCTGTGTGCAAATGTTACCAAGGACTTTAGAACGGAAGACCAGTCAGTTATTAATGGTGGCAGTGAAGTTGGTGGAAAAAGTTACGATACAAATGTACAGTAATCGTTTGGAATGTTGGCTCGGATACTGATTTCTATGTGAAAAACTGTAGCTGTATTCGTTACATATATATATTTAAATGAACAGAATTCCTTAGGATGCAGTTAAGATCTGCTAATGTTACTCCTTATTCTTTATTTCATATATATAATATAACTGTTGAATTGGCCTCAAATGACACAGTTCAAATGGCTGGAAACTCTGTTTCTAATTGGATGTATACTTATTTAGATGTAGTTACTAAGCTAGCAGTAAAGTAGCTAAATAACACATTATTTACATTACATTAATGTGTATAACCCAATGAACATATACTTTTCAAAATAGTCTGACTTGCTTACCAGAAGCTCAAATGCACCTGTTGCATAATGAGCCTTTTGCTGTTTCCTCGTTTTGGTTTTGGTTGAAGAGTCTTCAATTCCTTAACTTTTGCCTCACCTAAAGTGCATGTGTATGTCGAGCTTCACCACCTCAAGCACCTCATGCATTACATCCTGATCCGTTCGGCTCACTTGTCAAACCAGTTTTCTGTGTTTGAAGGCACGCTGCCCAACCCTAAGAGCCACAATAGCAGGGAAGTGCTTTCAGTCGGTCGGGCTGCTCGGGGGAAACTACCAACCTCTCCGTGTTTGACTCTGGGTAAAGTTTGGCTGCCGATGCGGAATTGGGGAATAGAAATTGTTCCGAAAACCCTGTGAGAGGAACGAGACGCGCCTGCTCCCACGTGCAGACAGAGAGAAGTCAAAGAAAATGACTACTAAGACGTCATGGTGCAGTTTGTTGAGGCCCTCGCTACAAAGGAGGACAGAGAAGCTCAAATACCAGACTCAGAGATGGATACCTCTGCAGACTTGCAGCCTCTTCTTTAAAGTAGGTGTCTGTCTGTCTGTCTGTCTAGTGTCTACACGGCGCTGACAACAGGATTCCCTCCTCTTACCTCTGTGGCCAGTCTTAAATGTCCACCCCGGTGCACCTCGTCTGCTTTCAGAGTCTTCTTCATACTATTAATCATGATGTCAGTCTTTAGGCCGTCTCTGGAATAGGAACAGTTTGCTGGGCACATTTGATGGTATTTAGATTAACTTGCTCTCCTGAGGAGACATACGCTGTTCTGCTGTGTTTCAGTGCTCAGAAGGAGCAGATGGTGAGAAAAAGCAGACAATCCAACCTTTTTAAGTTGTTCTTTGCAGAGGCCTGTTTCTAGTTCATTTGGTTGAAGTGTGTGTGTTTTTTTTAATGTCTGACAGGGGGATGAGATATTACGTAAAACTGGTTTGGGAACAAATGCAGCTGAATGAAGTCGTTGGTTTCACTGACTGAACGGAAGACCGCTCTTTTTCTTTCTTTTCTTAAAGTCTTTATCAACAGGGATCTAACGAAAGTGTTGTCACTGTGGTTTTGTTTGGACTCTGACACTGGAGTCGCGTTGTGTATTGTCTGAATGAGAGGACAAGCTGATCCCTTTTCAATGCAGTGCAGATGTTTTAATTGTTTTTTCTATTGACATGCTGACTGTTCTATTACTCAGGGCTGTCTCCTCCTTAGTCACCTATTAATCAACCGAGCGGTTTAAGTCGACGAAGAATTATTCTATCAATTAGTCATTCTTTGTGCTATTTCATACTGAATTACTTATTTTCAAGAAACTTATGAATACACATACAAACTCAATCTTGAATATTTTAAAATGATTTTTCTGATCAGTCTACTAAAACTTGCTGACTAATAATTCCTCTGGTCCTACTAAACGCTACTCTGTCCTCTGTGTTCAGGAGCTCGAGAAGAGGAGGAGGGTAGAAGATGCCTACAAGTCTGCTATGAATGAACTAAAGAAAAAGTCACACTACGGCGGCCCAGACTACGAGGCAAGATGAAGCTAGATGAGATAAATGGATTCCGGCTCGATACACATCAGAAAGATTTCTTGTGTCTTACTATGAGTCTTCCCATCTGTTTCTGCACATTTGTCACAGCCGTGTTCCCCGGCTTCATGTATTGCTTTTCCTATATTGCGTTCCTACGTTTGCTTTTCACAGGAGGGTCCCAACAGTCTTATCAATGAGGACGAGTTTTTTGATGCGGTGGAAGCTGCGCTGGACCGACAGGACAAGATAGAGGAGCAGGTGTGATGCAGATGAATAAAACCATTACACGTTGTCGACCTCATTGCCCTCCCTGGGAACACCTGTCTCTCTTTTTAAACACCTTTTAAAAGCAAATGAACTGAAGCCCACATTACATACAGGAACGTGGCCTCTCGCTTCTTAAACTCCATCCTTGTCTCTGTCCCTCAGTGCCAGTCAGAGAAGGTCCGGATACCCCGACTGACTCCCGTTCCTCCAGGAGACGTCTACTCCAGTATCGGTACACACCGATTTGCCGCCAAGGTGCACATCTTCCTTTTATTCTTCTTAGTTTTAATTTATGACTGCTGGGTACTGCTGCTTGCACTGCTTCCCTTTTCTGTCTGAAGCTTCGTCCTCTTACAACTAGTGAAATATGAAATGCTGCTTGATCAGGTTGTGAAAACATTCTTTGGACTGCTGCCGCAAACCTCTTTGTGTTTTGTGCCTTGTTCCTTTCTCTTTCACTCTTCCTATCTCTGCTGAACAGCCCCATAGCCATTCTTCTTCCCTGTCCTCCGTTGAGCTAGTCAGTGCCTCAGATGACATTCACAGATTCAGCACTCAGGTACTGTATTTGGTGAAAAGTGAGCATCTCTATCTGCAGAGGGATGCAATCATCCGCTGCTTCCCCCCCACAGTCCGGAAGAGCATGAGAATGTCTACTGACGAGTCTTTCAGGATTCCTCAAACATTTCCTTCACACCAAAGTATTACATGATGCACTAAGATAAACCAACTGGACAAAATTAACCTTCCTGGAGGGACTGACGGGTTGCCTCCATCCCATAACACGGCTGATGAGGCTCATGTTAATCCAATAAGAGCTCTTCATTCCCTCTACCTCCCTTCTGCGCATTACTCTTGCCTCCCACAACAGAAGCAGGCATGAATCCAGGCTGAGTGTACACTGTATAAACATTAAACACAAATGCATTGTAAGAATGTTGAATACGCCCGAGCAGGATCAGGTGCTGTGTATCCACTTGGTTGCAGCTCAGGGGTTAATGTGTTTCTTTAAAGAATTCCTAATTCTGAAACGGGCGTAGTTTTATGTTTTACCACCAAAGATGTCATCAAAACCTGGAATCATGATAATCATATCTGCACCGGGGCCAGCAGCGCCCAAGATTATAATTCAATACACAATATCGAAGCAGCCCTGATAGAACGCAGTCTCATTTTCCTCTAAATGTGTCCTGTTTTTAAAGCTTGTCTTCAGATACACCGGTAGAGAACTGAAGAATCCTCACTAACATATTCACTTCTTCTTTATCCCTCTCTTAGGTGGAAGAGATGGTGCAGAATCATATGACCTACTCTCTTCAGGACGTAGGCGGAGATGCTAACTGGCAGCTTGTAATAGAAGAAGGAGAGATGAAGGTGAGCAGCTTGTTGTGAATCATTTCCCTTCATCCCTAGCTGTGGAAATGTAAGTTATTGGCTTTCAGGAAGGTTCTGCAGGTGCAAGCATTAATAACAAAGGGATTTGCGAGCAGGAGGGAAAGAGCTACACAAATACTTAAAGTAAAGGTATTCATGCCAAAATGTCACGAATAATCCTTTGATCTGTAGATTGAGTTACAAGAAAAATATTTCTAAGTTCGGTCTTAGTGGAAGAATCAAAAGGATGCTGGGGAAGAAAAGGATGCTCAAAGACCTCTTTCACAGTGACGCTGCAAATGTTTATAGTGACAATATGACTTTCCCTTTGTTGCCTCACGCGCGGCTCTTTGTGTAACAGGTATACAGGAGGGAGGTAGAGGAGAACGGTATTGTGCTGGACCCTCTCAAAGCCACACATGCTGTGAAGGGTGTGACGGGACACGAGTTGTGCCACTACTTCTGGGACACGGCTGTGCGAATGGACTGGGAGAGTAAGTTCACAAGTCCCCATCGTATCAACAGCGTTTCACTTCCTCTTTTTTAATGTTGACCTCAATCACTGAACTTTTTTTCCTTTCTTTCTCCCTCAGCCACCATTGAAAATTTCAACGTTGTGGAAACGCTCTCTGATAATGCTGTCATTGTTTACCAGACACACAAGGTGAGGTAACGGTGTGGTTGTTTCACAGGTTGCTAAAAGGCGGTTGCAGCTTATTTGATTGATTATCTGTTTGCTTTTCAGAGAGTGTGGCCGGCCTCTCAGCGAGATGTGCTCTATCTGTCAGCCATCAGGAAGATCCTGGCAACAAATGAAAATGATCCGGACACATGGCTGGTCTGCAACTTCTCCGTGGACCACGACAACGCCCTTGTAAGATACTTACATTACGCCGGTCACTATCATGCAATAGAGCGAGTGTGAGTGTCAGGCATCCAATGTTGGATCACCAATTTGATTAATTTCGGCATATAACTCCTGTGTCTGTCACATTAGAGGATTTGATGTGTGGCGGCTTGGAGATTTTTTTTCATTTACATTTTTTATTTTTCTTCCAGCCCACAAACCGGTGTGTTCGGGCCAAAATCAATGTGGCCATGATCTGCCAAACCCTGGTCAGCCCACCAGAGGGGGACAAAGAGATCAGCAGAGACAACATCCTTTGTAAGATCACCTACGTTGCCAATGGTAAGGTCCTCTGCAGCCTCCTGGGGTTTTTATCTCTGTGTATCCGCCCAATGGCAGGATGAGCAGCCAATAGAACAAAGCTTTTCCATCTTCATCATCACCACTTTAACTTTACACGCAAGTGGCTCAACCTCCAACCTACCGTAAAGGAAGTGCTGATCCTGTGCTAGAGTGCTTACACTAGACAGGTGATGTGAGTTTGTTGGAAAATGTATAACACCACTAGAGGGCACCCAAGACCTCTGACTGTGTACTGCAGGCGCATGCTAGTAATTGCTACTAATTATTTTATCATAGTAGAATGTTTCCCAATTTTGCTGATCCTTTCCCTCCGTGTGGCTGCAGTGAACCCGGGAGGTTGGGCTCCGGCCACCGTCCTCAGAGCCGTGGCTAAGAGAGAGTATCCAAAGTTCCTTAAACGCTTCACGTCTTTCGTCCAGGAGAAGACGGCTGGAAAGCCCATCCTCTTCTGAACACCCAGAGGTAACGCGTAATCCATACACGGCTTGTTTCATAACTAAAGAAAGAAGCAAGTAAACTGATTGATAAAACATGTGTTACACTGTTAATGGGTCGCTTGATCTCTAAGAAGAATACAGAATCTTTTTATCGTTAATTTCTGACTTTTCATCCCTTTTCTCAGGCTTGCGAGGGGCCCACTTGAGACTCAATGTCCATCGTTGAATCGTCTCTCAATGACTACATGACCCTTTCATCCTCTTAATTAGAATGTGTTGTCCACCTACTGCATTCAGGACACCATATCCTTCAGGACATCACACACGACACCTGCTTGTAGAAGAGACTGGTTTTACAGCTTTAATTCATCAGTAGTCGTCATCCTGCCACGTTAACATGACTTAACGCCATCTGTTGGTCATGGGTACATTTGTATGTAAATTCAAGAGTTTCTTAAGTGGTTTTTGAATTGTTGTTACTAGTTATTTGCTTTTTGTAAATTGTTTTGTACATTTCTTATGATTACACTTTTGGGGGATTACTTTAATCACTAGTATTACAGCCACTTGTTTTGCTGCTGCTAAAGTTACTACCATGAGAGAGGAAAGACGATATTGACAGAAGAAGCATTGATCAGGTTTGGTACATTATCACCTGTTTTCTGCCTTTTCCCGTCCCCCCCGACATACGTCTCCCTTTGCAGTTTGAAAGGGGGCCAGGGCCTAAATCTTTATATTTCTAGATGGTTATAAAGTAGCTTTTGGCGAGCACCAGGGACACAATGTATTGTACGGAGAAAACCGAATACGCTTTTAGTTAATTTACCAATGTGAGAAACGTGAATTGAGGGATGAAGGCAGTGACAGTAAGGCTCAGGAAACCTGGAGTAGGATCTAAAGAGCATTTGGCCAATATTTTAGACATGGTTGGTAGTGATAATTAAAGTGGAATGTAAATATTGGAATTGACTGCCGATGCGGAGTTGTAAAAGGGCATCTGTACGTTATCTCTGCGCAACCTGGTTTGAGAGTTTATTGCAGGTGGCCTGGTACAACTTTGAGACCCCTGATGATGCAGAAAAAAACTCTCGTCTGTACAATTGTCAGGTTGCTAAAGTAGATCAACTGCTATTGCAAGGACACGGTCAAATTATAAAATGTGGAGTAGGACATCTGTCCCTTTAGAATCGTATTCTAATTACATTTCACATGCCACCCTACAGTGCAGTGGCCTCCTGCCCTTTGACTGAAAGAAATAACTCCAGAACGAACCCTTGAGCTCCTGGATATCTTAACTGTACAGCCACCTGATGTGCATTTACCAACACTTAAATTAACTTAGGAATGGTCAGCATTTCATATCTTACCTCAAGATGTAAATTTATACCAATGTTTAATGCCATCATAGGGTGGGAGTTTTGTCCTTAGTAGATCTGTTCAGTCCAAGGGGTCAGATGTTCAAAAGGATCTGGATGATTATAGGAGCTGGATCTATGAGCAATGTCAGCTTAAGAATGCCTCCAGTGTTTTTAATTTTGATATTGTCAGTAATCTACACTTTCTATATTTCTAAGTTGTACATCAGAAGTGTTATTTGCACTAAATGACAATGTTCTGTAAATTAAAATTGTTATACAAGGACCGTCTTTGTGAGACCTCTATTCAGCCATCAATCGTTATTCAAGGGCAATGCTGGACGGGGGGGGCAGCAGTCGACCTACACAGAGACGACCTCTCACACTTTTAAGCGTATTAATTGATGCAGACAACCTACAGTACCAGCCAGACGTTTTCCCATTTGATGAATGTTGGGTTAACAGGCCTTCTTTAGAAGTTGAAGTAGATGAACAGTAAACAAGTTTAAGCAGTTTATTTGTAGGAGTTTCTCTGAATATAAATATGCATTGTCTTTACATTCAGCGATTAAACATTTTCTTTTAGCAAATGGTAAAATATTGAGATTTACACAACTCCTGATTGTTGGATATGGTCTTGATGAAGAGGTATCGATAGCCGAGGCATGAATTCCTTACTTCTTCAAAAGGACACACTTCAGTATCAAAGGATATCCTGAGTGAAAGCATCTTCAGTCATGACAAAAAACTATTAGCTCCACATCAAAAATCTACAATGGCTCCTTCACTGTTCTATGTAGAATCAATGACTGACAAAGGTGTGCATTGAAGAGTATAAAGAGAAACAAAGTGCTATCGCATATGCAAATCTGTGCTTTTCTAAGGTAGCCCACCCACCAAAGCAACCTCTTCAGAGAAGAAATTTGTACCGTGATCAAACCAATGTCAAAATTGCCTTTTGATCAAGAGCTAGTCCATCATCCCTCTGGTTTGTGCCTCATCCGAGATCCAGTAACTGTTCGCTCTCACTTCCCTTCACAGGAGCTCTTTGTCCGGGCAGCCCAGAGGGGATAAGGTGGGCTCTTCAGCCGCTGCAGGATCCATCGCGTCTGTTCATTTGAGTCTTTTCTCATCCGTTGCCTGTGAGCTGGCTTGTGTCTTCTGCGCGTCAGCGTCACGGCCCTTTTAACGAGGGACAAAGACGCCACCACAGAATTCCAGAAATTCACTGTAAACATTTCTTTGTTCCACAAGGTGTGCAGTCGCAAACTTTGAAATGCTCCTTTTTAATTTCTTCCTGGTCAGCAGAAAAAAGGAAATGAAAGAAATGTATCTACCCTCCCCCTCATCTGCAATGTAGTAAATAATTCAGCTCTTTGAGTAGGCCATGAAAACAGTATACATATATAAAACTTAATGGCACTGCGTGGACTCATGCTCCAAAAAGCAACACGCCGTTCAGCATGATGTTCATCACATTACATGGTTACTGCAGAGGTCCATCGCTGGAACTCTTCTTTTACTCCATCAACCAGAGGATTATTTTTATGTGTTGGCAATACAAGTGGCAACATGGATCTAGCAGCACGGGATGTGGAGCGGAGGGCCAGCCCGGTCCCGGCCAATGGAGTGTGGCGATTGTCTTGATTTGGCAAGAAAAAAATAAATGAAAATGAACGTCGTAAAGCTGCGGTTTTCACTGTCGTGGAAGAGAAGAGAGAAACGGGTGTCAATGTGGGTTTAAGCCTAAATGGGAACGAGCCAAGATAACGCACTCACCAAGTAGACGTCGAGAACCGACCCGTCATCCCGGTCGATGTCCACATCCACGGTGCTGTGCTCTGAAGTCAGGCAGATAGCGCTGTCTTCCAGCGTAAACGTGGAGCTGGATGCAGCGTCCTCTCTGAAACGCAGAGATGTATTTTTCAGATCCACCTGCAGGAGACCCAGACGCCCCGGGAGTTTACCGTCTGGGTCAGGGGCAGTTAAAGTAAAGCAGGTGTCCGAACAGTGCAAATCCCACACTATTGCAGAGACTGACGTCGAAGAGACCAGAAGACGAGCTGGCTAGAAGCGAGATGGGGAACCGGTCTCGTGACGGGCCAGCGGCAGAAACGCCTCACAGGAAACTAACAAAAGACTCAGTCAGCAGTTCTGAACACAAAGACTTGTCAAAGTGAGCAGCTGGGGTAGCATTTACCACAACTGGGCATATGTTGCGTAATAAATAACAAAAGTACAAATGTGATCATTCTAAAAAACCAAACTAAATCCAAGTGGTTTCGGTTTTCCCCTTTGCATTTCATTAAATGTCACATTTGCATGTTAGTGTCTTTGAGCCCATCTAAATAACCAGTATACAGCTTGCCACACACAAATACTGCTTCAATTCTCCAATTAGTAATTTAATTAGAAAAGAGCAATTGCATGTATATCTATAAACGTCGCTCAACCATTGTGTGAGTACAATTGTTCATCATCCTTTTCCAGTTTTGCCCACCAGGGGGCGACTTGAGAGCAGTTTTCCTTGTTTGCTGATATTTCAGTCACCTGATGTACAATGTTTTATACCCTTTTATGACATAACTTTATGACTCTGTCAAAATGGAATCGAGGTAGAGGGGGCAGCAGAGGAGAACGTATCAGGGGAAATATATTGAAACCAAAACTTGTTTTAAAGAAACCCTGACCGGACACAAAACCAGGTGTCATCACTGTAACGGGCAGCGCAGCTGTCGGACGGGGATTATTGCCGGTGGCTTTACAGTCGCCACCGCTCGTCCTCTTCAGTGCAGCACAATGGCCCGGAGTAAAGCCATGTCAAAGCCGCTGTTTAAATATTGATCAACAAACAACAGCAGGTACTGCTGCCGGACGAGAGGCGGAAGATGGGGAACGCGTAGAGGGCACGCGACCTTTATAGCCAGATGATACAGCGTAACAAAATGAGTTGGCGTGATAGGAGCCGGTTTGTTGCGACACGCCCATTAGTCACCTGCTCCATGACGCACGCCACCAATTAGGCCGTGTGACGTAAAAGCTCTGGTGTCAATAGAGTGGGATTATGTCAACGTGTTTGTTTTGGGCGTGGCAAATTCACGAGCCTTCCTTCCTGACCTGAGGGCCGCAACGTGTACAGTAACCTTTCATGTTTTTGAGGGAAAAGTACACATTACGCTCCTAAAAACAGGACACAGTCGTGATGAAAGCAACCAGATATGGTAAAAAGGGGGAACATCGTAGACACAACACCTTTTCTGTGAGTGGTTGTCCACGTTGACAAAGATGGAGGAGGTAGTCCCCATGGAGGAGCCGTCGTAGAAGGAAGGGTTGGCAGGGACCAGATCTGGACGCAGGTACGACACAAACACAGCTGAGGAGAAAACATTCAGATGATTTTAGATCAGTTAAAGGGGTCTGATCTTTGCTGCCTGAAAAAAGCCAACAGTTCCCCAATTCTGTGCGTCCAGTTTGGCATTTGATTCAAGTTAACAGATTCAATTAAAACGGAAATATTTCCCAGTATCAACCTCGCGCTTTGGTGCAAATCAGATTTTCTCCTTCGTCTTTGAGACAGATTTTAGTAAACGCGCGTAGTCGGGAATCTGTCCAATTGGCTTTATGGTGGGTTGCGTCACAGCTGGAGATAACGGCGGGAGGGCGCTTGGTTGTAAAGAGACGTGACCCAACAACTTGCGACTGCGTCTGCTCAACACCCGGGTTCCTTCCGGTGTGGTGTTTACACCTTTATTACAGCCGGCACAAAGGTCAGACGCAGTTACTGATGTCGTTCATAATGGGAAACGTGATTATGACAAGAGTGAAAAAGGGGGACGCAACAATAACAAAGCTTAAACTACAAGACTCTTTTTTCACACATTTCCTATGGACACACACACTCTAACTGATGGGTTACTAATAACAAGGTGGCCTCTGTTATTTCCATCAAGGCCAAACACTGCATCAACCAATGACGGCTATCCCCCGGGACACGAGGACGTTTTTAGGGCTGAATGAAAGTGGCCGCTAATAGAGAATCATGTAGAGGATAATGATGAAATGGCAAGTGCATTTATGATGATTTGGAACTCGAAAACCTAATTCAGGCCTATCTATGAACATATTTGACAACATGGGAAGGTTGTCAAATATATCCAAGATAGCAACTATAAACTGTCACAGTGAGAGTCGGATTTTCCCCCCAAAAAGAGTGTTGTTTTGTGTACCTTGTCCGTCCAGACTGGCGAGGCTGCAGGCCCCTCCCAGCCTGTCCCTCCTGTCCTCCCTTCTCCTCTCATCTGCATGCATTGAAAGGATCTCCTGTGAGGACGACTTCAGAGCCGGGATGGACGTACGAGTCCTCTTTGAAGGGGAGAATCGCAGCGCTGCAGATAGGAAAGGGAGCGATACGAATGGGGAAGCCGGGGCAGAAAGAACAAGAGGATCAGATATTTGGAGGAGATGGAGAAAAGAGACGTTTTTCCTGATTGAAGCAGCGTTCACACAAAACGATTACACCAGTGTCCACCTATAATATCCTTAATTAGCCCTCCAAGCAAAGCATGACATTAAATCCTTACTGTCATCTTCTTCACACGGGACCTGGCAGCAGTTAATAGAACGGCCAAACCCCTTAAATCTTTGCCATGTTCGTTTCCAAAGGGGCCCCACATGGTTGCATGACATTGTTACTATATTTGATGTTAAATTCCCAAACTACTTCCTGGCTCTAACCACCATCAGACCAGTTCTTCATTACCGTGTTTTCAATGACCTAGTCATGTGCACACAAATCCCCAGCAGTAGACAACAAGAAAAATATTCTTATCAAGACATGTGCATGTTCCCTTTGTTCATTTGTGCAGGCTTCCCATGTGCAACGAATATCAACCTGCAGACTTACGCTGCGTCTTCCTGAAGACCCGTGTGCTCATGAACTTGAGGAAGCGGCTTGCATAAAACCCGGGCCGGTGCACCGAGACGGAGTCCTGAGGACAGGCAGAGAAGATGCAGGGCTTTAAGTAGAGAGCCACTCGTCACCAAGTCGGAGGCTCGTTCATAAAAGCAGCAGCGTCAGATCCGAGCGTGCTATTGACTCACGCCATCGTACACCAGGGCCTTCCATGAGTGTTCCAACTTTTTAATGAACCTAGGGAGGAAAGAACACAAGAAGACGTCTCGTGAACTAAATATATCAGCGAACTCAAAAATTTCCCCTTTGTGCTCAATCAAACTTGAGACTCTTGCCCCTCGGCACTAAACAAACGGGTCATATTTAAGCAGAGAATACATCAAAGTTTCACGTTATGTAACGTTGTCTTAGAGGAAATCAAGTTACCAGAAGAAAGGCAGGATTAGCAAGGAAGCCCATTCATCCTCCCGGACCCAATCTCTGTGCATTTAATGCCTCGACCAGATATAGATTTATGTAACGCTTTTAAATTCCCCCCGGGTTTGAAAAGCATATGTGCCAAAAGGCTTCCTCCTCGGTCTCCTGACGCTTGTGGTGTCAGGGAATAGCAAAAATCTATTTGTAAATAAAGATGTTTTTGTGTCCATTGGAATCACGTTGGATAGAGAAAAGGTCATTTTAGGATTGAGGTTACATTACATGTCATTTAGCGGTCGCTTTTACCCAAAGCGACTTACAATTAGTGCATTTCTACCATAAGGATACAAACATATTATTCAACATTAGGAGCTCTTGTCTCAGGGCACATATCAATCGTAGCATTGGTCACCTGTATGACTGTAGGATATCAATGATACCAAGGAATATGAACAGCTTTTCCTCCTTGTGTGTTTTGGCAGGGATGCCACCCATCCTACAACACAACAAAAAACAACCCAGCAGTGAGAGAATGGCCACCGCTCCTCTTCTGCGCAAATGTTTATAAAAACAGTCACTTGCAGGCTTTAAAACTTGTGTGTCTTGCTGTTAATACGTGGACCAGCCGCTGTGTTTGTATTTGTGTAGCTATGGTTATATGAGAGCCCGACTGTGTGCACACACTGAGGTATGCGCATGTTTGTATAACTGTGTCTGTGAGAAGAAAAAAGGTGGAGATAAAGAAACAAAACGCAGGCAGACAGTGCGCGCCCAAGCACGTGCGCGCGAGCCAACTCACGTGTCGTCCGTGGCGAGGGCTTCTGCGGCCTTGCCGTCTCCCTGGATGGACTCCATGGCAGTGGAGTAAAGCACCCGCTGACCCACAGGTCTCCTCCCGTCCCCCCCGGCCTGGCCCGGCTCCGCCCCCTCTCTGTGACTCTGGTCCGGGACATGCACGCCCAGCAGCAGGCTGTAGTCCATGATCTTAAAACTCTCCAGCACCTGCAGCACATTACGAGATATGCAGTCGATACAAGAAGAATTGGAATTTCACAAGCGAGTCGGATTGAAATAATCGTATGTCGTCACACTTTCTGTGACCCGTTTGAACCCTGAAGATGTTCATGTCCTGGACCGGATGCTACATCTTCGTTTCAAAGACGGTCAGTATAGTGAGATTGTGAAATCTTTAGAAAACGCTTTTTATTTTCCTCATAAAACCTTGAGGCACTGGAGCCCGTCGGCTATTAAAAAAGGAAATCTCCCCTTGAAACTATTTATTTGAGCTAAATAAACAAGGTGTTTCTCCACAGTGAGCCAAGTGTTACACGTTGACCTTCGGTCGCCTTTCGCCAGAGTTTCCCAGAGACTTCGGGACTCTTAATGTTTTCTCCTGTGCTCCAGTAAGGCAATCGTGAGTAGTCAAGGGCAGAAAAAAAAAAAAGTCACTGTACTGGTTTAGAATTCCTGACAGGAATACAAGGGTGTGGCAGGGAAAGTGACTTGTCCGAAACAGAGAGGCGAATACTTTGAGTTGAGAGTTTAGGGGAAACCCGGCTTGAGAAGAAACTGAGAAAACACATTCCAATATGAGTCAGTAAAGGTCATCATTATTGTCTTTCTCTGGCGTTCTCACTTACTATCCATAAATAGGGCACTACACCAAATAGGATTGGAGGCAATCAAAAAAAACAATTTGTGATGTAAATCAAAGAGAATTGAACCCAAGAATGCAAGATGAATATATTGAACTACAGCCGCCTCTTATCTCTCCCTCCATGAGCCTTTTTAAAAGGCCTGGTCAAAGAAGCATCCATCATCATTGTTAGTAGTCAATCCAGTTTGCTTCTGTAATATAAACGGCTAATGTGTAAAGCATTGCCAAACTCATTCATACTCACAACACACACAAAATGGACTTGACGACTGACCCAAACAAACACTGGGGCTTTTGTCGGAGCTTGGACTCTTCCATATCAACGATTTACATCTTTTCAGTCGACCTCCCCCGGCCTATTCAAACTACGGCCATTTTGAAACACTAAACCGCCCACAGTCGGCAATTACTCTGCATCCTGGCCCCAGCTTTCCCCCGACAAACAATCAAACCATTACAGCGGAGTGAGAGTGTCCCGGCCCGCTGCCATCATTTCAAATACAGCAGCCCTTTCTCACAGTGCAGGAGAGAAGCTAACCCTCAGACTTGTGTGGGCATTGAGCTTTGTCAAAGAAATCGCAGATGTTTCTCAGTAGATTGTCCCCTGAAATAGTCCTCCGCCCGTCTATCTCGGTGCCACTGGGGATGAAGAGCGCCTCACTAGTGTGCAGTGACACTTCTGCGGAGAAGAACACAGAGCTCGTTATACTCCTTTTGTGGGACTGCTAGATGCTGACTCAAGTTCAGTTACAATCATGTTAAATGTTCAATAAAGTGACCTTATTACAACTGTAAAAATTATGTTTTAATTTGAGTCTGTTCATTTTCTGCAACTGTGAACAAAAAGTGAGGATAATACAAATGTTTGTACAAAATAAAAGGAAATTAGTGCACTTAAAAATATTACATTACAAGGTGGTATAAAAACGTATTTATAGAGCAGCAATGCCTATTACAACAATTGATTTATAAACTTTTAATATTTCAATAGTCAAATAATTGAAAATTATTATTATAATTAATTTTTGGCTTCTCAAATGCAAAAATGATGTGCTATTATGTTTTTTGCTAAATATGCTAAATGCTAAATAAATAAAACTAATAGATGAATCAGCAAAATTAATTTCTAATAAGTTATTATTTAACAGCCATGTTTATGATTGTGGTTAAGGACCCTGTAGAAGCCTCACGCTTCTCTTTCCCCTCATGCAGAGATTGAGAGAAGCCATTGTTGTTACAGGATCCCAAGGCTAAGAACGTAGGGAGCCATGCAGTAAACGCTGGGTTTCAATCGGCTACACTGACTGCGATGCAAACGGAATGCCTTCAAGGTCTGAATCAAAAGAGGTCCGAACATCAGTGTCTCTGCAGCTTGTTGTCATCACAAGCAGCAATATCCCCTTCGCATCAAAGCCCACACGCACAGCGAGCATCAGAAGGATACAAACAAAGACTCACTCATCACTCATCTGCGCTTCACTACAGTAGTGTCCAACATGAATTATTAATGCCTCGTGTTGTTTTGGCATTTGTGGAGTATCAGGGGAGCTGCAGAGTAATGGAGAGAGTACATTTAAAAAAAAAAAAAAAAAAAAAAAAAAAACCTGAAATATCCAAATCCCCTCAAACACGTCGCTCATCCTCTCTTTTTATGTCATCGCTTTATGTTTCAACTCAACCATGAACTCACACACGCCAGAGAAAAAAAATAAAAATAAAAAAAAGCTCACATCTATTGGACAACAGTCCGCTTCCCCCACGCCCGTCACCCCCCGTTGCTTAGCTTCTGCCCCCCTCCTCCCTCCTCTCCCTCCTCCTCTTCTGTGTTTTGCTCCACAGCCTCAACTGGGGTGAAGGGGTTAGCTGCTTACTCATGAAAATGGACAGCGATTCTGCTTAGAGGGCACTTTGCTTCCCGCTCAGGAGGCGAACGCAGGAAGCCGTGACAATAACAAACCGCCTCACTCACAGATCTACACGCCATACTACACGCTTCACACTGTGCATAGAAGCCTTAACGGGCATTGGATGTGCTGTTATGTGCATAAATATCGACTGAGCAGGAGGAGAGGAGGTCCTTCTTGAAAAGAAGGGGACAAAGTCTGCATATTGGTTAATGATTATGAGACATAACGTGAGGAGATCAAGTAGAATCCCTTTCTATTCCTGGTAATCTTTCTATAACCAAGACCCATGTTTGTGACCGACTGTTAGAAGGGTGGGAAAGCCAAAAGTCGTTCACACCTGTCCACACACACTGCTCCCGGAGGGATACGCCACTTTCCCCACCGCGAAAGACTTGACCTCAAACAAGAGTGGAGCAACCGGAGGCTTTAATGTAGCAGAGAGCGATACGTTTTCTTTCCCGATAACACAAAGACGAGTGGAGAAGAGCAGTGAAAAGAGCTCTGCTGCGCCAACAACCCTCACCCAGTATGAACAATTAACTCAATCAATGGAAACGTTTAAGTAGCTAGCAGCGTGGTGCCATGCAGGGTTGCCAGGTCTGGAGCAGCGCCGCTCCTCAACCCGCTCCGCCCGTTCCTGGTGAATTAGACCTTAATCAGACTGCAGGTTAAATACTCCACAAAGAAGCTGTGTGCGCACTGTGTGTACAGTTCCTCCAAGTCAAGTGAACAAATGAGATTACACAACACAGGGCTCTAAACCTCATCATTGACAAGTCACTATGAGGGGAAGACAAATCGAATCAGTGTCTGCAAGTCACACAGTCACACATAAAGAGTCACCCACCTTGTCGACAACAACAACAACAACAACAGAGAATGTCACGGCACAAACATGCACCAGCTGGAGAAAGACGTTAGACGGCCCAATCACCAACTCTCGGCTCTTCTGCTTCCGTAGTTCTTCAAACCGAAGCTTTTTCCTTTCCTAGAATTGTGTTGTATGTATTAAAAACTGCCCTTTAGTCTCCACTGCTAGGCGGTTCTCAAAAACTATTTCTCTCACACTGATGCAACGTAGGAAGATAAAAAAAGTATGGGATGTATCCAGATATTTTATCCTGAATGTTGTTTATATTAATGTTTCAATAAGCAGCAAAGTACTGATGGATTACCAGCGTGCGCACGTTTGAACCCCTATTAAGCTTAAAACATCCCTCTGCATCAGAAAGGTCTTCCGGCCTTTGTGCTAAAATGGAAAATAATGCAAGCCTTTAGACCGGAGGACTCTATTTAACAAGGGCTGCGAGTCTCTCACGCTACCAGGATCCTTTCTTAATCACATTGACTGTTTGGAGAGCTGCCGTGTACTGAAACATCGCAGCGCAGTGATGACAGGACGGAACCCAGAGAAAGCCGAGAGCTTAGACTGAACACACAGTGGAAACACACTGCCGGCGTCCTACCGACAAACACATGGGACATTTAAAATGTAATTTGGTCCCATCTAAGACGTGCACACACCATCCCGAACTAGAACACAATATAACTAAGACGTTAGACGTGTTTAAGCTTCCTTAATCGGTTACAACAGTGAAAGGTCAGCGACCTTTCAACAGCTACGGCGCTTCACTTGAGTGATTCCCGGGTTTAAAGCAATCTGCTCCAAACTCTGATGTTGTACAAGACACAATGTGCATGTGGGGCAACAGAGGTACAACTGCTTTATCCAAAAAGAAAGACATTAGAATTCACCCAAAATATTCTGATAGTGAAAGAAAAATGCCTTTATCCAACACTTTTCTTCCTTCCTTCCTTCCTTTTATGGAATAATAGTGACCTTCGTGTTGCAATAAACAGAGAGAGGGACGAGAATGAGCATGCATCATTAAAATAACTTGCTCCGCACACGGCTAAAAGCACCTACCCGACAGTCCCTCTGCAGCGTCTTCATTAGGTTGTTGTACGTCTCCGGGTCAAAGTAAACACCTTCTTCGTGCATGTCCTGGAAGTCCAGGTCTTTGTATGTGGGACACGCCTTTTCTCTCTCTTTCCTGGACGCTTGTCTCTTGTAGGTGGATCCCTTCAGGTCGTATTTGTAGTGCATCTTGACGGAGCGCGGCAGCACGTTGTTCATCACCACCAGTCGGATGTTGATGCCTCCGGACTGGATGCAGTAGAGTCCATAGAATTTGGGCAGCAGTGTGCGCGGGTTCTGGTTCAGATTCTGTGATGTGACGTGAAATCATGTTTTACTGACGCTTCCCTTCTTCAGTCTAAAAATGTGTGAATGGATAGCTAATGTAAATACAGGGAATCTCATAATTTATTTGACCAATGCAAAATTATCAAAAGTCTGCCTCCATCCTCTACAGCTGGAGCTCATGAGAACATTCAATGCATCGGGTTTATGCACCGTGGTTTAGCAATCAGTGACTCACCATATAGTATCCAGGCAGTAATCTCTGGAGAAACTTGGCCTCTTTGTGCTGGACGGTTTTAATGATGAACTCGTCATCGCTGGTTAGGTAGAAGAGCGAGCCGCTGGCGCCCGGGTTGGTCAGCTCGATCAGAGGCTCGTTAACGAGGGAGTACTGCGGGAGGGAAAACATTCACAAGCAGTTTAGTGATTTACAGAATACTTCCACATCAAACTTTAAGGAACACAAGCGGATGGCAGCGTTGTCGTTGAGGCGCCGTGGATGATGAACACCATCTCCTGACATTTGACTCGAACGGCTGCTAACAAACAGGCAAAGTGTCTCGTGAACAGAGAGTAATGAGGAGCAACTACTGCTGGTGCTACTTCGCAGTAAAACACCAGAACAAATCCAGAACCGCCATCCCATTGTGGCAATTAACGTGGGAGGGAGAGACTGTGAGAAGCAGGGCTCCGCTTCCCTCTCCAGAGCCTCCGCTGACAGCCGTCTGCAGTCAGGTCGAGTTACCGGCACACTCGCATCCATCCACGATACTCTGTGTGTGTGTGTGTGTGTGTTTTCTGGCTTTTGATTGGACTCTGCTGTAGCCGCTGTCTGAACAGATTCATCACCACCTCAAGGACATCGACGATCACTAGTACATCCAGTGAGCTGCTTCGCATCGCGCCGTCCTCCCTCGGCTGCGTTTAAAAGTTACATGTTGCCTCGGTCTCTCTTCCAGAGCCTTTTGTTTTTCACGCATGTGGAGAATAATTTTCCATTCAAAATCAGCTTTTGTAGTTTTGAAAGGCGTACAAAAAGGAAAACGGCAACAAAACACGAGCGAGCTTTAAGAAGATATTTTTTTATTTTGGCGGTTTAGTGGGGATGAATAGGCCACAAGGAAAACGCTTTGATGGAGGAGTAGATTACAGTAACCGAAAATGTGGCACATAAGGCTCTGACAGGGGTGTTTGAACAACTTTTAATAACATCACTGGTGTTCGGCATTACCGACCGACCACGCAATAAAATATACATTGAATTTGATGGGTGATCAGTACTCACTCAGGAGAATGATTAGTGTTAAATCACAGCAAAGTCATTTAAGAGAATTGTCTCTTGTTTGATGGGTGAAACAGTGGTTTTAATATTTGTCTTTACTTACGGGTGTTTTAGAATTAAGAATGATGCAGAGAGACTATGCTTGAACCAGCTTTTAATCACTTTAAATGGCTTACTTTAGGCGCAGTGATGGATAGAACTACTTAAAGCACGTCGAGTTATGAGGGGGAGAAGGACCATTTCCCAAAGCATCAAACTAGGAGTCGTTTTTAAACTACATTTAATCGGATGAGTGACTGGATTATCGAGTGAAAGGTGGAATGAACAAGTTAGGTCTACGTTTTGGTCTTACCAGGTAGTCGTCTGGTTTGATGCCAAACAGATCCCTGAAGTAGCGGAAGGCCAGCGGGGCGTAGGTCTTGAAACGGAAGTCAGGATAGCGATGGGCCGGCGTCAAGTTGCTTCCCTCACTGGGTTGTGTAATGAATAACCAAGAAACAAGAACACACATTGCTTCATTATTCCAACACAATTTTTAAAAAAGCATTATAATTTTTTAAGTGAACATTGTCATATCAGTCATTCTGCAAGCAATGATCACACGCAAGGATCAACTTCGCACGTAATCTTTGTACCCGTGCAATCGACTCCCAGTGGGCCTTTGTAATGTGCTCCACCCATGCGTGAAAAGGCTTCAGTAAAGTCATCTCCGGCTTCCCAGATTCAGCAGTATTGTGATGAAAATATGACCCGTCTAGAGTAGGCTGTGAATGAAGGTGACTCTGATTACTGGAGATAAACAATGGCCAACAACGCGCAAGACTCGGAGGGTGAGAATGGGAAGATGTGACAGGAGAAAGCCGCAAATACACAACACAACCAGCATGTTTGTTGGTTTGACGTTGTAACCTTACATTCGAAAACAGACGGGGACAAAGACATATTTCCCAGGTGAACACATAGAAGTACGTACGTCTGAAAAGGTCAGAATGAGTCGAGCCGCCGAGTCTAATCACATAAAGCAACCACACTGAAATCTACAAGAAGTGGGTAAATACAGTTTTATTTTCCACGACACCTCTACACCTCTACATCTGAGGACTTGGACGGCTTTCTGGGGGAATGGGCCACAGGCCTGTTGTTTTATGCTGGTGCTCGATTCAGTAATGAGATACATGGAACAGTACGGCTCTGCTGTGCAACACAATATCTGTGATTACTATACAATGAAAATCAGACTGCTCCGTTTTACATGTGAAGGGAAAAAACAATTATCCGTCATTAATAACTAACAATCCATGATGGTAACAGGGCAACACTCTTTGTATAATTGATGCAATCTAGTCAAAGAGACATCTGTATGTGTGTGTGTGTGTGTGCGCGTGCGTGCGTGCGTGCGTATTTGCCTTGTGATAGATGTGCGCTGGTTGTCAAAGATGCACGCAGGGAGAAAAAAGAAAAAAGAAAAAAACTTTGCGTGTTTGGGTGTGAAAGAGTCACCGTAATCCCCAAAAATCTTTCAGCCATCGGAAACTAGACTGACAGGACGAACACCAGTGGAAAATCCCTCAAGAGGAGCAACACGACCATCTAACCTTCAGTTCAGTTGGCCGCTACAGGTACACAATAACTACAACTTCAGTTCTATGTCAACTTCATGTGAAAAGGCTCGACATTGGGTGCAGAATGAGGATGATATAACAGGGAAGCTTTAAACTGTTGGTATTTTGCACTTGCACTACTTCTTAGCAAAGCAACAGATGTTTGTGTGTTTGGGTCTCGTTGCGGAGCACTAAAATGTCTGTGTGCATGCAAACACCAGGTTTGCATGAACCATTATGAGTTTGCATATCCTGATGAAACTTTAAAGTATTTCCTTATGGAGCTCCAATCCTCTGCCTAAAGCTTTATTGGAAATTTTGGGATCATACATTTTTTGCCACAGAGCGAAAAACCCTTAATGAACACGTTGTGCTTGATTCTCACTGCATTTTTTCCAAAAGATGCAATGCACGTTTTTAAAAAGAAAGTAATTAACTCACTCAGCTAGCATGAAATGAGTAGCATGGTATTTTCTACTGCAAGACTGGTGCTGGTGAGCGACTAATCAGTAAGTGTATAAATACAGCGTATCTGATCATCAACCATGCATGTGCTAATCGATGAGTCAAAGAATTCTGTGGTCTGTTGTGGATTATGTCAAATATCTCCATCAACTGATGATGCGATTGTGATAAAACAGCCTGATGACCACACAATGACATATGTTGTGCAATAAGAGGCACACAGTAAGTTCATTTCACACTTCTTGGCCAGATAATAATCTCTCGACTTGACTCATAATTCACTTTTCTAGAAACGATGACGGTACAGTTTGAGGCAGCAGTGAAATTCCTTCGGGTCCAGCGGTTGCAGTTTCCACTGAGCATGGTTAATAATATTTTTAAATGTCGTCACTCCAAGACATACAATATTTGGGCGGACAGAGACACAAAAGGCCTAAACTCTAATCGCTCTCCAATCACTCACTTTGCAGGGTCAAGAAATTGTCGCAGCCAAAGAGCAGGCGGTTACTCCTACACATCATCCGTTTTATGTGTGATTCACTGACTCTTGACCGCAGCGTTTAGTTTCATGTAAAAGTCTTACAATGAGCCAATCAATTAACTCATTTGTTGAGCGATTGCTTCTAAATAAATCAAAATGAATAAATAAATAAACATATATACATACACACATACATATCGTAGATGTCCTCGGTGTGTGAACATCTCTAATTGTACCGTTTTACCGTGTGGGTGGACACCAAGTCGCACTGACCTGGGCAAAAAGACACTCTCCACTACATAGAAGTCTTGCATAAGCACGTCTCTGTCAGGCTTGGAGGTGAGGTTGCCCACTGTGTAGCCAATGCCGAGCTGAATGGCCCCCTTCAAGGCCGATGACGTGGTCTAGATGGGGACATAGAAGAGAAAACAACATTAGTCACGCTGTTATATCACCCTGTCACCGGTCTCCTCGTTGCATTCACTAGGGGAGGTAATTGTAACGCAATGAATGTGAAATAATGTTAGATGATGGGAATTTGATGGATATTTAGGGGTTCTCTAGTCACATGGTGTAAGCTGAAAGAAACGCATCTTTTTGCCATGTTATTAGTCGCTCCGTAGATCCCTAAAAAGGCCGGGTAGTAAACATACAAAAATACTTAGGACCCAACCAAAAACAATAGCAGCAGTTGTAAAGCCTTTTAATGGAGAAATCTTAGGAGATACTGTCATAAGCACTGACGTGTACAGTTTAGGAAAAAAAGGAAAGGAAACAAGTGTGACGAGCACTTGACTGACCTCTGGCAGCTGGCCCTGTCAGGGGTGAGCACATTATGTGCTGCAGAAGGACATTTATAACAACTCATGTGACCTACAGGCTCAGAAATATTTTTTGTCTTCTTGGCTCCTAACAGCAATATTCCAAAAACAATATAAATGTTGTGGAAGAAAATAAACCCATTACACAGCCAAGCTCTTGTATGAATATTTATACTTGTGTACCTTTTTGTACGTTTTCTCTCTGCTTGTGTTCCGGGGCCCTGCCATCCCACTTTCCGTTGTGGTAGACATCTAAAAAGAGATGCAATGTATCAAAATAAAATCGATAACGTCAAATTACTTTCCATACAAAGTTGCTGAAAAGGTCAAAAGCATAAACTTACCTTTTCTAATGTAAAGCCGGGCCCAACAAAACAGCAATCAGGGCGACATCCTTTTGTTCGCCAATGTCAGCCAACATCAGAGGGCTTTGGATCTGCAGGGGACCCTCTGCAGGATAACAGACACACACGTTATTATTAGATGAATTAAATAATGCTCACAGCCGCTACGTTAGGCGAAGCCGCTGCAATTAAAGCCGTGACTGTGGATGGGACGGAAACATGTCCACCAGCAAGGAGACCTTGATTAACTGTGATAAGTTTGAAGCCACTTAAATGAAATTGCTCTCCTCTTAATCTCTTGCCGGAAAGCAAGGCAATCAACTCCATTTCTAAATAAACAGCCCGAGATCAGCGCGTCTCATAAACGGCTCCTATAGATGTGTAGCAGCCATCACGACTCCTCTTGTTGGCCTTGCTAATAGATCAATACAATCCTGATAAACTATACTGTGCAGTAGACGGCAGACTGTCATTTAATGCTACGGTCTTCAATCTGATCTTGGACTTCATTGTTTAGGTGATTTCTTCCATGTTCGCGGGTGGGGAGGGAGGAGCGGGCGAGAGGGAGGATGATTACAAAGCAGAGCTGTAGTGTGTGTGAATGAGCGGTTGCCCATGGGCTGAAAAATGATCTGGTGGATACAGAATCAAGTCCTTACTGAGCCACACAAAGAGCAGGCGGTCTCATTCGCTCATACGTTTTCTATGAAGTGAACTCGAACACTCCTCGTCATTCTCTTGTAAATGCTCCTGCAGGTTTAGAGGCCAGCGGTAAATGTTTCAGTGTTTGAGGTGCCGTGTCCTGCAGACACCTGCTGTGACCCCAAACACATCGCAGGTCATCAAATCGGAGTCTATTGTACTGAGAATATGCACATCAAGACTATTGTCTTACAAATGCTGGCTACAACACTGTAGCAAAAGCTACAATTCTGCAGGGTGTCATACAAAATAAAAGCACCAAATATGTTGTAGCCATGATTAAAAACAATGTACAAAATGAATACTTGTGGACAACCACGAACACACACACACACACACACACACACACACACACACACACACACACACACACCGATTCAGATACACAGTAGATTAGTGTCTGGTACATTTCATTCTTATCTCCAAACCGGGTCCTACTCGGTGCAGCCACTCGTCTGTTGCTATAAACAAGGGACAACACAAACGCTTGAGCAAGTTTTTGCTCGAAGCACAACTCCTAAATATTAATATGTGGGGTTTTTTTTGGTCTCAACATCATTTAAACCGATCGCCTTTGCTTTGTTTCATCTTTGGAAGGTTGGAAGGCAGATATTACATTACATTATATTACATATGGTCACACAAAACATCGGAGACACTTTGTCGCACGACTTTGTAAGACTGGAAGATCCTGTTATGAACTTTTAGCCATGCAATTAGAAAAGAATCCCAACATTTATCCTACTGCGCCGAGAGGTGTTGATCCACCCGCGTGTGCGCTCTGAACTGGAGGAATGTTAGGCGCTCTGCTCAGTCATGGCCTGAGCGTCAGTGTTGAAATGAACCGTTTGTACCTCTCCCTCTCTTTCACCTGACCCCTCAACCCAGCCGCTGCTCCAACAGACGCTTTCTAGAATAATCCATGACTGGGCTGCAGCTGCAGCGAGCAACGGGAGATCTGTTGTTCACCTCTCAACAAAAGAGGCAGATGGTTTGACATGGATGGATAGATGATCCATTATCACACACCCTCCGTGCACATGCCGTGCCAGCTGCATACAGGACAACAGGGGGGGGGGGAAGAGAGCACATGTACACGCTGTTACACATTTTTAAAATAATGCTGTGTTGTGAGTCACAATAACATCACTTTGAGCGACAAAAATTAATCTTTCATCAACAAAATCATCCCCATAGCAGAAACAGCTGAAAACAAGAACCCACATCTCCCATTTCTGTTTCTCACAGTTGTCAAATTTGCACAAGCATATTACTTTAAACAGACGGAGGGACTGTTCGCTGCTGCAACTTTGTTTCTCTCCAAACCCGCCGCAGCGCTTCCTGTGACTAGGTCAACACTTTCCAATCACGTCGTCTTTCCTACTTGTGAAACACTTTGAGACTTCTGCTTTAAAAAAAAAGAAGAAAAAAAAGGTAGAAATAAACTTTGTTCTTCTCTCAGTCAGTCTCTCTGTTCCCAAACAACTTTCTTCCCGCTCGTCTAGGTGGAAACTCCACCACCCTTCAAACAAACACACTTGAGTGCAGATCAAACACTGGCTCTCATGGCATTTCTCCTCCATGGTTTCAGGGATATTGCCACGGGTGCCACTCAGCCACAGTGTGCGTCAGATAGAAAGACTGAAGCCAAGCAGTCCCGGCTATATACACTTTTGCAGACTTTCCCACCTCTTCCATTAGGAGACTGAAACGTAACATACTGCAGTCGAGGAAGCGCCCGCGGTTTCACCAGGACACAGATACTACAAACCGGTTCCTTTCATCTCCGCTTTGCTTGATTCCCCAGATACTATTAGATTACTGAAGCAGATTGGAGACGTAATGTCGAATCAATAGCAGACCAGCAACGCAGGGCGCCGAGGACCGGTCTGCTGGGCTTTCATGACCTTCAGTATGCCCGGGTGTGAGATGTTTGATAAGCACCGATATATCTGGATGGGTACAATCAAGAAGACGCATGGGGGGGGGGGGGGGGGGTTGAGCTTAGCTCGGCCCGCAGGGGACCGGCTTCATCGACTTCACTGCTGATTGACTACTGCTCACAGAAACTACTCTCGAGCAACAATGAACTCAGGAAGCCTGTTCATCCTACATTGCTGTTGGTATTCAATGACCTTTTATTAATAAAGTATTTATTATTATTATTTTAGTAGTTTAAATCCCCAAAAGTGCTGTACATAAGAAAGAATTGTGTAGAGCAGTAGTCATTATTGTTTCTGATGCGTTGTGTAAACACTTGTTTGTCAATGCCGTTACATAATCGCCGTCATTACTCAGGCCGTGTAAAGTAGAGGCTTCTGGAAATGTGCCGTGTTCTTCATTGAATCGCAGGGCTGGGAAACAGACATCCAATATGTATTATGGAACCCCCCCCAACTAAGCTCCCCGCACAAAGCAAAAAATAAGGGGAAGACAGATTGAGAGGACAATAAGATTATAATGCAGAGCAGAAATAGCTGTTCATTCATACAGACAATAAAAACAAACAAATATACACAGTAGACAAAACACGAAATGCAGTTTCAATTTGTAAATGTGGCTTTGCGGGCCTGTAAACACAGCAACACACCGTGAACTTTACGCACGCCCTTACATCTCCCTGGTGAGTCCCCACTGCAAAGACTTAAACAGCAGGCGGGTACATTTTGCACCGTCTTTTTGGTGTGTTCTGTTCCATATTTCAACGTATTCTCTGGGGTTGTGTTTGTTTTCATCATCCCTTGAAGAGAGACGAGCTGTGCTGCAGAGTAGTGCGTGCACCAGGCACTATGCAGCACTGCAGAGCTCGCTGTGTGAGTGTGTGCGTGCGTGCGTGCAGATGATATGTATATACACACACACACACACACACACGTAAAACAGTATGGCCACACTGGAAGCTCGTGTGGCGGTTTTATTGGTTTGGATAACAATGGGGAGAGAATTTCTCTTGCTATTAGTACTACAGGGGCAAACATATACGTTTGCCTTTTGGGCAGGACAAAGTGAAAAGACCATGTTTTGCCTAAATAAGAACCATTTCGTCATCTGTACGTACAAGCTGCATCTAGCTGCAAGGGGAAGCATAACATAAGTGCAAGGAATGTGTCGTCTTTACAATGAGAACTGCTGCTATCCCTCGTGCATCACCTCCCACTGCAGAGCGTGCAGTGTGTACTGAACACAAAGAGAATGGGAGCACTTCTTTTAGTGGGAGATATACCACTGGCCCAGCAGCTTCCACCAGCTAAATGTACATTTTTAAATATTGATGGTATTTGACATTTTAGCAACAGCAAATGAAGAGAAAAATGACGTGGGAGGAAGAGAGAGACAGTGCCCCGACAGTGCATATGACCTTTTAGATGTCACACGCAAAGAAAAAGCTAGACAGAAAGAAGGAATGAATGATACAGCGAAGACAATGAACAGGGATGAACAACGGAAGGTGTTTAGATTTCTAATAGTTAAATCCCTCGTCATAATGACAACAATGAAGGTCAAGTTTCATTCAGAGAATGCCGTTGTCTAAGCAGAACAGGAAAGAAAAAAAAAAAAAAAAGTACTCCAACCCTGTAAAGGAGAGTACATAATCACAGGATAAAGAGCAGAAAAACGTATATTTTGTTCAGTCAGTCAGCATGAATACAAAAAACCAGAGAGTGCTGTGCATTTGTAATTCACAGAGCGTCTCACTGTAGTTCCACTCTGCATGAAAATCAGTGAGGAGGAGGTGACCCACTGTGTCCAGAGTCATGTGATTCGACTGAAGGGAGGGTGAGAGAAAACAGATTAGTAAATGGGGGGGGGCAGAGACGATGTTCTCTTCAGATACAGAGGAAGGGAGAGCAGCCCTGATTGAATATAATAAGAGTCCTCACTCACTCAAACAGCACTGATATCTACATGAGCTCTCCTCAAAGCCGCTGAAAAACACCATCACATGACTTGAAGAGAAGAAGAGTTACTTGCCCATGACAGCCAAGCCCCGGTTTCAGGGCCCTACCCTAAAGTCCAAAGGTTTACTTACTCTCATTTAAGCCACAAGGGTCACAGGCATTTATTGCTTGTCAATTATTAAATTATTCAGAAGTGGTCCGTATTGAGGGTTATAGGGAATTAGATCATCCCGCCGTTTTTTCTCGCTGTTAAAATATTTTTGGGGTTAATTTTTCCTATGCCGATGAGAGGCTTTTAAGTCTTGCGTGTCTCCCACTTGTTTCTTTTCATCCACCCTCGGGTCCCCTGAGTGGGCCTCTGTGAGCCATGTCCTTTCCAGGGCAGAGAAGTAGGAGAGGGGGGGGGGGGGGGTAGTACTGGGGACTCAGCAGAGCCAAAACAACAACAACAAACACCACAACCACCAAATAATTTGAATTCCTGCATGGCTGCCAACCTTTTGCTCCGCCTGATTCCCTCCAACACAATCCTCAACCAATCAGTGCTGCAGGTCTTCATGGGGACATTTTCCCCCCTCTCAAAAGCTAGTTCAGATATGTTGTACATCTCATATGTATACGTGTGGTACATCCAAATTCACCTGCTGCAAGGGACGGCACGACGGCATGAAGAGCATTTTTAAACATACATTGACATTCTTCCCAAGATTAACATCAAGCATAATAAATGCAGGAAAGCATGGCTTTGACTGACTGAAGTCCATGAGGTGCTCTAAAGTACGATTGTTGAAGATGTAAATGTTAAATGTGCCCTGCAGTGATTTTGTATAATTTGGGGAATTACATGAGACTGATTTAAACAAAAGATTATTACTACCTTGAAATTTCATCAATGACTCAGTTACTGAATTACTTAATACAAATCATCTAAACAAAGAACCAAAAGGATGACTTTGATTAAAGAGGGTATTTCCCATTGGTAGAAACTGGCGTATAGCTTATGTAGCTTGCATTGCTATGGACAATAATATTGCGAAGCTTTGTTTTTCTTAAAGATTTCACATTGATCAACGCACTTTAATCAAAGACCGTTATATGAGGTCCTGGCTGGTTAGGTGGTATGTGCTGACACGAGTTAAGCCTGGACAATGAATGGAAAGGACAATAAAAAAGGTTGACAGAGAGAGAGAGACGCCCATGCTGTGCAACACAAATAAACAGGAGGCTAAACCTCTAGGCATTATGCTACAAAGCACCTTTTTATTTTTGAAGGGCAAATTCATAATTTAATATTCCAAGTAATCAATATAGATTACCCACTAAGAAAAGTAATGATTAATAAAAACCCTAGCGGGCCTTCCAATGGCTTACTGGTGGAATGACAAACCAGCAGCACACACACTCATTTACCCATCACAAACAAAACAAACCACGTGTGTCATTTCTGGACAACTCATAGCTGCTACAAGTGAAGCCACAGAACACGCAAACGCAATAATTCCAAATAATGTAACAGGAATTAAAACAAAGCTCTTATAATGTTGGATGCCACATTTTGCTTTTATGCTTTATATTCTCTATACCGAAACCACGTTTAAATAATCTCATTCTTTAATGAAACACACTGTCCCTCGCTAAAGCGATCTGACTAAAAGGTCGCAAACGAGTGAGTTGAGACCAACAACAACAACAACAACAACAGAATGGCACGATGCTGGATAACCTGATACGCGCCCTGGAAAGAAAACCAACACGGTCATGCTTTCATAGTGGCGCCGTAGACGGGACTGTGGGTACCGAAGTGGGTACAGTTGAACGCTACGTCCAACTAAACAAACACAAACATTATGAGGTGGCGGATTTCATTACTACAACACAGGGAGGCCTTTTTTCCCCCCTATCAGAACATCTCAAATACAACAAGATCCAACATGGGGCCACACCCGTGTGTGGACACAAGGCTGACGCCGGCCAGTCAGAACATTATCGGCAATGAAGGACAGAGAGAGCTGAAAGCTTCTGTTCAGGGCTCCCAATGAGCGTCGCGTGCCTGATGTTTCTCTCCTATGAGATCCCACAGTACATTACAGAGTGCTCTTTGACACAAAATCACAAGGCTTTACCGAACAGCTTTTCAAGTCTGTGATGCCTCTTCACAGGAAGCTCAGCAGGGAGACCATAAACGGCCTTTTAAAGTGTCCCTCTGCTCTGAATCGTGTGCTGATTCCTTCAATTTAGTGTCCAATTCATGTAATCAACTATATAAGATAGTCTAGTCCACTGCAGGCTCTACACTGCTGCCGCAACTTGGGTGGCAAATATTATATAATGCACAGATGCAGCTCACTCTGACATATCAGAGGCAGGACAGCAGGCAGCCAACAGAGGAGCTCAGGTGTTGTTCTCAAGGAGAGAGCAGGAGATTTGCATGAGCTGTTTTCCCTTCCAAACAACCTCTGCAGCGAGCTGGCCAGCCGGTCACGAGCACAAGCAATTCCACTGCCTCCCAGTCAAATAAGAACAAACAGGAAGCTCATAAAGGAAACCACATGTTCATAATGTGTAAAACCTCACGGCGCACCATAACTAGTTGCGTAATTAGTCCTTTTCTCCAACGATCACCGCGTCACACCGTGATCCAAATTAGTGACTGGCAAATGTACTTTATCAAAGAACCATCCCACAATATTTTTAACGTTTGTCTTTATTTGACACTTTGCAATACAGAGTCACAGGACTACGACGTGAAAAGGAGCAAAGTCAGACACAGGGCACATCTGCACAACTGTAGAACCACCAGGATACCCAGATGTTGCAAGCTTACATGCTTTAGAATTAGTTTAGAATATAGACAAATTTCCATCACAAATATTCAACAGTTGATTTTTTTTGTTTTTAAAGGAAGAGTAATGGTTACCGTAAACCATTATTTTTTCTGTTATAAAATACAGCATTTTGTAAATGACATAAATACACTAAAGTGCCACATTGAACTATAACAGTTGAACACTGTCGCGTGTCGTTCTGGCCAGCTCACAAAACACGCGGTTGTCACTTTCGCTTTGGGCTGGCAAAGCCTTTTCCCAGCGTATGCCTGAATACCTGAATACCAAAGGCAGGAGTGGAGCACTCCACTGTAAAGAGCAGTGATGAGGCTGCAGGTAGAAACTCGGGCCAGTAAATGAAAGGCTTGGCCTGCCAGCACAGAAAAGCAGTCACAGTTGTGTCAAAGGGGTTCGTGCATGCAGGCAGACTTCTCTGCACACGAGCAACTAACTCGGCTGTCTAAAAAAGGTTCAACTAAAGCACCAAGGGATCTGAGCTTCATTACAGATCAGGGTTTTTTCAGCACTTTCTCCCCCACCGATGCCCTGTGTCACAACCGCCAACGTGGTTTCATCATCAAACTGGACTTCCAGTTTTCATTTAAAAGTGCGAGAGTTGCTGACACGCACGCAAATATCCTTCCCCATTATTTTATAAAAGAGTCTAAAGTCAAAGGTGATACAGCAAATACACCAGCTGAGCGAAAGGCAACAAACAATCAATAGCAGCAATTCGATAATGGTTGAATTATTATATCCACCTTAGCGAAGTCCTTTAACCACACTTTACATTCAAACTTATGTTTTATTCCAAATATAAAAATGTAACCGCCTGACCTCTAAAAAGGAAAATCATGCAGATGTAAGTTAGGACAGGCCAGTTGGACCAATTCAGTCTACGTGGTAAAGTCAGTTATATGGCTTAAAGAAAATACAAGTTATTAATCCGACCAGGAACCGTTTAAACGCACCTGCACCTGTCGAAGCACTTAAGGACGATCTGCCGTACGTACACCTGCGCACGTGACAACACGGCAGCGTTGTTGGGAATTGCTCAGCGTACTTCACTTGAATCTTAACCTTAAAAAAAAGACCTCACCAGCAAATCTTCTCCTCCTGCGTAGCCGGGTAGAAATCAAATGTTCCCTTTAGTGTCCCCTTCCGCCAGCACTCGATCCTCAGTAGACGAATGAATGCGTGTTAAAAATAAATAAAAAACCGATTCGTTCTACGTGGTGCGTTTCCTCCACAAGCTGAAGGTGAAGTGAGGAGTCCTGCGTGTGTCTGCGTCCCTGCGTGTCCCTGCCTCTCCACGCACAACCTCTCGGTGCACCACTGGATACGAGCATGCGACTTCCACCTGCCCCCTGCAGGCCTGAACGGGAGTCTTATGTGTTTTGTAAATCTCTTTATCTCTCCAAAATGTATCAGAAGTTTAAAAAAACAACAACTTTTAATTTGCATCTGAGTTTATTGTACATAATATAATAGTAATGATAATATACAGGAAGTGGGGGAGGCTTGCACTAAAAGGAACACTTCTAAAACAGATGTCATGTTGATTTCAAAAATAGGAAAAACTACCGCATAAACATTCTTCACCAGGGTCTGTCCAAAATGGCATTACTTCATCATGTTATTCTACTGGACGTGTTTGCAAAATTATCTGTATAAGTTTATTGATGCGACTCGTGGCCTTAAATAAGGATAAAGATTAAATAAACATTTTTCACAGTGACCTTTTGATTGCAAAAACCGTATGACTTCATCCTGCAGTCCAGAAACTCTCTTAAGGTGTTCCTGAGATATTGTGTTTGTAATAATGGGGCTGATTTCACGTTGACCTTTAACCACAAAAACCTAATCAGTTCATGGATGTTTGTGCTACATTTAAAAAAAAAACAACCCCATGAGATATCTTGAGAAAAAAATGAGAAAAATACAACAAAGATGATGAAGCTGCAGTTGTTTAAACTCCACTCTCCTGGTGGGAAGTAGAACCGCCATCTTCCAATCCAGCAGTATCACTAAAGGATGTAGAAAGAGTATCTTTAAATCTTTACATATTGTTGTTTTTATTTGCTTCATTTTAATAGGTACTAACCTATCACTGATTCCTTCGGGACCTTCCATCTGTCTCAGCGGTTCAGTCACAGCAGCGTTACTATTAAACATGAGGACTTGTTGGTAATGTGAACAACAGGTAAACATATGAATAAAGGAACATTGTGAATAACAATAAAACACTACCTTGCTGAATCCTGCTGTGAGCGTCTATAAGAGACTCTTCTTGCTATTCCTATTCCTACGATCAGCAGACCTACTGAACCAAGAGATGCATATTTAAGATACTGAACTGCAACACCATACAATTTTGATCTCACCTTATTGTTGGCATTTGAAAGACAAACATTTAAACCATGAGCAGAGGACTGAAGAGCAAAAGTTGGTTGGATTAGTAGCAAAAAGACAACCAATAACTTATCATGGCAGGCAGAGGTGAAATGAATGGCGAGAGAAAGATTGACAGCTGCATGCAAAGCAAAAGAAACTTGACCTAAGCGTCATCAAAAGTAGATTTCAGAACTTACAAATTACACCTTCAACAATTAATCCATAACGCCCCCTTGTGGGGACTTGTGATGTAGCGTTGACTAGAGGAAAGGCAGTGGTCAGCGATGGACGATGAAATCCTGTTGAGGTCAATAAAATCCGTTGGCAACATGATAAAGTGGTAAAGTGTATCTGCACAAAAACTCACCACGGTGAAGAGAAGCACAGATGCTGCTGTTGTCTAGTAGAGGAAACAAGAGAAATGTCACTTGTATACAAGACAGAATTGCATCAGTCATTGGACAACAGAAAATATATTAAATTATGTGAAATTCTAAATGATCGTCAATATATATCAGACAGATACATTTCAATAGGAATAAATTAAATCCCAGAATCTAATCAAGGTTGTTTTGTGTTGCATCTTGTGAAAAATGCACCAAAAGTAAGCAAAAGGTGTCCACAGAGACATTAAACGACCACTATTTGGTTGTAAAAGTTTACCAATGTGGAGTAAAAGAACTTCCCTCCAATGCAAAATTATTAACAAATAACACGCCGAGCTGCAGTGATGAAGCAACAACAAAGCGGACAGCAGCAGAAAATGGCTAACTTTGCACGTAGGGGGAATGACTGAGAGACGACCATAATATATGTCATCCTTTGGAAAGCACATGTAAGCACCTGTACATTTTCCCGACTCAATAAGACCGTCTTTCCCTTCAAAATCACAGCCAGCATCTGAATCGGTGGAGGCGAATGCGAAGCCCTTGTGCTGGCAGACAGTATTGGGGGGTGGAGGCCCGGTACAGTTCGGGATGGGACCATCACTGAGGAGCGACTCGTCGTTGCAAAACACGTGGGTCACATTAGAGCCACATCCTGGAATACTGCAGAAAAAGAGCTGTGCCGATTTGTTTCCGCCTGTAAAATACAGTATCTGTTAAATATCTCATAAACTTGTTTTTTGTTTTTATCATGAGTGGTGCAAACAACAGAAGACATGTCTTGACTTGCTGTTACTGGAAAGCACTGAGCAGCAAACAGCAGCATCAAGGTGAACCCTGTCAGGACAAACGTACAAACTGAGCTAAAGGGTCCCTAAAAGTTCAATACTAAATAGTTTTAAATTGTCAAAAACTTACCATTCATGTTCGGATAGCAATTCCTGTTGGAGAAAAGATTTCCTTGTCAGAAACACAATCATACAGTATTTCAAATGATTCTATATGCTGGCGCCTCCGCGTCCGTACCACACTGCCGTAAACAAAAGTCTAGTGGACCATCAGCCAAAAACATCCACGTCACACGACGAATCAATTTGCATCCCTTTTCATTCACAAAAGTAGGAAACGCAGTAAAGCAGTGCGGCTCCACACAAAGCGCAGGATGCACTCAACAAAGTGTTAACAAGTTAACTCGGAATAAATGTCACAAAAATATCTGCCCAGTGTTAAATACATTACATGTCATTTAGCTGACGCTTTTATCCATTTTAGCCCGGGGAGCAATTAGGGGTAAGGTGTCTTGCTCAGGGACACCTCAACATAGGACATGTAGCAGCCGGGATTTGAACCGCCGACCTTGCGGATCCCGGCTCTCCCCCACTATTACATATGGCGTTATATTTGTGCCACAATCCTGAGCGCGTAATTGTAAATTTTGAGCACAGAGAACTATGTTGTAGCAAAGAAAAACATCCCGTGCGCGCAGTTTACTCAGGTGCCCTCGCCACAAACTGGTTTTCTGCGCGCAGGCAGCCGTTGCTGCGCTCTCTCTCTCCACCTCTTCACGCTGCGCTCGCTCGACGTTTCACTCACGCGCTCGCTCGACTTGCAGCAGCGTTACATTTGTGCCACAAAACCAACCAATCAGAGAATTAAAGAAGGTCCATTGTGATTGGCTGTTGGTCTCCAATCACAACGCTTCCTAAAGAAGACGAAAAAAAGTGATATTAGAAGTCCGGCTAGCCACCATCAGACATGACCGAAGCAAATCATGAGAACAGCAAGTGTTTTAATCCAGGCCATTAGCATTTAGCACAAATGCTGCAAACTTCAACAACTCGCTGAGCTTCCGCGATGCTGTAGGTAGTTCTACTAGCGTTGTGATTTACATTTACAATTACGCGCTCAGGATTGTGGCACAAATATAACGCCATACCACAGTACGTAGAGTGTGACACTGGACAGTTACATTTCAAACCGATCACACAGTTAATATAATCCTACCGAGTGTCGCAAATGAATCTGATCTTGACACTGAATAATGACTCCGGCTCTTTCGTACAATTGACTCTGTAAGAGTTTAATCAACTTGTTGTACCGCAAAATGAACTCTAAGAATTTTGCCGTGTAGCCTACATGTTGACTGTGTGTCACTGCGGAGTTTTAAAATCAATGGAATGGAATGACTCTCAACAAGTACAACAAAATAAAATCCAAATGCACCAACAACTACAGCCGTCAAAATATCCCTACACAACTTCTAGCACACAACCGTGACGAAGGGCAGGACCATTGCATCGGAATTTAATAGTTTCATCGTTGCCCGAATGAACCTCAGCCTCCCTGCAGCATGTTTATGGAAGCTGCTCGTAAACAGGTTATGCACTTGTATGCGCACACGCATTGTACTTATGTTGAGATAACACAGATCGGGACCGGGTAGATCTTTAATTAGACGTACCTGAACACGCTGAGATCCAACAACGCCACTTGTTATTCTGACGTCCGGCTTAGTCCACTCATCCACACCGGCAGCGACAGGTAGCGCAGCCCGGCGAAGTCAGCGGTATACTCACAGATTCGGACTCCACGGTTCGATTCTCTCGTCAGCAAAACGCTGTTAAAACACAAACGAAGCCTCTCTGTAACTGTAGTGATGTCGACGACCAGCTACGACTCTAATTAACCATCATTTTACCAATACGGACCAGTCCGGGAGCTGCACAGTCAAGCGCGCCGCCGTTAGACGAGTTAGTGTGTGTGTGCCGGAAGTAGGAAAGAGCGTTCAACGTTTTGAAGTAAAAAAAAAAGTTACTTGGCGCAGAACCGGAGCACCGTGTTATTGTTTTATTGTTAGGCTAGGCCAAATATAGGCACACCATAAACCCTCTACAGTACCCAAATTATGTCATATGTCCATGGGATTGTTGTACTACACTTGATAGTTTACATGAAAATTGCTTTTGAGTAATTATTAATATTATTCAATATGTATGGTAAATAATATTCAATGGTTTAACCACTAGCACGTATATATTGTTTAGTTACACACAATCCTCACATTCATCATCACTGTCAGAGCTATCCGGATATGGTGTCAGGGATGCGGGGCAGGACTCAGTAGACAATATGGCATGCATATGGCATTAGGGGCTGTGCCCCCATTGGATCAGGTCTGTTAAGGCCGCTGTGAGTGTCAAAGGCTGTGGTCGGGCAGGTCAGGAAGGAGATGCATGTTTCTTGTGGCCCTTGTGTCATAGAGGTGATGGCGGAAAGGTTCAGTCTCGGAGGAAATTGTTCTTTTACCATCACAATGAGAGCATCCGCAGCGTTTCTAAAGGCTGCGTTTGTGTCCTTCTCATAATCCGGATCTCTCAGGCGAGCAGTCATTCTTGTGGAGGGGAACACACTTTGAATCTTGTGATAGTCATTTGTCAGCAGTCTGCTCATCAGACGCTCCACCTCTGACATGGTAGGACGGTATTCTCTGACGAATTGCTTCAGATCAGGGGAGGGGGGGAGTCCAGATCCGTGCCCACCAATCTCCTCAGGATCTCAGAAAAACAGGGATAAAGTGTTTTAGGATTAGAGGGGGTACACATTTCAGCACTTTTTGTAGGTTCTTTGTTTTTTAATGAATTAAATGCAATTAAATTCAAACTCTTTCTCTCCCTTCTCTCCGACTCATATTTCCACATCTTGAAGGCTTCCCAGTCTGCCTTAACCCTCCTATTACCTTCAAATTTACAAACACCTTTTACCCTTGTGGTCAATTTGACCCCAACAACTTAGACCGTCAGAAAATTATTAGAGTTAATATTGTTTCCCAAGTTTGAGTGTCAGGTACTTTATGTTTGTTTGTTGACTACCTAAATAGCCCTTTAAATAAATAAAAATACACCCCACCACTGATACATGCAGAATTTTCGCGACTATGGCGAAATATGCAGATCACCATTAAAATCTCACTGATTGACCTAAAATTGGAAAGAGATATATTTTTGGTGTTTTAATGGCTTTATATTATGTCTAAGTACATGTTTTTTATATCCATATTATTTGGAATGAAAAACAATTTCTGTTATCAAGAATAGTAACATGGATTATGTTCGGGGTCAATTTGACCCCAGGAAAAACAAACACAATTTCAGAAATTTAGAAGGATTTTGTTTGTAAAACAGAATATCATCATCATCAGAACATCACTAAGGAACACATAACAGGTATTTATTTCCACAAATATTAAAGTACATTTGAGATTGGTATATGCTACACTAAGTGCTATGTATGCAAATATTTTTGCATGAGATAGTGAAAAAAACAAAGTCACTAAAATTAGTTTGACAGAATATGAATAGCATATTATCTTTCCTTCAGGCCACCAGAAGGTACATTCCAGCCTTTGGTCTGCACTACTGTACACATGATGTGCAGAGAGTGCATGTATGTTCCTTGCAGATGTATTTCTTGCATTTCACACAGGTGTTGCTGGTCTTGGAGTCATTTCAGACAGACCTGGCACCTACCACGTTTCCTGCCTGTAGTTTGAACCACTGGAGGAGCTGCACAGTGTGCCTCTGTATGGATGTCCTTCACAACAGTTGCAGCAGCAGTTGATGCTCTTGGAAGGCACTGTCTTCTCTCGATTCTCTCTCGAGATTTCACCAACGCGTAACCCAGCTTCTCCAGGAAAATCCTCCTTCGAGTCAGTGTTCCGCTGTTCCAGTCCTTGTTTATCTCACTCCATATTACAAAGGCATTGTAGGCGCTCACATCAATGATGTTGAAGAAAATTACAAGGGGCCAACGGGCAGTCATGCGTCGGCAGCTGTATGTGGCTGTGACCTTGTCCAGGTTATCTACCCCTCTCTTTGTCTTGTTGTAGTCCAAGACCATTTGTGGTTTTCTGTCTTCTCTGGTGCTCAGGACAGCATCTTTGTGCATGGTGCTCATCAGCAGGACATTTTTTCCCTTTCTTGGAGCAATAGGAGACGACAGTGGCTCTGTCAGTGAAGGCAAACATTGAAGATGTTACCGCTGTGTTCTTCATCACAAGCAGCTCAGTGGGAAGCTCCGACTTGTTTTTTCTCACTGTCCCCAACATGGTAACCTTCCTTTTCAGCAGTTCTTCACCCAGGGCATACGATGTGAAAAAATTATCACATGTAATGTTATGACCATTCAGTCCTTCAGCCATGTCAAGTACCACCCTCATGCCCTGATTTTTTTCAGGTGCATGCCCAGGGAATTTACCAGTGTACACCTGCATATTCCAGTCATAGCTGGACTGCAACCTTGTGCGGGAACAGGCAGAGGCATAAAAACCTGCACGCACACAAACACCTCCCCCAAACACACACCACATACACCGCAAGGGTTATGTAAGGCTAGGGCCCTAAAACTTTCTTTAAGATTATAAAATTGTTTGTTATAGTGACCTCAAAATCATCCATAACAACCAGAACCAATGTGTGAAACATGTTGATATTTCTTTTATGTTTTACACAGTGAAAAACAGCTTGGGGTCAAATTGACCCCGAAGAACACCGATGCGTACAAGTTGTGTACAGGAAATTGAAAACATATCTTCTTGTTAATTTTATGTTTACCCAGTTGTCCCCAATAAATTAGGAAAAGTCATGAAATATGAAGCAAAAAAAATTATATCAATAATTTATTTAGAGACGTTAAACTTGAATGGGGTCAAATTGACCCCAAAGGTAATAGGAGGGTTAAATACCACATTGTTCTTCTGCTTTCTTCTCGGCAGGCCTGCATGCTGAGCTGCATTTCTTCTCCTTTTCCCTCAGTTGCAATTCCAACTGTTCCAATTGATTCTCTATGAAGGTGCATACAAACGGAGAAATACCACATGCATAACTAAGGCTGTTATGTCCAGCCCTGAGTATTAAGTTAAGTTGGCGGGATATTTATAATTTATTCTTCGGTTATGTGTTGTTATTGTTTACTCACCTCTCCTCTCGTTTCAGACTCCTCACTCCCTCCCTCATGTGTGTGGGTTCCACCTGGGTGATTGTCAGCTCCTCCCTGATTGTTTGCACCTGGCCCTCATCACCCGGTGTATTTAGTCTGTGGGTTCCTGTCCTCTGTTGCCAGTTCGTCTTTGATACACCATGTTCCTAGCGTTCCAGCATTTACTCCTGATAGCCTCCCTGTTACTGACCCCTGCCTGGTTAACGAGTTACGTCTCTGCCTTTTCCCTGCCGGATACCTTGCCTAGTGATCGACTGCCTGCCCGTGTACCGACCTTGGACCGGAACGTTTCCGAACTTTTCACCTGCCTGCCTCCTGTCGGGTTATTACACCCGTGTTTGTACTGCCATCCGACAGTGTTGCGTCAATCTCCGGTCACAAGCCGCACAGAGAACTCAAGGCCCATATCCACCCCGGACAGTCGAAGCGCACCCAGACTGCAGGGGGCCACGATGCGGCTAATGGAGATTCCACCCACAGGAAGTGCCTGCGTACGAACAGGAAGCGCGTGGCATAAAATGTTTGTGGAGAGCTCAGATGGCCCTCTCACTCGCCCCTGAGGAAAAGGACACTGTGGCCACAGCTCCTAATCTCCCAGAGACGCAACTGGTAGGACAGTATGATTTATTGTTCATGCTTTGCTTTACTTCGTGAAATGTGTCATTTAAATTAAGTAATGGGGACTTATCCTAGGTTTATCTGAATAATTTTGGTTTGGGAATTCAGTCGCATTTATTTATTATTACTTTAAGAAAGTTATTATCGAAATGTACTCGACTAATTCATGGGTTTTGCTTTGTTTGAAAGGTTATCAACCTGCTCTGTTCTTTGTCCGATCCACCAAACCACCCTTAAGAGGAATAAAGGATCAAAAAAATCAACAGTTCTCGAGTTGTCCTTTGCGTCCACCGGAGAGAAAGCTCTAACCACGGCTCTGCCCAAACTTGAAAAACACACTAAACTTGACAGACAGTAAAGTTGGTTAACTGCACCTTCTTGTGTCTCCGAGTCATGCAATTGGATCCACACACTTGTCTGCATCCCTCACAAAGGCAAGTCAGTGACCGTTGCTTTCTCTGGTCACTCAATCTACTGCATTTATCCAAAGTTGGCCTTTGAATTTTCAGGAGACACAGGATATGCAACTTGAGAAAATACTACAGGTGACCCAGACACGTCTGTCTACAACACAGTCGTTGTGAAATAGGCCTAAAAACCCTTTTGTCATGACTGTCTGCCTTAAAAATAATTTTGATCTTTCACCGCGTGTTCGTCGTTTCTCTTCTTGAACTGGAATGGATCGGCAATCCGGGTCTCGTCGGGACGGCAGCTTCTCACCCTCAGGGAGGAATCACCTATACTATATGGCCTCCTGGCCGTCCGTCAGTCCAGCGTCCATCCCATCCTCGTCGCCAAGTTTGTGGTGGAAATCTGTGGATTCAGCCCGTGTGAGAAATCCAAAGTATCACTCATGATTAAGTATTTTACTAACTAGGATATAGCAAAAATCATACGGCTTGAGTTGATTTCTGTATTCGTAAGTACAGACAGAAGTCAAATGACTACAATTCAGCTGAAAAAGGGCAGACGTTGTCTCTCCCAAGAGGAGCTAGAAGATCTGTTTCTGGGGGAGAACAGGAGCTTTTATCCATCTGTCGCTTGGGAACATCCACGACTCTCTTAATGGGACCTAGTCAATCATATTTGGCAGACAGAAATGGATGGAAGGAGATAAGAACAGGATATGGTCTGTCCAGGCCCCACCTGGAAGGCAGGATGCCACCGCGGACTTGGTCAGGTCACGAGTTTCCCAAGGAAGGTCACATGAGTTCTTGACACTCACAATATGCACCTCGACAAATTCTCCCCTGACAAAACCATCTTGAGCAAGTTTCACATTGAATCTATGGTGCCTCACGAGACGTGCAGGAAAAGCAGATTTTGAGCAGATATCTTGTTTTACAAACATTACCGGGTATATTCTATATTTCAAAAACACAAATACATAATTATTGACTATTTGTAAAATGTTTCCATCCATCTGCAAGCCGCTTATCCTGCACACAGGGTCGCGGGAGGGCTGGAGTCCATCCCAGCCAACTTTGGGCGTGAGACGGGGTAAACCTTGGATTGGTCGCCAGCCAATCCCAGGGCTACACAGAGACATACAACCATTCAGACTCACATTCACACACCTACGGGCAATTTAGAGTCCCCAGTCAACCTGATCCCCAGAGCACGTCTTTGGACTGTGGGATGAAGCCGGAGAACCCGGAGAGAACCCACGCAGACACGGGGAGAACATGCAGACTCCACACAGAAAGGCCACTGGGTGGAGTCAACCCCAGGATCTTCTTGCTGTGAGGCAACGGTGCTAACCACCACGCCACCCTGTAAAATGTATTTTTAATATAATTTTAAAAAATTCAATTTTTTTTTGTTTGTTTTGTGGCTCAAGTTGGGGCCAGGCCTCTATGAGCCTGCCGCCACTGCTGATTATATAGTGAGAGTTCATCTTTAGTGTATTGGAGCAGGTTGGAGAATACTTCCCTATTGTTTTTTTTATTTTTAATATCATCATCTACAGTGCAGCCAAAGATAGAGGTGTGCACACCAAGGTGTGGTCTTTTGCTGTGCACACACAGGTCAGATGTGAACTCATGCAACAGGATTGAGCCTACACGCTCTACCAGGTGAGCTACCAGGGACCCATATTTTTGATTCGGGTAAAACATTTAGGAAAAAAGGAAATAAAGAAGATTGTCCATGGTTGTTGTTTGTATTGTTGCCGACATTTTAAGGAGGGCTGGAGAATGGTTTGATGAGACCAAGATCCATAGCTTTGATCAGGCATTCACGTGCGGCATCGATGGCACCCTGCCTCTTGGGATTGTCCTCCGCCTTGCCAATCACTGAGAGGATTTCCAGCAGCTCACTCTCCATCAACTTCTTAGCCAGCTCACTGTTGTCTGAGTTGAGCATGTTGTAGACAATCACAAGGCCACGATGCTGTATAGAACTGTTGGTATGGAGACACAACCTCTGCAGGATCTCCAGCCATTGGGTGGTCTGTTGGGAGAGTTCCGTCAGTGACACTGGTCAAATGTGTGAATGATGAATCAAAACTGCCAGAAGTTGATTTTCAAAATGATTTTTTAACACTTGTAACTTCAAACAAAATGTACTTTGAAAAGCAAACTTATCTTACAGTAACTGACTTGAAATGAGCTACAAATATCTAGCTACATTGTGAGAACCCACAAAGTGCTTTTGGAATCTGACACACAGAGTTTGTGTTGACCGGGTTTTGCTTTCAAAACAGACCCTGATGGAACGCAATCATGCACGTTGTACGGTAAAAGCACTACTGAACGCTGTTGTACATACCACCAGGGTCATTTTGAGGCAGAGCTTCTTCTGAGCACCAGTGAGCATGGCAAGAGCTCCAGCTGCAGCTATCTGAAGTTTTTCGTCATCCTCGCCACAGAGCAGTACCATCAGCTTTAGCTTATCATTGCCGTCTTCCAGGTAACGGTCTTGGACCTGGCACACACAGAGTTCACTTTCAACGCTTGCACACCTCTTGGACACATGTTTCTTACATTCACTATGCATCGTCCATTATTAGATGAGGTTGGTAGCCGTTCTCACCTCTTTACATGAAACAAGGTTGCACATGCATTCAGTGGCAGCCTGTCTGATCTGCTCGTGGTCTTCAAACATGTAGTTCTCAATCTCTGGCAGAGCTTTCTCTTTTACAATCTTTACTCTGAAAAAACGATGACGGGGAGAACTCATAGTTAGGCAAAATCTGTAAGTTGCAGTGCAAGTCCCATATAGGAAATGAGCTACGAGGCATCACAGTTATCATAAGCTGAAAAATGTTACCTTAGTTTGTCACTGAAACCAGCAAAGTTAGTGAGGCCTTTGAGAGCTTCATAGTTCTCAGTTCCATCTTTGTCTGTTTGCAGGAGGCTAATTAAAGGACGTACCACCTCGTACACCTGTCAATCAACAAAGACACAATTATAAGTTGCTGAGGTAGTAAGAGGTAAACACCACCTCAACGTATACATACTTATATCTGCATATACTGTACATGCTTAATTCAATAACATACCGATTCCGAAAGGGAGTAACAAAACAGTCATCGGTAATGATCCAGTAATAATATAAACAAACTATAAAGAACAACATACAATGCTTATCGTCTCCCACCATATAGACAGACCAAGAAACAGGCAAAGGGAAGGAATGTCAAAATAAGTGTGGAGTCAAGGGAAGATTCAGTAGAATGTTCTTAGTAAATGTTCCCATACCACCATGTAAACAGGTTAGTTGTAGAAACAAACAAAACAACTTTGCATGTCTTACCCTCTCACCAGGGAAAGCGATCTCTGGGTTTGAGATAGCTGCAATCTTGGCAAGGGCGTGGCTGGCCTTCGTCTTGCCCGCTTCTGTCCCCTCCAGGGCAAGTGGTATCAAAGCCTGAGGCCGGAGCCAAAAGAAAACAATCGTGTGACATGTCGAACAACCAGCTTATCCAGCTACTTACTTTACAGTGGAACATTCCACTGTTCATGATGACATCTTAATTCCATACTGATCTTTATAGTTAATGTAAATGCTTGCCCAAGTCATGTTACCAAGCCTGCTGGAAGCACAGGAGAACCAGAACTGTCAGACCTCACTTCAGTAAAATTACTGAATTTTGGGTGTTTGGAAACTCCACCTCTTCCATCCATCAAGATCAACACAAAATCCTTCTATTAACTCTGAAATGTATTCAGTTTGCTGGTGTTTTGTTTGTGAAAATATGTAATCATAACTTTGAGGAGTGTTTACTTGTACATTGCTTTCCAAACCTTCTACTCACCTTCCCCCCACCTTGGGCTACAATAGTACCACGATCTTTAGCATCCATCGACAACGCCAAGAAAACTCTATATAAATAGAAAAATTAGAAAATAGGCATAACATTGATATTTCTCGACAGTGTTGCCAGAAGAAAAACACGATATGGAATGAATACATTTGTGTTGTAACTTGTATTTCTTGATCTTATCATGGAGCATCAAGGAAAAAACTCACTTCAGACGAAAGGTATTTGTTGACGTCTGCAAAGCCAAGCTTTCATGATATGATACGTGATGTGCTCTGATGAGTCACATCATTTACAACTTGAGTTAGGTTTCGTGACGCATGAACATATTTCTCCTCTCACCTTGACAGCATTTCTTTGGTCTGGTTCGTCAGGATGGAGCTGTCCGCTTTGACCATAACAGCTAGAGCTGAAATGACTCCAGCCTTCAGCAGCCTTTTGACTCTCTTATCAATAAAGTCCTTCTTATCCTGAGAAAAGTTGGTACACAAAGTGGTTATGTGCATATGAGTAAGGTAACCTGGTCAGCCTATATACATTCATAGATTGTGAGATCTCCTGTCCGGTTTTTACCTTGGGGTGTTGCTCAGGTACATGTTGCTTTGAAAACTTTGCAAGTTGAACCAGCTCAGGTAGGAATTCCTTCTTTTCGTAGCAGTTGCTGCAGTTGACCAAGGTGCAAGCTACTGAATACATGATTGTCTTGTCCGTAGACTAAAACAAAGAGACAGGAGAGAAATTATTTCATATGTAGTACCAGATACACTCTGTGTGTCTTCCCGTCTGTTTTTTTCAAACCTTGGCCAGCTCAAACATGGCTTTCAGGGCAGTCTCATCTTCAACAAAGTCATCTTTCACATCAGCATCGTTAGTCAGATAAGCAAGACCCTCGATAGCCCACTTCCTTGTTTTTGTGTCAATCTTGGGATTACAGAGCCACCTGGAGGAGTAAAAGACAAATGTCATATGGTATGATTGAAATATAAATTGACCCTCTGATGCTTTATACAAGTTGTCAGGAATTATTTACATTTTGAATTAAAATTAGATAATAACTAATTCAGTGATTAGCATGTATTTAAAATACATATTTTTTGCTAAAATGTTTTACACCTACTAACATTTGTTTCTGTCATTGTGGATTTTAACCAGCGGGATGTATTCCCTTCAACAGTCTGTGTGAGAACTCACTTTCTGCATTGCTTGGCCAGCTTCTCTGTGGAGCCCTCAGCGAACTGCCGCAAACCATAATCATCACCTCCAGCTGAGCCCAGTTTACAGAGACCCTGGAGAACACATGGACATGAGTATGCACATCGATACCTACACAAGATTTAGAAGTTGTGTAATTCACTGTCTTAAAATGTTCATATTTCTAACTGTGGTGTTTGTTCGTAGGCTGTGACCAAAAATCCTAAAGTTCCATTCCATTCTTTCCCCGGCACACTCACCACCAACGAACGTATTTTAATCTTCTCATTAGTGGTCTTCTTGTAGATGTCCTTTAGGAGTGAAACACCGTTGGTGATGATAAATGAGGCGCGGCTCATCTTGGAGGAGGAATGGATCAGCGCCTCTATAGCAACCATCTGGTCCACCTCCCGCTCGGAGCCACACAGGGCTACCATCATCTCCATTATGCCCTGCCGTCCAACCAGGGCGTTGCCAACGTCAAAGGGACCCTGAAGAAGCCCCGAGATGGTGTTGACAGCATGAATGGTTTTGTCCATGTCGTTGGGGTCGATTTTGGATCTGTGGAAAAGGAACGGTGGGCAAAGGAGGAAAGAAGCATAACATAAGTAATATTGGCTTGTCCTAAATTTAGAAACTGGAGAGTAGAAATGAATGAATGTGTATTTTGTGGATGTACTTGATATATTCATCACAAATGTCCCTGAAGTTGTCTCTCTCTGGGTCACACGAGAGGTCGTCGTAGAGTTTGTTCAGTAGCACACTGGCAATCAGCTGTGTGTTCTCTGTCAAGGGGAGCTGGTCCGGCAGTTCGGGAACCTGACCACACACTTTGAGGATCTTCTTCAGACCTTGAGGACAAACACATATAAATATATATGTGTATATAAATTTGATATAAATGTGATCTGACAAATACGCTTTGTCGGAGATGCAGAAATGGACTTTTGCTAAAACCAAATGAATGACCCGGTGGATCTGTCCTGCTTACCGTGGTCGATAGTGAAGAGGGTCTTGGAGTTATCTTTGTCTTTTTTGTTGTTGCGCGGAACATTTTTGCTCAGAAGGTTCAGTGCCTGGTCTCTGCCATTGCCGGACACCTTCTTACTTCCAACCATCTCCAACAGAGAGAGGAGAATGGTTTTCAGGTCTTTGGCTGCATCTGCGGATGATATAAGAAAGTATGTCTTAGTAAGTACAATGCAAAAAAAGAAAAGAAAGAAAATAGGTTTTTAATATGCCTCTGTGTTAAAATCTACCTTTTGTTGCAAAAACCGCATCTGTTTTATTCTGTCTCACCTAAAACCAAAGCCTCTTCTTTTCCATATTCCCTTTTATCTCCACCAGTGAGGGAGTCGTTGATGCACTGGAAGAGATTGCAGGTTGCAAGTGCAATCTCCTCATTGTCCACAGCCATGATGCTGCACATCTTATCAACGCCGACCATGTGAATAATGGCCATGGCCTGTGAAAATTGTGAAAAAAATCGATGCAAACATTTTTGTCCAATTGCATTGATAGAAGTTTTACTTTTGAAGTTTGATCGTGTTTCATTTTCTCTGAGTATGCTCACCCGAGCTTTGTGTCCTGTGCACATCCCTGACAGGGTGCGAACAGCAGCCAGAATCATCTCTGGTTTGCCTGTCTCTATCATGTTGAGCAGCAGAGGCACTCCATTATTCTGGAATATTCTCTCTGCTCCGGCATCCTCTCTCGACAGCACAATCAGATTGTTGGCAGCCTAAACATGAAATAACATGTAGCAGAAGTGAAACCACACAACTGCAATCCTGCAAAAAAATGCTACCACAATATCGCAACAGAAAAAATTACCCACTTTTTCCCTCTTGTCCTTTTCCATTTCGTCATCAAGGAGGATGTCAAACATGTTTTGTACCCTCGAATCTGTGGAGAATGTAGTCTTAAGCTGTGGAGAATCAAAATAAAACATTTAATTCTTTCAGGATGCAGACATGTCCAAATCCTACACGAATTTTGAATTTTATTTAATTTTGTATCATCATTTTGCATCATCTGCAGACAAACTTCTGTGTGTTGGTGTATTGTTTATTTTTAAACAATGACCTTCTGCTGGATTTCTGCTCCCAGTCTGCGAAGTGTCTCCAGGAAGGTTTTATTCTTGGGTTCAATGGTGGCACATCTCTGCACATCTTTGAAAGCCATGTCCAGTTTTCCTAGTTTCTCAAGAGCTTGGCAACGTCGGTATAAGGCTTTAATGTCTGCTGCATCGACATCAATTGCTACACAGGAGGAAAAGGGATTACAACACAGATACTTTATTTTGTCATTGCAGATATTATTTGATTTTATTTTGTAATTATTACTCTACCTTTGGATGCATCAGATGCTGCATTGGCATAGTTTTCCTAAAGAAAAACAGAAACATGCAATAAAAGATTACATTTGACAAACCCTTAACAAATATGGTCTAATTGGTTTAGTCTTGTTTTTGTGCTATATCCTTTACAAAACTGCTTACCTTTTTTAGGTAGCAGGCAGATCGGTTCCTGTAGATGACAGCAAGCACTTTGTTGTCCTTGCAGGTCTTTATGACTTTACTGTAGCACTCAATAGCTTTGTCAGTATCTCCTGACTGGAAGTATTTGTTTCCCTCATCCTTTAACTTCATCAAGTCTTCCATCTGGTAGAAATAGGGTATACGAGTCATAAAATAAAGAAATCCAGAGATCCATCGAACTATTGGTTTTCATGTGCACTTAATTTCTCATCACAACAATGTTAGTGTTATAAGTCAAGCAAATGTAAATGCCGTTTTTTAACGGTAATAAAGCTTCATACCAAAATCCTTCATCGCATGCATACAAATATTTCAAAAAGCAAGCTGAAAAACAAATCTGAAGATCCGTTTTGAACTTTTTTTTAGTTTAATGATGAAAAGGTATACGACTCGAAAAGAAAGTTGTCCATAGCGTATAAATATGATGTGCACTGTAGGTTTAGACCTACAGGACTGATCCTAATCTCACATTCATCCAAGAAACCATACATGTGCAAGCTAATAACTACTTTAGCATTAGAAATATTTATTTTCTTACCATTGTTTGTAATCAGTGTCTTGCTTAGCCGCGTGTCTTTTACCAAATGGCCATGCACATGTTATCTCTGACTTTAAATGGCCTCCCACCAGGCCTTATATGGGCATGATATTGTACCCCAGCCTTACAACAAATGCCACTTTCCAAATGGACACATACCACCTCTTATCATCTAGGCACATTCTATTCCCCTTCTTATCTTAAGTAGTCTCTGCGTACCCGAATCTAACTCAAATTAAAAAAATAACGCATCTGTCAAAGTTGCACTTTACCTTCAGGATTGTGCGTTGTCTCTCTTGCTCTGTGTAGACGGTCCGGACCTCTCGTCCCTAATAGTTGCAACAAACTTTTTCTGTCTCATGTAGCATCCCCCCACCAAAACCATTTTTATATTTATAGTGCATCACAATGAGGTGGGACCAGGCTGAGGTAGACCATCCATCGCACAAAGGGGTTTACTGCAAGCACCTTAAAAACCCCAGTATGCAACTTATTACCGGTGGTCATTATAGACTGTGATTAGTATTTCCAAAAAAATTCCAACAGTGTCTTTGACTTATCCAAGGCTTTATGAATAAAACGTATTTTATATTTTAGGACATCTGTCAGAGTGACTACCTCAAAGATGGTCTGCTCCTGATAATGTCTATTTAGGGCACAGACAGCTGAGAACTGACCAGCACAAAGTGAGGGGGGTTTAAGGCGTGTGTGGAGACAGGGGGCTGGGGGGTGGACAGCTGCAGATTCTGGACCAGAGGAACCTAGAAGCTTCTAGAAAAAGAATGTCGAGCCCACTGTTGTTTGTGTGTAAAATAGTAAACAATACACACAAAAAACGCTGATATGTGGTAAAATGGGGATCTGCTCAGGTCGTTTGTCTGTCCATTGCTCGCATAAGGACATTATGCAAAGCATGCATAATTACATAATAGTTACATTTGAACAAGAATTTATAAGAATATAACCCTTGTAAATTAGGGAAGGGTGTAATCTCAGTGGATTACGTTTCCTTTGTACACCTTGTGTCATTTCGCACTTTCTGAGAGTCACACTTGTGTACATTTTCATTGGGAAAAGTCAAGTCTATTGGGCAAAGATAGCCGTTTTAAAAATGGGCTTTTTCTATTCATGAACAAAAAATCAAAGAAATTAATATTGATGTTCCGCCAATAATTTGTTTGTTTGTTGTGCCAGTTAATCTGCTGGTTATGTGTCACCACATGTTATGTTCCACTGATTGACACAAGAAAACTTTTGTAAACTGAGGACATTATTTAGCGTATTTAAACCGAAAAATATGCCACTTTAGAGAACAAAGCAGTTGAAACTGATAAGCATCATTGTAGAGAAGTCAATGGCTGTTTTCTAGGAGGGAAGGAGTTTTGTTTTGCGTGATCGGCAGATTTGGACTACGTGAGCCCTGAGGCCACCAGGTGGCACAATTCATCCACCGTGAGGGCAACGAACGCACACAGTGGATGAGTGTGTTTATTAATTTGCCACAGTGGTGAAAAAAAACGATTCAATGTCTTTACTTTAGCAAAAGCTGCAATGCCAAAATGAAAACACATCCTTAAAAATAATTAAATGACGTTTTTGTAGGATCCTTTGTATTGGTATTTGTATTGTATTGTAATATATGTAATAAGTATAGTTCTTCATATGTATGTATGTTAATCGGCAAAGTACAGTTTTAGACTTAGTATTATACCTATTTTACCTAAAGTGTACAATAAGTGAGCTAGTTCTCATGTACACATTATATAGCACCTGGGTAGGCTAACGTTCAAGGCAGACAAAATGATAGGACCAACTCAGTCTATTTGATGTTACTCAAGCTGGTTTTATTTTGAAAAATGCTAGAACGGAAATTCAATGCTATTCTTTGCAGCTAACGCTACGTAATGCTAGCTCATTCTATTGCCCGCATCTCCCTCCGCGGCCAAAGACACCCAAACACAAGAAGCTGCCTTCAGCCCGCATACAATAAGTCCTTAATCCCGTTTTGTTAATGGTTCAAGTAATGTAGAATGGCGTCGTGTTTTGGGAAGATTGTCGTTGGTACTTACGTGGAGATAAAGCGCAGTGATGGTAAGTTTCACCCTGTCTAAACATTTTCCCTTCGCGCTGTGCAAGTTGTCAGGGATCTTTGTTGCTGCGGTGCTTGTGAATACAGCAACAGCGTCCGCAGAGCGCAACGTCCACGTTAGCTGCAGCAGAGGATTCGTGTTAGCTGTCAGGGCGGAGTAGTAACGCAACATGGCCAAAGCCTTTGAATGAGCTCTCTCCTTTTGTTAGCAAGCTTCTCTGTGAATCCAGACACACTTATTGTTCGCGGCTGATTCGTATCCTAAGACAACAACACATGCGTTCAAGTGAGAATTTACTGACGTTAGTGCCGCAGTATTACGCCACCGAAATAGTGAATTCTGTTCCGGAGCTCGAGTATAATATTAGCTAAGCTAGCCGAAGTGCTAACGAAGCTAACGTTAGTTCAGTCGAACGTTAGCTTGTGATTAGCCGAACGGCTAGCACGGGCTAATGTTACCGGCCGGCGCTAATGCAGCAGTTAAGTTAATGCAGTCTTGGAACCACCAATCATTTAATCATTAGGTAACTAGTTGACGAGTAAGTCAGCTTCCCATTGTGGCTGTAACTGTACTTTATACATGTATAACCAATTTTGATCCTGTTGTTAAATGTTTCATGTGCTAACTAAACTAACACAAGCTAATGGTGGTTGTCCAAAATCACGATTAAAAAAAATACATTCTATGCATAAGTAATAACAACAGATATAGACTCATCCCGAGATCTCAGCTAATATACTGATTATACAGGTAATGTGATTGTTTCCAAAAGCTGTAGTGCAAAAAATAATGATGAGATCCATGTGCTTACTTCCTTACACAAGTACTGCACATTGAAACCTGCTATTGGGAAGAAGCTGGGAGGAAAGTTGTCGTTTGTTTTCAGTGTCACTTTGGAGCATTGCTTCAGGCCCGGAGAGCCAAAGATGACTGAAAGTTTGTGTCCCCTGCCAGGAACGGGCTACACCCAGTTTAGAATTAAACCCTCAAACAACCAATTTGGGTGTGAACAATGCAAGTGAGGAAGGAAAAAAACAGTTATTTATTGTTTTTTGATGGTGATGTCCTTGACTGCATCACCCCTGGATGAGATGTGAAACTATCGCTTAGCTGGACGAGAGGCAGTCTCATTTCCCTGCTGTTTGGCGTTGGCTCCAGAGCAGGGATTGCCCTCTCTCTGGGGGGGTTGGTTCAAATTCAAGCCAGATTCAGGCCACCAGTCCATCTGTCGCAGCCAGCCCCCTAAATTCTGCCAGCCGTCTATCAGACTCTACTGTCACAGTCAGCCCCGATTAGAGTAAGACCTCACGGAGGATCCTTCTGTACCTCTATTCAGTATATCAAATTACGTTCATTTATGTGGCGTTTTCCCATTTTATTATCACAGCTTGAAGCACCGCATCTCGAGCCCCTTCAAGTATCCGACTAGTAGTGGAAAGCCTCCCCATTGAGGCAGCGATCAAATCTGGTTCATTATTTGAGTCCCTATGTATATCATCAATGGCATGATGAGTAGAAACATTGTTGATGGTAGTGCGTAGAAGAAATATAATCTTCAATTTCATCCGTGTCACATAATGACACCTTGATTTCTCTGGATTTAGAGGGATAAATGATGTCTTGGTGATGCAGAGAAGCAATCTTTTGAATCCCTGCGCCTCAAAGCTTCTGTTTGCCATCGGTTAGATAATGTTATTGTGATTCAAGTTATATAGTCTGTTGAATACTGTGTATTTGTATAAGAAACAGACGTGCTTAGATGGCCTTTTCAGAGGGAAGTAGTCTTACTTTTAAAATATGATTTTATCACATCTTCAACGCCATGTTCTTGTCATTGTTTTACATCTGCAGTCAAGCTGTGCTGTCATTCCCTCTGCACATCGTCCAGGTCATTGCATTAAACCCACTGTGTAATATGAACAATACGCCTACACAAGTTTCAACACAAATTACAATCACATTTCTTTATGAATATTAAGATCACAATTATTTATATCAACTATTCTTTGATTTTAGTGGCAACATTTTTGTATTGTATATTGTGATGTGTTCCTGCTATTGTACAAATAACAAAATAAGACTCGTCCTTTTTCATTTCATCTCGTAGAAAAAGTAAAATTAAGTAAAAACAAAGCTATTTGCCCATCGTTGAATAGGTTAACCTTTATCGGAATTTACTATCTTTTCATTTTTCTCTTTGTTATATGAGTATTGTATATTATTATTCTGGCTGCTACTGTCGGTGCGCTTGCAGCAATAAGCATAAGCTACAATAAGGCTGAAGCTGTGTGCTGGTTGATACAATAAACATGCGTTCTGATCCAGCAGGGAAATAAACTGATCACTGCATGTTACATTTATTTATTTCACCCTGCTGTAGTGTTGTCATTTCACTACACTACAGTATAATTGTCCTAATTACACATACTTAAACAGCAGTATACTTTAGGGAACTTTATCTTTACTGTCATGTTGCGTAATAAGACTGCTCTGCAGTTACTGAGGCGGCATGTTGTTGAATAGAGTCACACAAACCAATAAGGACGCCTGTGGTCTGAAAGGTGAACCACGGACTTAAGCCAAAGGAAGCAGCAATGATTTGGAGGACCTTGCCTGACCCGCTGTTGTCACCATAAATCCTCTAAGTGGAAAGCATGCTCTCCACCCTTCCCTTAAGTAGAGGTGTAAAACCAGGCACCACATTTACTGCTGTCCAGGTGGTTTTGTGACCTTCTGTGCCAGGTATCCGTGGACTATTGGACTATTTGCAGTACATGTTTTTCGTCTGTCTTTCCACTGTACGTAGCTGGCCAATATTGAATTAGTCGTTTGTGAACTAGGCACAAAAAGTTGACGGCACAGTCAGACAGGTGCAAGGAAGGACTCCCCCATGTCTCCCATCTGTAGTAGGTTCATAATCGTTTTGATTAAGTAATGCTGGTTTGAATGGGTGGACAGTGATTTATTGTCACTGGGGAAGGATTTTCTTATTGGCTCTCATAATTCTGATCTAATTCAGCATTGTGGCTTACTTTAAGGTTGTGTTGACATAGTACATGAATAGCTGTTCTACACTGATTGTCAAACATGTATTTTTTTGAATCATCTATAATTTCTGTTAACATAAGCTCTGGGCTTGAGCACTGATTCCACAAACATAGTCTTTGATGAGGACCTCAGTCATTTCTGTTTGAGCGTAGTGCTCTGTTGACATCACTGTTCATTAAATGTGTATGGCAGTATCCTATATCACTGAATGCTACGTGCCAAATGACCAAAATGATGAAGCACTTAAATGTGCAGCAACCTCATATAGATCATCTCACTTGTCTGTTTAAGGACACTATGTATTATATATTGTTATTTTCCTAGAATCATCTTTCAATCAATGTTGATTGATTAAATGTATGCATATCAAAACTGTGTTTGATTTAGGTAGTGTATGAATATCTAGCTGCTTTTTTGGGGCTTTTTGCCAAATAAAACCAATGTACGATAAATGCAAGCTATGTCGAGCAGTTGGGAACACTAAAAGCATCTTTGCTCGCCAGCTTCCTCTGTCTCTGAATAATAGATGCAGGAACACTGTGTTTCCCTGGTTTATGCTGGGAATTTACAGCACGCAGGATTCACATGGACACAGTTGGGAGAACTGAGCTCGATTTGTCCGAGCAAGTATTTCCACGCTGTAGTGAGCGAAAAGCAGACCGGCTCGCTGCAGCAGCCGCTGTGCTCGTCTCTGTTATCAGTGATCCTCTACAACGGGTAATTATCAAAGCTCACAGCCAGATGGGTCCTCCATCGGGCCGACCTCAGCCACATGCCGTGCTTTCTTTTGAATCTTTAAGGAAGCGCTTGACGGCTGATGTTTGAGGTGGCGTCAGAATAAAATGTGCTGTTGGTTAGTATCGAGCCCAGTCATGATACCATTCAACGTTATGTTACATAACAAGCTGTTTTCATCATTTTTAGTCAAGATTTTAGGGACAAGTGAATTAATAGATGCTACATAACATACATAATCATACATTTGGACTTTTTTTTTTTAGAGTGACAAAGAATATTGAACCAGAATTTATTATGCGGCGACAACGCAGCTGGAAATATGAACTCCGCATCGAAAAACACATTAAATTTCCTACGTTGTCAAAAACATTCAGGTTTTTCCAACCTTTTTTACAGACCAAGGCACAGATCTGATCAGGCTTGTATCCTACTAAATACATTTCCTCGCTAATTCCCAAACTGAAGTGTGTGTGTGTGTGAGAACAAGAATATATTGATTGATCAATTCGGACCTCTTATTTCATACCTCACACGAGGTGCTGAGTAGCACATCCATGGGCTTCATACTTAGAAACAATACAAGTATTTCTATCGTTGCTACCAAATAATAATGTTATTCTTGATGCCTTTTTACAGGACGAATACACCAGGCAATGGTGACCTCGCTGAATGAGGACAACGAGAGTGTCACAGTGGAGTGGATAGAAAATGGAGACACAAAAGGCAAAGAGGTAAATGAGCGTGCATTACCACATAACCCACCAACATGTGCTGCGTTTATCCAAAGCAATAAATAACGCATTCAAAGATGTTCAGGAGCTGTGGTAATTTAACAAAAAACAGCTCAAATGTCTTCCACTCCAACCAGTCGACAGCCTGTAAACGCTGATGTGCACGACCAGATGCACGATGCTCTATAACAAAGACGATG